ACCATGTTTTGTCTCTGTCTATTGAATGACAAATGGCATTTGAGTGACATGAACTCAACTAGGCGTAACTAGTCTAAGCTTATTCCTTGTTTATTAATATGGGGGTTGATGTTTTAAGATAAAATGTCTTTTGATTTAACGACCCGAGAAGAGGAGGTTAGGAATTTAACCTAGATGTGTGTTATTTGCATAAAATAAGTAATTGTAGCATTTATATGTGATCCTCCAAATAGGTGTGGCAAATTTTGAAAGTGTAAGTATGGATAGCATTTATTAAATGTGTATGAAGGCCAAATAGGAAGATTCACCGACCGAGCTGGGTAATATTAGCTTAGGGGCCGCGGCCCATCTGATTATTTTTTTTTGTTCCCTGCCAGGCGGGCCGCCTGTGAAATCCTCATGGATACCCTACGGCTGGCTACAGGGTTATGTCAGACTCTTACTGACTAAAACATATCCATGGGGGGATGCTAATGGCTATAAAAGCCTTACAGGCTTCGTCGATGCGACCATCCCCTGAGAAGGGGTCGCCGCCACAATTGTATAAATTAAAACTATTAATAATCTCATAAATAAATTTCTACAATATTCAGCTTTAAAAAATCAAGCAAATCCACCTCCTCTGTATTCAATATTAAACCCAGAAACTAATTCATATTATTAGGTATACTTTTTGCATAATCTATTTTTTTTATAATAAAAGTTAAATATTTCTCTTTTCTACTTTAAGTACTCCGGTATCTTCAATTAACTAGGGAGTCCACTAACTCCATACCAAATTTAATTAAAATGGCTCCAGCCGTTAAGACGTGAAGAAGTAACAAACATACACACTCACAACTTTCGCCTTTATAATATTAGGCCGTATACAGAAAGAAAGCCAGCGCCGATCCTTAACTACATAAAGGAAGCCGATTAAAGCAGAGCAAGCAAAATATCGGACTCATCGGACGATGATTTGGTTTTGTTAGAAAATATGTATTTAAAAATGCGAAAAAACCTATACATCCTATAAAATAGAGAAAGGAAACGTTTCGGAGAATACCATCATTTATTTGTAAAAAAATTGAAATTTGATGATCAAAGATTTTATACATATAGTTACAAGAATGACTCAAGAAACATTTTATTACATTTTGGATTTAGAGAAAAACCGTTTGATGAAAAATTGGTGCAATAGGCATAAACAACCAATCCTTCTAGAAGAAAGACCTGTTGTCACCATTCGGTAAGTACGAAACAAATAATTTTAGCGCTTAGTTAATAAAACATAAAGTTATTAGATTTATAAAAAGATTATAACTAAGATTGATTTAATCTAAGGATAATAATTCAAACACAAATTATTTATTATTCGGACAACATAGATCATAATGACCAGCTGACCAGCGCATATCGGCATTTGTCGGCGCTGATCGGCGCTGATCGGCTTTCTTTCTGTATACGGCTTTTAGTGTGATAGTCGCGTAGCCAATTCGGCAATTTTTATACTTACTATTTTTACCTAGGCTTGATTTTTTTCCTTTTTCGTCAACTTTTTGCTAACAGATATTTATTCCGTTTACTTTAATTTTTCAACCATCGTCTTATAAATTTACTTTTTAAGAGGATGTGTGTTGTTACTGTGAACTGTTTTTGAATGAAGAAATAACATCAATAAGATACTGGGCACATAATATATCTTATCTCATGTTTGATAGTTACTTAACGAGAGTATACAATCATATACACATCTATATGAACCATCTTAGGCCTCATCATCGCTTTCCATCAGGCAAGATGGTGGTCTTGCCAATAAAGCATAAAAAATCACTTATACACCGATCGAACCATCTTCCTATTTTACTATTGAACTATTGAACGAAAGTCTTTATATTCAGTGTCAGACCAAATAATTTGGTCTGACACTGAATATAAAGACTTTCATCATATATTCACTAATGCTTCTAAGTCCAGATATAAATAATATTCCCTTAATAAAATAATATTCCCTTTATCCGTATTTTATGTATGTATATTTAATGTAAATATACGAATTCTGTCTCCCGACCTATCCTCTAAATTCCGACCCTACCTCTGACACTGGCAATGAACAAACTATGTTGTACCCAAAGATTTGTATTTCATCGAGTGCGGTTGGCGTCTTATTTTAATTATTCTTAAATTCGGTTATAGTGGATATTGTGAAATAAAATTGATGTGATTTTGTGTTACGACCGTCTGCATAACTGAAGAATTAACGGAATCTTTAAAATATACGCTATGCCGGTCTAATGGACGTCAGAACTTTATTGTAGTGTTGACTACCTTACAGAAGCTTGTCGAGAGAGGCTGAATAAGACGATGGCTGCATGGCTTTGCCTTTCCCAATAGGGAAGAATAGAACTAAAAAAAATAAGTTTTTGGCGGGATTTCATCGAGAACGGTTGGCGTCTTATTTTAATTATTCTTAAATTTGTTCATAGTGGATACTGGGACCGATTCTGGCGTTACATTCTCTAAACCTAAACTTAAAATTAGAGAGCTTATTTTAGTTTAGGATTAGAGAATTGGTATTCTGAAATTGCGAACTAACTAAATTAATAACACTGTTGACAGCTATAAACGAGCATCTAAATTGAATTCACAGATTATGTAAAAGCAATGAACCGGTAATTATCGGTTTACTCAAATTGGCAATAAATACATAATATTCAGTGATTTTTACTTATTTCAGTAATTCTTTGTTGTTCTTCATCATCTTTGAAATATGGAAACTTAACATAACTATATTTTACTGTATGAAAAATTATAAATCAATATTAAAGAGTGAATACTTGCCTACTCTGTGTACTTAGGGTTTCTAGATTAGGAGTGTTTATCCTTATTTTGGGGAAAAATATGAACTTGGAGAAATTAAATCTGCGTAGAGAACTTTAGGAATCATATTTTTTCTTAGAGCATGCCTAAGTATTTTTTTTTGGCAAAAAAAAAATACTTAGGCATGCTCTTAGGCTTATGCTCTTAGGTTTAGGCTAAAAGCCACCACACCAACTAGATTTTAGTACCGAACAAATCTATTAGTTTGTAGTGACGATAGACCGTGTCGAGTCCGAGCCGAGCTTCAGCCGTAGCACGGTCACCAAGCCGATCCCGTACCTGTAATTTACAAAGATGTGCTTCGACCGAGAAATTAGGTAGGTACCGTTGTACCGTGATGCAGTTTATTCATTCAGATAAAGTAAATAGGGTAAGTGTACTCGTCTGAGTTTTTTGTTTTGTCTGAGGTATCACTACGATTGCCCGGCGGCACCGCGCCGGCGCTGTATTCATGCAACGGGCCGTGGCCCATTTGTTGCTCGGTTGTCAGTTGGTTACCGCCCGGAACCAATTAATGTGTTCATAATCCATGTAAAATATACTATTTAATATTAGTTAACTAGAGGAGCTCGATGGCGCAGGTGGTTAGCGCGTTCGGCTGCGATCGTTGAAGTTAAGCAAATTTCGCAGTTGTCGGTTATTGGATGGGTGACCAAAAATCTTCTATCTCGAGTTCCTCCGGCTGCATCTGCAGTCGTTAGCACCCGCCAACCCGCACTGGGCTCGCGGTCATGGCACAATCTCCCTATTCCATCCATAGGGAAGGCCTGTGCCCCAGCAATGGGAACATTAATAGGCTGATGAAGATGATTAGTGAACTCTGCTACGACCAACACGGTCGATCGTAAATCATCCTTGAAAATTTCTCGCATCGGAAATTCTCAATCCAGCGCATCTTTATTATTTTTCAGGTTATTAATTTCGGTTTCGGTAAGAGGTTGTAATTATCCCCTCGACTGTTTTGTGAAGATTGGTGGGAAATAAACAGTTCTAACAAATAGTAATAACTACTACATAAAAACAAAACCACTAAAAACAAAGGATGGAACAAATAATACATTAATATCTAAAGTACCTACATTTAAAGTCAAAATAACAATTTGATTGGAATTTTTGATTGGAATGCATGTCACTGACACCATACCTATTATTTGACTATGTAGTTACTTTAAATATAAGTAGGCACTGTAGGTAATACATATAGAATTAGTACATAGATTTCTTACCTTTTTAGCTTGTTTATTAAATGAAGTGGATTTTTATTGATGTTAAAAAGATTTTACCTTAAATTATTCAGTATTTTATACAAGATATACGATACATATACATTACCTACGAAGTACCACAAAATCGCAAGTGTAATACGTTCGTTCTGCGATCGTGAACGTTAAGCAACTTTAACAATGGCCGCTCTTAGGATGGATGACCAACCAAAAATGTATTATATCTAGTTCCTATGTTGCTGCTCGCTGCATCTGCAGTCGTTAGTCCCGTCCGCTGCCTGGTCCGCGTGAATTTTTTTCTAGTAAACTTTTCTTTAGATTTATTTAACTATCATAATTGTGTTGTTATTATTTGACACTAATATATTATATTTTATCACATACATTACTGTTACATTCTTATATAGAAAATATCGGTAATGGACATTAGTGGTTAGCATTATATTTTGGCATGTTTTTAACGTCGGTTTTGCATGAAATTTTTTTTTAGTTGGCAGCACTTATAAGTTGTCAGTCGTGTGTCGTGTCAAGTCAGTCTGAGTTTTTGGCGGGATTTCATCGAGTGCGGTTGGCGTCTTAATTTAATTATTCTTAAATTTGTTCATAGTGGATATTGTGAAATAAAATTGGTGTGATTTTGTGTTACAACCGTCTGGGCAACTGAAGAATTAGTGGAATCTTTAAAATATACGCTATTCCGGTCAAGTGGACGTGAGAATTTTATTGTAGTATTGACTACCTCACAGAAGCTTATCGAAAAAGCCAACTCGATATATTTCGTGCCAAACACTCCAAGAAGCATTAGAATGCGTCACACCCACATTCTAATGTAAAAAAAAGGAAGATTAATACAAAAATAAGACGATGGCTGCATGGCTATGCCTTTGCCTTTCTCAATAGAGAAGAATAGAACTAAAAAAAAAAAATCAAGTCAGTCTTTATTTACGTACTTTAAATTTATTTGTTTAAACAAGCACGAAGTCAGGTAAACGATAAATAAAATCAATGGGAGGTGGTGATCTGGTAATTTTTTTTATGAGTCTGACGAGATTTGGCCTGCAAGTTCGGATTGAATGTCAAGTTTTACGTTATTTTTTTTTGCAGAATTCGAAAAAATCATGGCATCCAAATACTATGAAAAATCAAGAACGTGTTTGGAAAGCAGAGCAAGCGGCTGCAGAAGAAAAGAAGCGCATATCGGAGTTGCAACGCGAGCGAGCTGAGGAAAGGGATAGGGCAGAGTTGAACCAAATGGCTCAACGATCTGCTAACAATTATGGCGATAATCGCCTCAACTGGATGTATGATGTAAGCGTTTTGATAATCCTCCGCGTTTCATTTGTGTTCTCTATATCTGTTGGCCTGGAACCAAAAAAGGCCATGTGTTGGCAACCTGTTGTCATTGTATCCAGACCATATTTTCCATTAAACCTCTGCAAAGAGATGTTTGAGTAACCAGTGTCAGTGGCGTGCCCCGTGTTGGCGACTGGCTGGAGAGCCACCACAGCCTTTTTATATACTTTTACTGTATGGTCTCTTTATAATCCTTTTCTATGTCTAGATGATTTCTTGCTGTGTATATATTTTTATTATAATTTATTAATCCAATACACAGTCTCATTACAGTCCCAAGTTTTTCCTAGTTTTCACGTAGGGTTCAGTATTAAGGCAAGTCTTTGAGCATTTTATTTTTGTGCTGGCTTCGAGTGCAAAAGTAGTATAATTAAAGACTAAACTAAAACTTTTATTTCAAGTAAAATTAGACTTGCAACAAATAGTATATTCGGCAATATACTGAATACCGAATATTTGGTGAGTCCCCTGACCGAATAGCCGAATATATAAACTTTAAATTATAATATAAACTTTAAATTATTGCTATTATGTAACCCATCACATGACAGAATGAATTAAACACTGTTAACTTGTTAAATACAGAAAATGATTAAATTATGTACCTGTTTTATGTACTATGACTACTTAATAAATGATTATAAAAGAAATGAGAACCTTACCCTTCTAAATTTTGATTACCACAATAATTCAAATACATAGAATCCTCCATTTTTCCAATTCAGAAGATGATTATGTTCCTGTGTTATGTACCAATCACTACTTAAATGATTATATAACAGAAATGAAAATATGAATATATATGACATATATATACATTGTGATCAATCGATTTTAATATTTCATTTACCAATTATTTCTCTATGACAAAATATATTATTTAAGTATTTGGTATTCGGCCGAATAATATGTAGATATTTGGTATTTGGCTGAATAATATATAGATATTCGGTATTCGGTCGAATATAATAAAAGCAGCTGAATAGGGCGAATACCGAATAGTAACAGAATATTCGTTGCAAGTCTAGTTAAAATCTCTATACTATCTTGCTTGAATAAAATCATAGAACACAGTGCACACCATCTATTGAGTGGTAGCGTAACTCAATTCTCAATGAAAATTGAATCATTTTAGAATATCATTTAAATTTATGACATGTATTTGTAGTTTGTACAATAAATTTACTTTTGTGTATTCATAGATCAGTGATACCTATATAATAAGCATCATTTTCAAATCGTAAGTGCCTCTCTGTTGAAGTGGGTCAATCGAGTTCAGTCTTCCTGTATTCTTGTAATTTTATGTTGATTGTTTTGTCCTTGGTTGTCATGTCCGTTGAATGAGTCAGCCATTGGCAGTCCAAGATGATAGTTCTGGTCTGACATCCAACTCCTCCTTCCTATGCACACTCAGGTGGGTAGCATAGCAACGCATAACATCACCGCAAAAATACGCCTAGCAAGTGATCAGCCAGTGCATTCTTTTGTATGATTTACTGGTGTGGAGGCTCTGGACCAAGGAAAAAGTGGAGGCCCCTAACGGGAGCCTATTTTAAAAAAATCCTAAACCCCAGGCCACTGCACCCCCAGCCTGGTTGGTGATCCGTCAGTTTGTTTATTAATCTGTTGTGGGGTGCTGGACCACAGCCCCGCCTGCCCTGCCCTAAATCTGCACTTGCACTTGGCCAATTTTTTGTAAGTAGTTGGAACAAGAAGCTATCTTCAAAATAGTATCTCAAATATTATTTAAATTGGTACATGGTACCTGGTAGCAAACCTGCTAATTATAAAAATTATAGTAATTATTTAAATTTCATGTTGCAGAAACCAGATAAAAAAATTCATGAAGAAGATTACCTCCTTGGTAAGTCTATAGACCAGAATTATAGTAGAGCTGACAAGGAGGAGCAAAGTTCTATACCAGCTGTCGCGCGTCGCGTGGTTGGTTCAAGTATGTTGGCTAGTGGTGGGGATGCTCAAGTGGACTTAGCTCGCAAAATGCGCGAAGATCCCCTTCTCTTAGTCAAAGAAAGAGAAAGAGCAGCCAGAGCAGCTCTTCTGAACAATCCGTTGCAGAGACGTCGCCTTACAGACTTATTACGGAAGGAACAGGTATTTAAAATTAAACAAAAATATTAAAAATAGTTTTTTTTTTGTTCTGTGGCTGTTTCCGTTTCACACAAAAATTTCGCCAATATAAAAATAGTTTTATTAGGTAATCTTTTCTCTTGTGTCTTTTGCTATAATCTTTTTTTAAGTCTCCTTTTTTTCCTGCGATCTGTCTTGTCGACATTAAGCTGGATTTTATGAATTTGGAATAAAAATGTCATGCATGGTACATGATCCAATGATATACCCATCTATTATGACTTTCCTGTGTTTGTGTTAGAGAAGATCTTGAGGAGAACGTCTCTTTAGTCTCTTAAATGTATTGTTTGGTTGCTTTTCCATCAAAGTTCTTGCTAGTGGGTTAGGATGATTTTGTATTCTTTTGGAATAGGAAAGTAAAGAGTCCTTTATTTCTTCTCTAACAGGTTTGATTTTTAGATCACGGTGCAAGTGATTATTTGTCATATACCATGGTGCTCCAGTTATCATCGTAGGGCTTTTGATTGAAAACGTTGAAGTATCTCTATGTTGGATACAGAGGCTGTGCCCCATAATTGTAGGCCATAAGTCCAGACCGGCTTTAGTATACACTTGTACAGAAGGAGTTTATTTTCCAGAGAAACATGAGATTTTCTTCCCATGAGCCAATAAAGCTTTCTTAACTGTAAGTCAAGTGCTTTCCTTTTAGTAGATATATGTTTCTTCCAGGTTAAACGTCTATCCAAGTACATTCCTAGGTATCGAACTTCATCTGCCTGGGGTATCTTAATTTGGTTTAATTCGACTTCTGGGCATGTATCTTTCCTTAAAGTAAAAGTGGCATGAACTGATTTGGTTTCATTTGCCTTTATGCGCCAGTCTTTCAGCCAGTCTGAGATATCATTCAGATTTTGTTGCAATTTTGCCAAAGCTTCCTCAGGTGTTTTATAAACAGCAAATATGGCAGTATCATCAGCAAATGTTCCTGTCATTATATCTTGTCTACTTGGTAAGTCCAAGGTGTATATAAGGTAGAGTATTGGACTCATTACGCTGCCCTGTGGAACACCTGCTCTTATTTTGTGTAGGCCTGTAATAAAGTCGCCATATTTAACATAAAAGTGTCTGTCACTTAGATATGACTTTATAAACAAATAGAAGTTAATGGGTAAGTTTTTGAGGACTTTATACAAGAGTCCATCGTGCCAGACACGATCGAAGGCTTGTGAGATATCTAAGAAAGCAGCAGAGCAGGTCAGTTTGCGTTCAAAAGTGTCATTGATTTTTTGTACTATCCTATGTACTTGTTCTATTGTGCCATGACCTTTTCTAAAACCGAACTAGTGATCCGGGATAAGCTTGTTAGCTTTGATATCTGGTGTAAGGCGTTTCAGTACTAGAATTTCTAAGACTTTAGACGGAACTGAGAGAAGACTGATCAGACGGTATGATTTGACGTCATTAGGGTCTTTTCCGGGCTTAGGAATTATGATGATTTCTGCCACCTTCCACTGTGGTGGAACAAAATTTTTCCAGAGGCATGCGTTGTAGACATAAGTAAGAAATGTAATGCCTACGTCTGGTAGCTCTCGCAGAGTTTTGGCTGTAATTAGATCATACCCTGGTGCTTTGTGAATGTCGATTTTTTTAATGGCCTCTAATTCATCTTGTTTGCTGGATTTTTTGAGCGGTGGATCTAGTTGATGTGGTTTTTCGAGTTCAGATTTAATCAAACTTGCCTTGCATCCATAATCGATGTTAGGAGTAAATACTTCGGATAGATGTTTAGCAAATGTGTTGGTCTTTTGCTCATCATTTTTTGCCCAACTACCATCTGCTTTCAGGATAGGTGATCGATGTGTTATTGGTTGTTTCAATTTATTCGTAGCTTTCCAGAGAGAGTAATCGGTGGCCTGGGTTGCATCAAGATTTTTAAGATACCTAGTTCTCCATTACTGTACTTTAGTTTGTTTGCAATTTTGTTGTATATGGTTTTGTGTGCAGGATATTTTGTTTCGTGCCAAAGCTTTCTGGCTTTGCGCTTTGAATTTACCAATTCCATGATATATTTGGGATAGGAGTAACTTTTTTTATCTTTTCCAATCTGGGATGGGGTTGAAACCCATGCGGCTACCTGTATGGTCTTATTGAAATACTCCACCGCCCGAACAATGTCCTCGTCTGTTTTAAGTGGAACATTGTAGTCTAGTGTTTGTTCAACAATGTCGCGGAATAATGACCAGTTTGTTTTTTTGGTGTGCAGCCTGCATGACTTGTTGACATTTATAACGTCACTGCTTAATAATAAGATTACTGGCGAGTGATCTGAAGTCATTTCAAGACAAGAGTTACACTTCATTGATGTTTTGGGAAGTCCCTTGCTTATGAAAAAATCAATAAGATCTGGTTTTTTACATACATCGGTAGGCCAGTAAGTTGGTTCTCCCGTAGAGGTGACGTTTAGTTGTAGGACTCTTATAGCTTGAAGGAACTGTCGTCCTTTAGGAGTAGTTAGACGTGATCCCCATTCAGTATGCTTTGCGTTATAATCGCCCCCAGAAATAAACCGTTGTCCCAGAGCTTTGAAAAAGGTGCAATATTCCTCAGCTTTCATGTTGTGTTTAGGAGGGATGTATATCGCAGACAATGTTATCTCGCCGTTTGAGTCTTCAATTACTATATTAGTAGATTGTATTCTCTCTGTGCAGTAAGGAGAAGCGGCGCCGGCGTGGTGTTTTAATTTGTCTCTGATCGGATGTATTGTATGGTATAATTTATATTTTGGTATATTGAAATATATTTGTAAAGTGTGTTTCTGTTACTAGTAAAACATCCACATTATTCGTTTCAAGAAATAATATAACTTCGTTGAAGTGTTGTGACAAGCCGTTGGCGTTCCATAGTGCTAATTTGAGCTGGTTGAATTTTTTCACATTATTGACATTAGGTTTGTAAGTAGATTTGTTATAGTACCTACACATTTGATTCATGATTTGTTTAAACATTTCCATTAGCTGTTTCATGTCGTTTGATTTGACGGAAGAGTTTATGTTAGGAGGTTGTGGTGTTGCATTGTCTTGTTTTCCTTTATTTAAAAGGGCCTCCTTGTAAGACTTTCCACTTTGTACATTTTTAAAGTTACTTTTCGGCATAGGCTCGACGTCAGCTTTTTGAGGGAAGTTCTGGTGTTCTACTTTTTTTTTTCGGATGGTCGGGAATTTCTGTTTTTGCAAGTCCTTGTATACGCTGTAACCAGTGGCGGACTAACAGGGGGGCGGAAGGGGCGGCCCGCCCCGGGCCTCCGTTCTTGGGGGGCCCCCAAATGCCTCCGCGTTCTCCTGTTCAAATCCTAAACTAGACTTTAAAAATGTGCTTAGTACCTATATACATAATTTCATCATGATCAAAACACTACAGACATCCAGACTTTTTAAGCGGTACTAATATTCTTTTTACTTCGCTGAATGCGTCCAATACGCTGGGGGAATTCCCGTCTCTGTAGCGGGTACTTCCTCAGGAATTCCTGAATGAATGAAGTACAAATAATTCACTCTTGTACGACTACATTTATTAACATTCACTATATTTACGTCGAAAAATAAACATTGGCCTCATTTAAAATCCGTTCAAAGTAACCTCATTAAAAAGTGTAATATGTAATGTTTTTGATTTTTGTTGCGGTATAAAAGTAAATGGGTTTAGAGTTGAGTTAGTGCATTTTTAAGTATTTGGAAAAATTAAGTAATTCTTCGTAAAATTTAGCCTAGAAATCATAATCCGTAATTTATAGTCAATATGCACCTACGTTTCTAGTCAATATGTACCATATTGTAGGTATGTATGTATATTTAGCCGAAATAATTTAATTGGAATTTAAATTTCATTTGGGGGGCCTCATTCAGCTTTGCCGCCCCGGGCCTCAGACGAGCTTAGTCCGCCACTGGCTGTAACCTTTATAGTTTGCTGGATGATTGCCATTGCATAAGGCGCATTTGACAGAGTCAGAACGAACGTGTGTCCATATTGCTGGCAGTTTGCACATTGGGGTATGTTGCGTGTTTGTCTTGGTGGTTCTACTTTTATACGTAAGTGTAAGAGGCTTGTAAGCTCGTATATTTGTTTGTTGTTTGCTTTTGGTAGCAATTCAACAATAAACATATGTTTTTTTGTCGTTCTTTGCTTGATGTTCCATATGTTAACGGTGTCATGACCTTTTTCTTTTAGGGCTTCATGAATTTCTTCGATATCTATGGGTGGGACGGGTGAATGTTTTTTAGGACTACTTTAAAGTTACGCTCCTGCTTAGGCTCGTATAAAACTCTGTTTTTTTGGCTTCTAGTTGTTTGACTATTTCCCTATAAGTGTCTGGATTTGCAGTTTGGATTTTAACACGGTTATTATTGAAAACTTTCATTTCATAGTTTCCTGTAGCATGTTCTTCAAGGAGTTCTTTCAGCGGCCGCATGTTTTCGACTTTGTCTACAAAAATAGGGGGTGGTTTAGGGACTTTCTCTGTAACATCATTTTGTGTGGTATTCTCTTGGTTGGGATAAGTTTCCAAACCCTCAAATCTGTTTGATGTCGGTATTGGTTTGCTGAGCCAATAGCTGCTGAGTTTAGTCTGCTTATTAGCATGGTCATTATCGTGCTCAGGGCTCTCTCTTGGGCGCTTTCTTTCTTTTACATTTGTCCATGGAGTTTATTTAGTTCCACTGGTAATAGAGTCATCAGATTCCAATTGTTCTGTCGTTTTTTGTATGAGTTGTTCATCGCTAAGTGATTGAGACCTAGGTCTGTTCACGAACAGAGACTTATGAAATATTTGCTGTGTTAAGGTTTTGTTTTGCTGGTAGGTTGAGTATGTTTTTAATAATTTATCATCCATATTATTCCCACGAGTAGGGTCGATTTAAAAAGGTCACTAGGAGGGTGACGCCCATTCCCCCTACAAGGAAAATACAACTGTGTTTTCCAGGTCCACCGAGGTTGATCGCTTTCGACTGATCTCCCCATCAGCCACGCATCCATGGGCACGTATCACACTGTGGAGTTGGGGTAACTTTTTATGGAGGTTTTCTACCTATTGGTCCAGAGCTATAATTAAATAAAAAAAAATTGAGCAACATATAACTCCTATCACCATTGTGTGTGGTTATTGGCTATTGCGGATATAATGGGTATAAAGTGGTGAATAACTAATTAGAAACACCGATGTCTGAGGAGCTTGATGGCTTCTGGTGTTCAGTCTGCAATCATGGAAGTTAGGCATCTTTCATAATGGCTGGTAATAGTACAGATTGTTGACGACCTCCTTGGCCGAGTGGTTTGTACGCCGGGTTTCATGGTGTCGCTGACTCGTGAGGTCCCGGGTTCGAATCCCAGTGGGGGCAGATGTTTGTGTGATGAATACGAGCATTTGTACTCCAGTCATGGATGTTTAATATGTATTTCTATATAAATATACTTATATATGTACAGTATATGTATTCTATCCATTACCCTAGTATCCCATAACACAAGTCTTACAGTGCTTACTTTGGGGCTAGGCTAATTGATGTGAGTGTTGGAAATATTTATTTTTTATTTTTTTATTTATTCTCTTCAAGTCAACTGAAGCATTGTAGCTAAGTTTTAGAAGGTGGTGCAAAATAGAATGTACTAGCTAGATGATTATAATTAAATTAACCTGCTTTAGAATGCATATTAAGACCCCTTTTACATGTTTTGCAAGAAATCATAATTTTCCAACGCCTGCTTTACCCTCATAGAATTAATAGGTTATGAAATTACGATACAAGTGCACTTTTAAAATATAATAATAAAAAAAATCCTTGGCTGGAATTCGTATCCGAACAGCCCACGTAACATGAGAACTTTCTACCACTGAACCACCGATGCTTGTTGATAATCATAATTTTTAATATCAGTCAAAAATGTAATACGACATCATAAAGATGAACGAAAAAAATTGTTGCAATGTAATAAAAGTTTCACTTTGAAAATAGAGAACATGTCTTGTGAAAAAAAAATATCTTCATCAGAAACATATTCTTGGTTGCAATCTAGATCATTCATTGCTACTTTCAGGATCCATCTTAGTCTCTTTAAATTTCCTTTTTTTACACTTGTTGAATAACTTGTTATTTGTATACTAAAGTATCGTGCTCTATACTGAACATCGTCGTGTCGATGTCTCGCTCATGCGACTTGGGCATGTTCGCGGCCGTATTTACTAAACTGCAGCAGAGGAATTTTGTGAAAGGGCTCTTAAACCATTGGTTGGTGACAGCCCAATCTCCCTATCCCATCTATAGGGAACATTAAAAGACTGATGATGAACATACATATTCTCTCCTAATTTCTTTTTTCATTTTGTTTTTACTTTTAGTTCAAGCTTTGATATTCAGGTTTTTGTATGTTTTTTTAGTTTTTTTTAAGCATTTTACTGCTAGATGTTTCAATGTAAAGAAAAGTTTTACTAGAGAAAATCCACGCGGACCAGGTAGCGGACGGGACTCGAACCCGCACCTTCGCAATCCGGGCGAATGCACTGACCAATTATGCTACCACGGCCCTGATGGCTGCGTCGAAATTTTCCTAGCCTTAAGTTGCAAGGCAGCGCCATCTCTTCGCATTGTAGGTTACCCACAATATCAAATTAATACTTTTTCAAGTATTAAAGATTTGAAAGAAGAAATAGCAATTATAGTTGTTTTTTTACACCACACAACATTTATTTTTAGTTTAAATGGACATTGATTCCTAGTGATATTAAAAGTAATCTCTCTTTTCATTACTAAATTACTATTGAAGTAAAAGTATTATAAAAAAAATAGCAACAGCTTTAAGTCTTTAAATTTTTCAAGTTTTTTCTTATTAGTTGTCCATCATCATCAGTCTATTAATGTCTCTATGCAGGGTCACAGGCCTTTCCTATGTATGCATTAGTTGTCTGACAAATGTAAATTACGAAATAAGAAATATTCTGTTCATGTTCTTTTAAATTTTTGTTAGGTACAAAGAAAAGAGAAAACAAAGAAAAAAGCTAAAAAGAAAGGGCAGGATCTTGACAATATGCTAGCGGCAAAGTTAAGTGCTTTAAGTGAAGGAAAAGGTATTGATATAGCTAAATTGTTGGATTCAGATGATTCTTCATCGGATTCTTCAGATTCATCTGATGACAAACATAGGAAGAAAAGAAAAAAAGTCAAGGAGCAAGAGAAGCAACAAAGAGAAGTAGAAAAGAAAAAAAGGAAAAAATCTAAAAAGAAACAATACCATAGTTCAGATGACTCAGATTCGTCAGATGATAACAAGCATAAAAAGAATAAATCAAAAGCTATTCAGAAATCTTCAGATAGGCATGATCATAATTCTAAAATAGAGGCTAAAAAAGGTAATGGTAACAGTGCCAACCTTGTACGCGAAAAAAAATTTAAGGAACATTCTAGAAGCCCCGATAGAGACGATGGTCGGAAGAGGGTCCGTTGTTATTCTAGCAATGATAACATTGACAAAAATCCTTCAGGTGACAGGAGGCGAGAGGAGACGCACAAAAGCAAAAGGCATGCAGAACGGTCGCGTTATACCGAAAGAGTTTACGAGGGCGATAGAAAGCGGAATTCGTCACCTGATCACGGGCATCGGTGGAAGTCGAAGAAGGGATTGAGCGAGGAAGAGAGAGCGGCAAAATTGGCTGAGATGGTGGCTGCAGGGGCGGAGAGGGAGGAGCAGCGCGGCAAGCGCGTGGCCGAGCAGCGCCGCGCCGACGCTGCGGACGTTGGACGGGCCCCGCGCACCTCCGGACACGAGGCGAGGGCCCTGCCCGACTCACTCGAAGCGCGGATTCGGTCCAACAGACACTACATACAACGCGATCGACATCACATGAACGAACATTTCGCTAAAAGGTAGTTGTTGAAAATAAAACTACTATAAACTATGTTAAAAATATATATTAAGTACATACTAGTTTACAGTGTTTATTTATACTTTAACAAAATGTAAATATGTGATTATGACGCTATCGATGATGATTTTTTCGCAACATAAAAAATAATTCGCAGAATTTCGACAGTGTTATTTTCATATTTGTTTCTTAGGATTTCACGCACATCACTCATTAAATAAAATAAGTTTCAACGGGTCAAATGCACTGATTTTATTTATTTATTGACGTTTCGCAGCCTTTTCAGGAATGCGTCATCCGAACGTCAATAAGTGAATAAAATCAGTGCATCTAACCTGTTGAAACTTCTTTTATTCAGTGTTACTTTCAGTCAGTTTTGAAGAGAGTTGATCCTTAGTCCAGAGGTATTTTTTCTTTTACAATCTGAAAATGTGGAAGTATAGATTTAATACATTTTGTAAATACACAGTAAACATTTTAAAATATCAGAGACTAGCCTTAATTATTATTTTTTAATATTCTAAAAATATACTAAGTATAAAAAGAATATTTTGTTTCCATGTTGCTCAAATTAAGATCTAAACCAAAGGTGGTTCCCAAATTAAAAAGCAAAACACTAATGTTCTGTAGTCTAGTATTTGTACAGTTAACTCTTTTCTTATAGATCACCAATGTGTATGGTATTGTGCCCAGTAATGACATTGATTTATATTTTTTCCTACAGTGTACCAAGGTTCATAAAAACATAGAATGCAGTTAGTAAAAGTACAAAAATCTATATCCAGGCGGTTCGCAAAGACTTCGGTCGTGGCCTAGCAAATAAGTATCTCTTATCTATTAGACAAGTTCGTCCGTCCGTCCGTGGTGCTGTTTCAGCGGCCAAACCGTAAGAGATAGATAAAGAGAATGTTTAAGTTATAAGTTGAGAATAGTCTGATAAGACTACAAACCGGATGTGAGTAACGTAGCACTTCCGGTTTTCGAGAAATCACGTGATTCTATTTCAAACGAAACCACACAAAATCTCCGAAGTTCTCAATTAATTCAATACATTTTTTTTTGGTGAACATTTGGTTCACTGGTTTGCTAGTAATATACAATCCAGGATCTGCTCGCATGCTTCGAATAATAATTTAGATAGAAGAAATGCCAATATAGAAATAAAATACATTAGGTCCTTCATACTTTCAGCAGTAAGCCCGATAATGGAAAGAGATAGATATAAAAAAACTTTCCTTTTGCCATTTCCGCCACCTTACAGAAGACTACAGTAAAATATAAATATACCTTTGGGGGTGTCCTTACCGGGTGGGGTTCAGGCCGCAAGGTAAGGATGGCTGGAGTGGCACACCTGCCGCATCATCTATCTTTGTGACTGGACTTTACTTACAATTAACATTAGGTGGGTGGGGTTATTGTACTCATATGTGTCTCGTATGAAAAAAAAACGAGTGTGCTTATGACCACACGACTGAAGTGAAACTTTTTTAGCTCCATCTGTATATATTATGTATATAATTATATAAATATATGTATGTACATAAACATATTTCATTTACTAGCTATAAGAGAAAAAAAATGTGCGTCCGCACTGCATTCTCTTTGCTTATATCCCCCATTCAACTCCCGTTCGCCTCACCCGTACACACTTTTCGTAACGCGTAAGACATTTGCCAGCTTCCCCCCAAGTCAAGCGTGCGTAAAGAAGTTTCACTTCAAAAAAGAAAGTTGGACAAAGACGTTTCGAACATGACAATTAAGCTAAAATTCGGGCAGTGCAATGATTACACATCGTCCGGTGTACATACGGGGTCGAGTTGCCGTGCTCGCACCGCCAGATACTTGACGTAGTGCGGCCTGCAACAGGCGTTTATACAGCGCGGGTACAAACATACCTCAGCGCACATGCCGGCGTATATAGGGTCCGAGTCCCACGGTCCGCGCTCAGGTAGCGGCAGGGCGCGGCGACGCAGCTCGGTCACGAGTTCGCTGACGTCCATGATGGGGATGGGGTCGAGTTGCCGCGCCTGCGCCGCCAGATACTCGACGTAGTGCGACCTACAACAGGCGTTCGTACAGCGCGGGTATATACATACCTCAGCGCACATGCCGGCGTATATAGGGTCCGAGTCCCACGGTCCGCGCTCAGGCAGCGGCAGGGCGTGGCGACGCAGCTCGGCCACGAGCTCGCTGACGTCCATGATTGGGATGGGGTCCAGTTGCCGCGCCCGCGCCGCCAGATACTGGACGTAGTACGGCCTACAACAGGAGTTCGTACAGCGCGGGTACAAACATACCTCAGCGCACATGCCGGCGTATATAGGGTCCGAGTCCCACGGTCCGCGCTCAGGCAGCGGCAGGGCGCGGCGGCGCAGCTCTGCCACGAGCTCGCTGACGTCCATGATGGGGATGGGGTCGAGTTGCCGCGCCTGCGCCGCCAGATACTCGACGTAGTGCGGCCTGCAACAGGCGTTCGTACAGCGCGGGTATAGGTACAGACCTCAGAGAGCGCGCTCCGGTACAGCCCCTCGAGCGAGCCGTACGGGCGCGGCGGCAGTCGCAGCGCCGCGCGCCGCACCAGCGTCTCCAGGTCCTCCGCGTCTAGCAGCGGCAGCGGGTCCACCGCGCGAGCGCGCACCAACCGCGCGAGGTACTCCAGGTAATGGTTCCTGCACCCGTATTATTTACATTGAGTGGTATTCGCGCGGTTGCAAGCGGTTAAACTGAACTGCGCGCTCGCTCTTGAACGCAATCATGATCGATAGCTACCGTGAATTCAGTAGAGATAAGAAATCCGAGAATACATTAACTCTGAAGTGCGACTCAGCGCCAAAGTGCGCGAATGGACTGTACCCCAAGAACAAAATTTGACAGATCCGTATTCGTATCGCCATCGTCAAAGTTTCCATGGAAGGAGCTAATTTGTTCTAACGTCCGGTAGGGGCACTGCTTAGTTCTCATAGAAATTTTGACGATGGTGATACATATACGGATTATTCAAAGTTCGTGCTTGGGGTACTGATTATATGGAATTGAAATTAATGTAACGTCATTTTGTTTTGAATAATCATATAGTATATCGCAAACATTGCTCAAAGTTTTTGATTGCATTCAAAAGTAAGCCTAACTGGTGGTAATCTAATAGGGTTTTGATGAAATAGCTTTTATTTGCCTATTTATTTTTGAATTGGAAGCCCCGTCACACATACTTTTCCTAGTCACCATACTTAGTCGAGGCCACGGCAGTGGATACAGTTGCGCTTCGAGAGTCGGTCTTATTTCTAGGTAATAAGGGCGCTATCAATATCAAATTACTAGTAATCACAGTATCCACCAAAGTAGTCTCGACTGTGCTATTGCTAATTCAATAGACTTACATTTTAAGTCGATCAAATGACGGGGAATATCCTCACCACTCAAAATAAATAATACGGCTACGGGCACCACTGCCGTAGTCACCTCCTCATTTCTTTCCCACCCAGTTCTTATAGGTATTTATTAAATCGTATTTATATTTCTTTTATATTTAGCTATTCGCGATTCACAAAAGAAATATGTCCACTACGTTAGATAAGTCATTGAATAAAATGACCTTGTGATTAGAGTAAATAAACAATTTAAGATTTCACAACTACTAATATTTTTATATATACTAATAATAACAATAGAGTATTTGACTGTTATAATTGAAGGAAAACAAGTCTTATGTTCTAACATACATACAAAAGAGTTCTAAAGGACTCAGTACTCTAGTACTGAGTCCTTTAGAACTCTTTTTCACTCCTTAAAGAGCGTCAATGCCCAAGCACAAGCACGAGTTTTTGAGAGCTCCGTAACGTATTTCTATAAAAACTAAACAACGCCCCTATCGGATGTAAAAACAAACTAGCTTCTTCCATTCAAAATTTGTCGATTACGGTACTTTACGGAGCTGTCAAATAAACATGTGCTTGCGGCCTCGGACTCTTCTCCTTTTTATTTTTGGCTATTGTGACTTTACCACAAATTCTGCCAATGCCTCAGCACTCAGAAGCAGGATATAACGCTGTCGAATTTACAAATAGCAAATACATAGTGATTCGTATTTGCCATTTATCATTTTATCAGCAGGTTGTCCTTATCCTACTGTATTGGATGTGAATAGAAGAGACTGTTGTCAAGTTTATAAATAGCAAATACGAATAGCCATGTGAAGTGTCTGTATTAGGTACTAATGCTATAAAGCACTTCACGTGGATATTTATATTTCATTTTTGTTAAGGAGCTCGACCGCGCAAGTGGTTAGCGCCTTCGGCCTGCGATCGTGGAATTTAAGCCTTTATACGCTTTAGATTAAGAGGAAAGTAAAGGTCAGACTTGTCAATTTCACAAATAGTTTAATAGCAAATACGAATAGACATGAAGAAAAAAATATTTACATACTTGCACAGGCCAGCGTGATTGGGAGGCACGTCGCCACCACAAGTACCGTCCACGAGTCCGGTGGGCGTCTCCCGCTGCAGCTGTATTGGGCAGCGGGTCGAGCTGCCTTCAGGCGCTTCAGTTTCGTATGCCACGTTATTCATCTATACAAGGCAAAATATCACCATTTATTTGTCATAGAAAACTTACTTTGTGCCAGTGGTCCTGGGTACGAATATGATAGAACAGCGATACGCACAAGCAACCTTAAAGGATATAATTACCCTGTCCCGCTGGCACTGTCCTTGAACTTTACTGTCGCAGAAACAAAACACTATAGAACTAAAACTAAAACCTGAAAAAGTTTAGCAGAAGAAGAAGTTTTATGAAAGTCCCCCAGGACCCTACACTTTTTCTGAATAAAGAGTATTCTATGTCCCAATCCAGGCAATAAACTATATGTGTGCCAAATTTCATTCAAATCCGTTCAGCCGTTTTTTCGTGATTGAGTAACAGACAAACACACTTATTCTAGTAAACTTTTCTTTAGATTTAAACATCTAGCAGTTAAATGCTTAAAAAATAAATAAAATCATAACTATAATTGCTATTTCTTCTTTCAAATGTTTAATACTTGAAAAAGTATTCATTTGACATTGTGGGTTGCCTACAATGCGAAGAGATGGCGCTGCCTTGCAGCTTAAGGCTAGGAAAATTTCGACGCGGCTAATAGGGCTGTGGTAGCATAATGGTCAGTGCATTCGCCCGGATAGCGAAGGATGCGGGTTCGAGTCCCGTCCGCTGCCTGGTCCGCGTGGATTTTTTTCTAGTAAACTTTTCTTTAGATTTAAACACTTATTAACTTTCACAATTGTATATTAGTAGGAAAAATATTTATTGTACTTAAAGTCTACTCCCCTGTAACAGCATCTGCAGCTGGTGCGGTTCCTTGTCCCGCAGGTAGAAGAGACAGTTGTGCGGATGGTGCGCGTGCAGGCCGAGCTTGGCGCAGTAGTTGCTGAGGACGTAGCACAATCTATATAAAAGTCTATAGCTCACCTGTTACAGCGTTTGCAGCTGGTGCGGCTCCTTGTCCCGCAGGTAGAAGAGACAGTTGCGCGGATGGTGCGCGTGCAGGCCGAGTTTGGCGCAGTACTTGCTGTGGACTTAGCACAATCTATATAAAAGTCTATAGCTCACCTGTTACAGCGTTTGCAGCTGGTGCGGCTCCTTGTCCCGCAGGTAGAAGAGGCAGTTGCGCGGATGGTGCGCGTGCAGACCGAGCTTGGCGCAGTACTTGCTGTGGACTTAGCACAATCTATATAAAAGTCTATAGCTCACCTGTAATAGCGTCTGCAGCTGGTGCGGCTCCATGTCCCGCAGATAGAAGAGACAGTTGTGCGGATGGTGCGCGTGCAGGCCGAGCTTGGTGCAGTACTTGCTGAGGACGTAGCACATAGTATATAAAAGTCTATAGCTCACCTGTAACAGCGTCTGCAGCTGGTGCGGCTCCTTGTCCCGCAGGCAGAAGAGACAGTTGTGCGGATGGTGCGCGTGTAGGGCGAGCTTAGCGGAGTACTTGCTGAGGACGTAGCACAATCTATATAAAAGTCTATAGCTCACCTGTGACAGCGTCTGCAGCTGGTGCGTCTCCTTGTTCCGCAGGTAGAAGAGACAGTTGCGCGGATGGTGTGCGTGCAGGCTGAGCTTGGCGCAGTACTTGCTGAGGACGTAGCACAATCTATATAAAAGTCTATAGCTCACCTGTAACAGCGTCTGCAGCTGGTGCGGCTCCTTTTCCCGCAGGTAGAAGAGACAGTTGTGCGGATGGTGCGCGTGCAGGCCGAGCTTAGCGGAGTACTTGCTGAGGACGTAGCACAATCTATATAAAAGTCTATAGCTCACCTGTAACAGCGTCTGCAGCTGGTGCGTCTCCTTGTACCGCAGGTAGAAGAGACAGTTGAGCGGGTGGTGCGCGTGAAGGCTGAGCTTGGCGCAGTACTTGCTGAGGACGTAGCACAATCTATATAAAAGTCTATAGCTCACCTGTAACAGCGTCTGCAGCTGGTGCGGCTCCTTGTCCCGCAGGTAGAAAAGACAGTTGCGCGGATGGTGTGCGTGCAGACCGAGCTTGGCGCAGTAATCGCTGAGGCCGCAGCGCGCGCCCATTGTGAACGGCTTGCCGCACCCGTAGCAGAACTCGTACTTGCATTGTGTACACGTGAAGTGCATGCAGCCACCCCTGAATAAGCAAACAAGCATGTTTGTGCAACTATAGTGTAGATAAGCCATCACTTTACATCATAAAGCTTTAAAGCTCGAAAGTGTTTGGTGGCAATTTACAATAGCTCGACTAGACCAATATTATCATAATAATCAAAATCAAAATCATTTATTCAGTTTAGGCTGTTACAAGCATTCATGAATGTCTGTCTAGAAGCTACGCCATCGGTTCGCAAATCTACGGCGGGAAACCTTGTACTGAGAAGAACCGATAAGAAACTCAGCAAGGGCTGTTTTCCCCCCTGTTTTGTTGTATGTATTTCAATATTTTCAGTACGTAATTTTTTTTTAACAAATAAGTACTAAGTTTTCTTATATAAGGTGAAATTTGGTGATGTTTTAATGAAACGTTGGGGGATTATTGGGTTACGTTTAAGTATGCCTGATTTTTTTATTTGTTTTTCATGTTTTCTTTTATAATTTGTGTATATTTTTTATGTCCTTTCCTCATTCATTTTAAACACGCTTACTTACATATTAAGTGAAAAACCACTAATAAATAAGTAATACTAAAAAACGGAAAAACGGTAAAATTAAGCGAGCGGGGTCCACCGCGGGTCAACGACCGCACCCGCCCGCTGTTGAGTGCATAGACTAATATTGTATATAGGTTGAGTGAGTAGGTACACAGAGCTCAACTATCGCGACTTCTTTGACACAATACAATAAAATCGTCATAGATGTCAAATTTATTGAAATATAATAAGCACAAATGTCATCTTCCCATAAGCAGAGAAAAACCTAAAAAGTTAATAATAATTTTGTCACGATTGAAAATAGGCAAATGTTAAGCATAAACCAATACTTATTGCAGTTAAATACTTGGGTCAGAAAGAAATTTATAACCAGGTATTGATGTCGATTCTGGCATGGTTCTCTAAAGCTAAACTTAAATTTGACAACAGTGCATCCTTGTCCTTCTCTATACAGAATGAAAAGGTGAGACTGACCTTAAATTTAGTTTTAAGTTTAGAGAATCACGCCAGAATTGACACCATTCAAAAAGTACTTACAAGACCGATGTACATGTTATTTTTTTTTTCACTATAACTTATATACACTTTGTAAACAGAATCAATAACCAAAACTACTTTCGTAAAGCCTTGCGGCTCTGCTGAGTATTTCGTCACACTCTTAATAACAACACACCATGTCCAAATTCTTATATTGAGGCCACATTCTTATAACAAGAACTAATCGAGGAATTATTTGCAAATCTTGTCTTGTCACAAAGTTAGAACATACACTATTATCGAGGCATAATTTGCAAATCTTGTCTTGTCTCAAAGTTAAAACATACGCACGCGATGAATAGACTTGAGACTGCGCTGCGCTTTGCACCGCGCATAGGTAGGTAGATAGGTATTCAACGGAGGGATTGCCGTTGTTTTTTATTTACTCTGTATGCGTGTTTAAAAAGAATAATTATTTATAATGCGATTCAATTAAGAATAGGACTGACGGGCGCCATTTTTTTTATGTTATAGGGGGCACACGAGCAGACGGCTCACCTGATGGTAAGTGATCACCGTCGCCCATAGACACTTGCAACACTAGGAGTATCACAAATGCGATGCCGGCCTTTAAAGAAGGAGTACGCTCTTTTTTTGAAGATTTTTGAGTCGTATTGGTCCGGAAACATTGCTGGCGACAACATATTCCACAGTTTTGTCGTACGTGGTAAAAAAATTCGACAAAAACGCAAGGTTGTGGATAGCCACGCATCAAGATGATGGGTATGAAATTTTTGTCGCGATGTACGATGGTGAAATGCAGCAGCTGGAATTAATCCGAACAATTCCTCAGAACACTCCCCGTGATAAATGCGATAGAAGATGCAGAGCGAAGCTACATCCCTATACAAAGCCAAAGGATCAAGCTGATCGGAAAGGTCCTGGTCGTCGACGATTCGAGCCGCTCGGCGCTGGATGCGATCCAAAGGGAGAAGCTGGTACTGGGGTGCCCCCGCCCAAAGATGAGAGCAGTACTCCATGTGAGGCCGAACCTGTGCCTTATAAAGCTGCAGTCGGTGGGCCGGTGTGAAGTACATTCTCGATCTATTGAGCACACCAAGCTTCTTAGAGGCCAATTTGGCCTTGCCCTCTAAATGATCCTGAAACTGGACGTCGCTCGATATGTCAACGCCAAGAATTCCAATACTAGGTGAGGCAGTTAGAGGAGTGTTCTATATATATAGTGGGACGTCATAGCTTGAACAGCTTCAATAGGCTAGTTGACCATTTTTGGAAAAAGGTTTTAAATGGTTAATAAATGTTCTATTAGACCGAAAAAAAATGTATTGTAATATTTTTAAACCTAGGAAGCTACAAATCTTTAATTTTAAAATAGACTTTTCATGGACATACAAAAACACTGTCGGCCATTTTAGTCTATAGATTATCTATGCTATGATGTGAACTGTGGTAAACAAAAACTCGTAAACACGTAGAAAATTACTTTTAACTGAGTTTATAATAAAAAAAAAACATGATTTCTAATAAATACCACGAAAAATAAAGTAATTATCATTACTGTATTGTACGAGAATATAAAAACACATCCTTGAAGACTCCAGGAAAGTTGTGGATTAAAGTGCCGAAAGAAATTAACCTACGCAACTTTATTAAACTTATTCATATGTTGTATCAGTTTTATGTTTATTACTACATTGATGTCGATTCTGGCATGATTCTCTAAAGCTAAACTTAAATTTGACAACAGTGCATCCTTGTCCTTCTCTATACAGAATGAAAAGGTGAGACTGACCTTAAATTTAGTTTTAAGTTTAGAGAATCACGCCAGAATTGACACCACTGTAATACTAAATGCACTGTACTTACATAGATGCCTTGTCGTTTCTCTACTCCGCAGAGCAGAAATCGGGGTTTAGTGCAACAAATTCACCAACCATCAATGCGTCAATTCTTGGCAGATTTGTGCTTTCTGCTTTCACAAAGCCGGCATCCATAATTAGTTTTGTCAAAAAAAACTAAGTTTACTGTTTTTTTCTTTCCTAAAGTTAAAAGTGTTTTAAGATAAATTTAGTCAGACGAAAGAATCGACCTACAGTAACACGCGAATGACATTTAGTTGTTTGTTTACCACAAGATAGGGATATTCGATATACATCGATGCATCGAAAACATCGATGTTTGCAATGAAAAACATCGAATCAATCCGATGTTTTGAAAAGCTTTCAATATACTCGATGCATCGATGTTGAAAAAAACATCGAATTGGTAATACAGTTTGACCACGTAGTGATAATACCCTCTTTTTGGTTTAACCTCAGTAAAAAGAAACTTAAGTTTGACCACTAAAATTTTACTTATTACTGTTATGATAGCATTCCGAATTCTCTAATATGGCTCCGATGTTGGCAGCACTGCGCAAGAGTCAGTGCAGTGACAATAAAAAATAACTATGAGTTTCTATGTTTATAAACATTTAATAACCTTTGGTTTTGTGAAACAAACTAAGATTGAAGTATATTTCTAATATTGTATTGACAGACAGCAAAAAAATTTTAAATTTATGAAAAAGCACTCGATGTTTGAAATACGTTATGTTATGTTTTCATCCGATACATCGATTGACATCGATGTATAGTTGCGATGTATCGAATCAAAAAATACATCGATGTTTTTTCAGATTGGACACCCTTACCACAAGAGACGTCAAAATCATGGCGGATGTGGCGAACAGCGTTTTTAGTGTTTAAAAAATATAGACTAAAAAATATTTTTTAAAATTAAATTTCTACAGCAATCTTCTGTTTATATTAAGTGAAAGCGATATATTAAGGTTCCTTAGACTAAATACTTTAACAAATAAACATTTATTTAATACAATTCGACATGAGTAAACTAGCCTATTCAAACCAAATAGGTAGAGTGAGCAAAAAAAGTTTTTATTTAATAAAACTTATTTACTTACATTAACTAAGAAAAAACATCAGATTTTTTAATAAAATTTATTTACAAAGATTGAGAAAAAAACAACCGATTTTTAATAATATTTATTTATTAAGACTGTGAGAAAAAACATTAATCAGAATCTAGCTCTTCAATTCCGCTCATCTCTGCATTACAGCCGGAGTAGTTATGAATAATCACGCACTATTACTTGTCATATTCGAACATGCATCCTTTATGTAAACGAAAGTTTTAAAACGAGTTTATGAACGCAACTCAAAGTGACATTTGGTTGACGATTTAGGTTATCAACCAGTCATAGCCAAAGCTCAATAAATGAAAAAGAAAAATATCAAACAATATTAATTATCAATATTTGTTAGTGCTGAGTGCTAAAAAAGGGTTCCAAGATTTTTGTGCAAACCGTACTTTTCAAGCGACATTTGACAGATGGAGGTCATTGGCTTTCCTATTCTTATTTAAATCGCATTATAGTATTCAAAAGGAGGGAAGAACTAAAAAATTGCAGAATAAACAAAATTTTATTTTTAAATAATTTAAAAAAAATCCGAAAAATTCAGAGATACTCTATACAGGGTTTTACAAAAATACAAATAAAGCTTGAAGGGCGTTGAAGTACATCATACAAGGATTCTTCTCTAATTTTCTTAATTTTTTTACAGGAAGTTTTAACTTTTTATAAAAACAGTTGTTTTTAATGATTAATAAAAATATCGATCTTTTTAAGACACGTCACTAGATCGAGGATCATTTAAAATAACTGTTTTTATAAAAGGTTAAAACTTCATGCAAATATTTTAAGAAAATTAGAGAAGACTCCTTATAGGATTTACTTCAACGCCCTTCAAGATTTATTTGTATTTTCGTAACACCCTGTATACGTAACCTAACAATATCATGAAGTGTCATTAAAACATTTAATTTTACCTTATATATATATTGTGATGCAACCGTGATTATGCATATTTCTTTAAACTTATCACTTAAGGATTCCTTAACTTTAAGATTTAGATTGATCGAATAGCCGTCTTCTGTAACACAAATATAGTTTGAATGTCGGCGGCATTTCCCCACAGTAAAATACCGTAAGACATTTCACTTTGAAAATAACTGAAGTAGACTAATCTGGCAGTTTCTATATGCGGTAACTGACGTATTTTTATTACAGCTTAAGCTGCACAACTAAGTCCCTTCGACAACTTATCAATAAGTGGGCCCCTGAGAATCTAGTGTGATTCCTAAGAAAACTGTGGTATCTACAAGGCTCATATTCGATCCTTAATAAGTATTAACATTGGTTTTTACCTGTTTTACATTAGGTAATAAAAATTTCAAACACTTAGTTTTCCTTTCATTTATCAGTAAATTATTAACATTGAACCAGTGGACTACCTTAGAAATAGACTTGTTTACGTCGTCAATTTGTGACTGCCTACGTTTAATTTAAAAAAAAGTGAAGTGTCAATTGCAAACAATAGTATTTCGTGGTTATTCTTTACAAAATAGGGCGTCATTGATATTAATTAAAAATAAGAACGGACCAAGAATTGAGCCCTGCCGAAAAATCTTGTGGTTCGTCGATTAAGACGGGAATCGACGAACTACAAGATTTTTCGCTATAGATGTCAACCCTCTGAACCCTATCACTCAAATATGATCCAATAAGATCTAGAGTAGTATCTCTAAATCCATGGTGGTGAAGTTTCCTGAGCAATGTTTCATGAGAAACTCAATCAAAACCCTTTGTTAAGTCGCAAAACACACCTAGTGCATCATGCGAGTTCTCCCAGGCATCAAAAATTTGCTGTACAAGCTCTACACCGGCATCAGTCGTTGAGAGACCTCTTGTGAAACCAAATTGTTTACTATGAAGAATGTTATCACTATAAAAATATGATTGCATTTGATCTAGCAGCATACCTAATCTTTTCAAAAACCTTACTAAAGGTGGGTAGCACGGATATAGGTCTAAAGTTTGTGAGGTCAGATGTGCTACCCGATTTTTGCAATGGAGTAATTTTACTGTGTTTATATTAAATCAGGAATTATATTGAATTCAATGGGTCTGTATAGAATAGTAAAATTGCTACTATTTGAACAGATTGCACTACTGTACTTCCTCACTATACTTCTTCAATTTGCTTTCCTTAACATTTGATTCGACAGACCATGTCACTATACCTGGAGAGAGAGTACTTGAAGTGACAGCGCGGGCACTCTAGGCCATTCTCACGCAGGTGCTGCTGCACTGCCGCCACCGACCGCTCGGGGTCGTTGTCCTCCAGCCACGCGGCGTACTGCTCGCACGATAGACCCTCGTGGTTCGCTGACCACTGTAATAATATCACTAGTTTAGCTTAGCACACAAAATCATTATTTAATGTGACAAATAATGCCGGAGCTCGCCTTGATGGTAAGCGGTGAACAATCATTGACTAAAGTTAAACCAGGGGCTCAATTGACTCACAGGATTGCTATGATAATCGCTATCGCTTACGATTTCATTTTTTTATTTCTGACCTCCGAAAGTTTTCAAAAAGCTTACGCTCATTTTCTTTATTATTGTTATTACCAATGCAAACGAAAAAAAAACGAGCGCAAGGCATTTCAAAACTTTCAGCGGTCAGAAATAAAAAAATGAAATCGTAAGCGATAGCGACAGCCATAGCAATCTCATCAGCCGAATGGCCCCCCGGTCTAAAACGATGCTGTCACTTTTGTTTGATAAAAAGAAGACAAATACAGCATTACGTTTAGATAAGCTGGAAAATATTACGTTTAAATAAGGTGGAAAATGTTTGATAGGCTCGGTTCCAAAGGTGATATTTATACCTATCGTTCCAGGTTATTAACGATGAGTCGTACAATTTATATTTTTTTATTATTTTAGACAAAAGTTTGTTTGTTATATTATATCATATAATTTTTAAACTACACAATTTTTTAACTTACTGCTTTCCTACATTTAGCGCAGCTAACAGATCGGCACTCTGGACAGCGTACTCTCTTTTGTTTCGGATGCACGAAGAATCCGGACGAGCATTCCATGCACCATCTAAAGTTAGGATCCCGGGCAAGGGTGCGGTCTCGTAACTGGTAAAATAAATACTTAACATCTTAAACACGTCCATTTTTCTTTACACACATAAAGGAGATTGCTCAGCTTCCATACATGTTTGGCCTAAAAACCAATAACCATGAAAAATTGTTTCCTAGATTCGAAATTTTATATAAATTACCGTAGAAACGAATATTATCGACGGCCACTCCTGAGAACTTCTATAAACCATATACACTGAATGATTTTGAGGTTATGTTTGCAAATAGGCACATAGGTATTAGAATAATAAAAACCAAATAACTTATTATGTATTAGATTCAGGTATATAGAGCATGTAAAATAACAGATAATTGCCTGTTTTTAAAATTAATGCACAAGATTAAGTTTTAAAATCATGATTATGCCATTGCGACTTTCAGAAGCAATCTTGTTTCATTTGAAAAATGTCTAACACTAATTACACTAACAAAATGCATGTCAAGGAACTGGTACCTGCTTACCTATGTTATGAGAAACATGGAACTGTTATCATAATTTTATAAAAACCAATAGGATATTTTCTTAGTAATAATTAGGTTTATAATGGTAAAAGGTAATTCTAATGTAATAATATATTGCGTAGGTTCATGATAGTTCTGATCAATGTGTGAAATATGTATATTCCTGACATAGCTTAAATATTCTGATAAGGTAAATTAATGAAATAAAACAACTTAAGTACTTTTATGTTGCGTTTAATATTACATATCATCTACATTTTGAATTAAAATATCATCGAAATATTTTATCAATCTTTACAAAATAGATTTGTTTTGATGTTATATAAACAACCTCGATCAGTCTTTGTGAATGTTACTACACCCATAGCCAATAAAAATGATTCGTATGTTTTCCAAACCGGTAAAAATAGAAGTCCTTTTTTAAAATTAATATATTATTTAAAGGTGGCCGTTAAAATCTAATGACTGTAAAATAAAGTATAAATTACGCCAAGAATTACTGTATATTATTATGTCAATATTTTATTTGCATTTAGGCCAATTTGACCAATCTCCTTTGACAACAGTGTATCTTTGTCATTCTTTATATAGAATGAAAAGGAGAGACTAAAGTTAAAGGCGACTGCTCAAATTGTCCCAAATACACAAAAAATATTTATAATTTAATTTACAGTCATTAGATTTCAACGGACACTTTTGTATCATGGACGTATAAAAAAAGGCGGACAGAGTCCCGGCAAACAACAAACTGTGTCGCTCAGAGTCGGCCAGGTCGCTATATGTACAAGCCGGCACACACACATTCACACCATAGTCAGCCATTACGCGTGCAAACGTCAAAGCAGCCGATACGTTATGTGGAGATAAAAATAAGTTAAAACAAGATGTCTTGCGTGGTAAAATGGTGTAAAAACCGTAGTGACCGAAAGAAAAAAAATCCAGGAATCACGTTTCATAGGTAAATGAACAATATAATCACTTTTTTCTAGTTTTTAGAAATCGAAATCAATTTTCATTCTAAGCACAAAATAATTAATCTAAAGTCCAGTGTTGTCAATGTTCACGTAACCATATTACCTAAAATATGGGAAATTGGGGTGACATTAGCTTCAATCTATTATTTGTTATTCTTTTTTATCAGATTCCCTAAAGAAAATGTAGAATGGAGAAATGACTGGATCCAAGTTATTAGGAATTGTAACGGAGATGATGAATGGATTCCAAATAAATATAGTGTCATTTGCAGTATCCATTTTGAAGCTGGAGACTTATATACTACTAAAAGAGGACTCCGGCGTGTTGTTACGCATGCAGTACCTCAAAAGGTAAATTAAAAAATTTAACCGACTTCAAAAAGAAAGAGGTTCTATACGTCATATTTGTTATTTTTTTTTTCAATTGTTGTTCGTGCATATCTCCGAGATTCGTGGACCGATTTTGATGATTATTTTTTTGTTTGAATCAGTTTATTAGCGAGATGGCTGTATTAATTAAGTGCAGAGCTGATGAGTATTTTCGGAGGGAAACAATGGAACTCCTCAATTACAAACAGTACTCAATGCATGTTTTGTTAATTTAAGAAATATAAAAAAGAATGCAGGCCTGGCCAGGCATATTTAGGTGATTTACTCTGGCTTATGAAAAGTGGAAAATATAAACTTTTTCATACAAAAATAAAAACAGACTTCATGTTAGTTTTCCAATTACAGAGCATAATGCGACTCAGTGGCTACCAATGCCGAATTATGCTGATGATTAATTGGAACGTGAATTAGTTTTCAAATGCACCAGCAAAGTGCGCTAAGTTCAGTGTTGAAAAAAAAGTGGAATATAAAAAAAGTCAATATTTGTTATATATAATAGTTTGAATTAACTTTGATTATTTAAAAAAACCTACAATGAAACAAAAGTTTTAAAATATTTTCAACGATAAATAATATTACTAACGATAATATTTAAACAAAACATTTCGATCAATGCCAACTTAAAAACAGTCCGTATGAACACAATTTTCGCCTTTCCAGTATAGATCGAAACGGTGCAGTGTGTTAAATTTTTGCCACGGGACCAACGTTCGACGCATCACCGCGGTCGTCGGTTCAAATCCCGCACTCGTGTTTTATTTTTTATTATATTTTTTTTCCATTTTTTATATATTTGTTTTAGACCCCAGCACCTGTTCTTATTTTTATTTGTCTCCCTTTTATTTAGACTTTATAATTATAATTTTTGGACCTAAGGTGGTAAACTGTGGAGCATGTGGAAGTTTTTTGGCGCCGGGCAATGCTGTTGTTTGCTGTGCTTGCCCAATAAAATATCATAAGGCCTGCCTCGCCATCTATTAATATCAGAGAAAAAACTTGAATTAATATCAAAGAAAAAAAATACTGCATAAATAAATAGTATTATTGCATAAGTTGACAAATAATTCTATGCAATAGCTTTACCGCGGCAGTGCCCGAGTTACTTTTATAATAAAACATAATCTTTCTGTTGTGTTGTTTAATTTACTAAATTTGACATACATAACAAAGTATGTTTTGTAATCTTATCATTGGATCTGTAATTTGTCGGATTACAAGGTACTCTTTTGTAAAAAAATTCGGACTATAGGGGGTCTTAGGCAGTACTCTATAATCCGACAAATTCGATAGTTCGAGACTGCCCTGCAAAATGTTTGTCGGACTACCGGGGATCCACTGCATTCTTTTAAGACCCTTTACTTTGATACCTCGCTTGACGGGTTATAAGCATTTTTTTTCTAAAGGTTTCATTTTGGCGCCTTATTATTGGGCATACATACATGCATACACGCTCGAAAAACATTATCCACCGCAGTCGGGTAAAATTTTGAACAATTAAAATATTTTGATCTTTTTACTGTGTTTTATTGGTAAAAAATTGGCTAACCTAGCAACCCTGCATTCACTCACTCATAGATAACCGCCGCCATTACGGTGCCTCACTTTTGTCTTAGCCGAAATTCTGTCCGCCTTTTTTTATACGTCCTTGTTTTGTATAATATATTTACTTTAAAAAGGACTTTTAATTTTACCGGTTTGGAAAACATACGAATCATTTTTAATGGCTATGGGTGTAGTAACATTCAGCCAAAGACTGATCGAAGTTGTTTATCTATATATATATTAAACTCAAAGGTCACTGACTGACTGAAATAGTGATCTATCAACGCACAGCCCAAACCACTGGACGGATCGGGCTGAAATTTGGCATGCAGGTAGATGATATGACGTAGGCATCCGCTAAGAAAGGATTTTGATCAAATCTACCCCCTAGGGGATAAAATAGGGAATAAAATTTTGTATGAAACTTTGCATGCAGGTATAAGAAGAATCATAGATGAATGTCATTGTGTATAATACAACACTTTAGCTCTACACCGAAGCGAAGAGAGGGCGGGCCGCTAGTATAACATAATAAAAAAAACACTGGTCAACAAAATTCAAACTTTTTTTTGTCACACGAAAACTTATACCAAATTTTGAATGTACTATGGCCACCAAACAATAATATATCAACAGAAAAAAATTGACACATCAGGTTTCTTTGTGACATCAAGATTTATATTTTTATGAAAATTACAAAAATCAGTAACATATAAAAAATATTTCTTAATGTAAAATAAATATCTATGATTTGCGTGAATGTTTGGCTTCTGGTAGGTCCCTTTTAAGTCCCCAGCAGTAATCTGCTAGCATTCCTGGACTCCATTTCCCTTGATAGCGCTTTTCTATGAAGGAAATGTCCTGATGAAACCTCTCGCCTTGTTCGTCGCTCACAGCACCCTAATTTTCGGGAAAAACATCCAGATGAGAGGACAGCATATGTATTTTTAAAGACATATTACATCCCAAAGCTTTGTATGAAATTAAAAGCTCACTGATTAAGTCTTTGTAATTTTCCGCTTTATGACTTTAATCTAGACCCCAAAAGCTCAGCCTGTTTTTAGACAAGTTCAAATCGCGTACTGAATCGTTTAAATCACTTTGTGTCAATAAATGGGGTTCTTTTGAAGTTGACGGCTCATAACTTGGGTCACTCTTTTGAGATATCTTACTTTGTTGACTAAGAACAAATTCCGGACAAGGACCAGAATCCAGACTCTCTGCTTGATTTGGAAGCATTGGCACAGGCAGTTCGGTACTATGTAGGATTGGTCTGTTGGCCGATGACACGATTGGGTACTGGACATTGTGTTTAGACTTAGTTGTTATGCCTTTTGTTTGAATCAAACAAAAATAACAATCACTTACATGATCCTTTGGTTTCGTCCAAATCATTGGTATACCAAAAGCCAAATGTCTAGATTTCTAGACCAACCTAATAGGAGTCTAACACACGTTAACAACATATATGTGGAACCCAGGGTTTATCTTGGTGACGTACTGCAATAAATAGCACTTTTCAATTAACGGCGTAAATTTCCGACGCTGAGGTGTTAAAGTTAATTCTCATAACAAAAACCGTCTGGTTTATTAGAACACTTTCGCGGCATATCTACAATGTAACAAACGTAAGTTTGTTGAATGCAATCGTTATACAGTCGTCTTAATTAACGTTATTCAAATAAAAACACGTAAATGAGGTCAGAAATGAAAATGTAGCTGTCACAAAAAAACTGGATGTGACTGATACCAAATAATGATTATTTTTGAATGAGGGAACATCAACATAAATAAAAATCATCACAAAGTTCGTGTGACAAAAACAGTGTTGACCAGTGAAATGGGTGCGTGTACTTATGTAGGCGCGTGAGAAGTTATCCTTTGGCATCGTTTAAAATTAGTTTTTAATTGCATGCAAATAATTAATTACAATAAATTAATAAAAAGTCTGGAAAAGGACACAGTCAATAAAGTTCAGTTTTAATTTGAAAAAATAAATAAATAATCAAAATATTCAATTAAAATCGCTACTGAATATAATTTATTAGAACATATGTGATTTGCACTTGTATGAAACTCAAACACGTATTCCGAATATACAACTAGAAACATGTGGATAAATATTATACAGATAATAGATACCTATAACTGTTACTTTATTACAAAAAATAAAGATGTGGTTTTTGGTTCTACTACACCAATGGTCAAGAGATGGCGCTGTAGTCTCCTGAATCGCGCTTTGGTTCCGTTGTTCCAGATTAATAAATACTTTTGATATTATAAATATGAATACCTATAACTGTTACTTTATTACAAAAAATAAAGATGTGGTTTTGGTTTTACTACACCAATGGTCAAGAGATGACGCTGTAGTCTCCTGAATCGCGCTTTGGTTCCGTTGTTCCAGATTAATAAATACTTTTGATAGGCCTTCACAATGCAGTCGTTAGCACCCACTAAATAGAGATTCTATTTCTATTTTGTTGGTAGATTTTCTTAATGTGCGGTAAACACAAAAGTAACGCATGAAGTTGGTCGCTAAAGCGACCAACTTCATGCTGTTAAAATTGTGTGTTCCAGTGATGCGCGCGCATCTTAAAATTTCACTCTCATCATTTTTTCATAACGCGCCTAAAGAAGTATAACTTCAAAAACAAATCTATTTTGTAAAGATCGATAAATTTTTTTTTTTATTACACTGTGGTATTAATATCCACAACTATATTATCGTTTTCACTAGATGCAAATGTGCTCAGACAATTATTATAGATGGTAGGCGACATCATAAAGTCTATTGCCATACATTTTTCAAACACCTCCATAAAAATATTATAATCTGTATATATATATGTTAAACTTTAAGGTATCTATGGGTACGGCCAGAGTGCACTCAGATTCAGATTCAGACTCAGAAAACAAGCTCCACTGGCCACTACGGCCACCCTGCTTTAACTACACTGTTTATTTCTCGCGCTTGTTTTCGGAATCTGAATTTGAATCTGAGTGCACTCTGGCCGTACCCTATCTATGGGCCTACGTTCCCTGACTATAAATTAATAAATAAATAAAATTATAAGGTGTTATACACTAAAAATCTCAAATATGGTTATCTTAAAAACATAAAAAAAAAATCAAGTTACTGAATATGGCTATATAGAACCTAAATTTCTTAGCTTTCTTTGGTTAACGAGATTTTATAAATTCTCTCTAATCTGTGGCTCATTCACAATCATCACACAGTTTCTGTCACAGAGTACCTTATTATAACCGGAAATGACACCTGATTTTAAAAGTTACTCTAATGCATTAACTTTAAAAACAGGCAACTATCTGTTAATCTACATGCTCTGTATACCTGAATCTAATCCATAATTTCGGTACTTGGCTTTATTTCCCTAGTTTACTATATAACTTATTTGTTTTTTATTATTTTAATATGTTCAGTGTATATGGTTTATAGAAGTTCTCAGGGGTGTCCGTCAATAATATTCGTTTCTACAGTAATTTAAATATAATTTCGAATCTAGGAAACAATTTTTCATGATTATTGGTCTTTAGGCTAAACATGTATGGAAGCTGAGCAATCTCCTTTAATTTTAAGTTTAGAGAATCATGCCAGAATCAATACCAATATATACATAGGAGGAATATCATACTTTTTACATAGGAATTTAAATAAAAAGCCAATCTGGAATATTAGATCTGATAAAATATTGATATTTTTTTTTATTGCAAATGATTAACTTGATTCCTATAAGCACTTTTTATGTGTATATATTCAGTCAGTTATTAGTCATTGTATAGCATCAGCATACAATGAAATTTAGTAGTCTCATACGATTCGACTCAGCCAATCGGTAACTAACTATATTATCACGAAACGCACTTACTTTTCTTTGGAATAACTCATGCACCTCCGTCTCCAGCAAAGTTTTGAGGAGTATATCGAGGTGAGCGAAGTACTCGAGCCACGAATCCTCCGGTATGTTCTCGAGGTCGGGCACCTTGCAGTACGGGCACACGCAGTCCGCGATGCTCCTCTCCGTTATTTGTACGGTGAAGTAGTGGCGGGCGCACTCGCGGCAACAACGGTGCGTGCACCGCAACATCGATACCATCTGTCAGACAAATGACGTGATCTTTAAAAAATTCTACCTAATTTGGATTTCATTGATAAAATAGGCAAAAACTATTAAAATTCGTCGCAGACCAGCAATATCTTCGGCTGTGTCACTCGCACAGTTTGCTGCGAGTTCGATCCACGTGATGTCAGTTTAGTTAGCTTGGCTTGCCCCCACGGTTCACTAGACACCTTATTAGCTTACAGGCGTGTTAGTGTGATCAATCTTTGTGAAATTAACAATGAGGGCATTTACGCGCAGGTTTTACCGTGTGAAGTCTCGCGCGCATCTTATTTTTTTTCACTGCGCCGCCACTTGCGTAACTAACTCCACTGTTACCATTAAAGTTTGAATCACACTGTACTGACTTCGTCAGCCACCGGTGCGGTCGCGCCGCGCTCCACCGCAAGTCGCGCCTACGGCCACATGTCGCCACTATACTGACCTCGTGCTCGGGCAGACGCGAGGCGCACAGCTCACAGTCCTGGTGCAGGTAGGCGAGGGCGGCGGCGAGGTCGGCGCAGTCGAGCGCGGCCAGCAGCGCTGACGGTGCGGTCGCGCCGCGTGCCGCCAGCTCCACCGCCAGTTGCGCCTGCTCCCATGTCTCGGCTGCGCCCTGTGCTAGCACCATGCGCGCTTGCCGCTGCACATACGCCACACATATTTATGATATTTACATATAGATTTACAACATATCCTATCTTCTAAACCTAGATAGGCTAACATTTAAACCGATATCGATCAGCATAGAAATCGAAATATTCCTTTAAGTAACGTAATTGCCACTGAGTAAATTAACAATAATATTTTTCATAAATATTGCATTTAAAAAATAAAAATACATCGAGTTAACAGATAGTGCAGTCATTGAAGCGAAAAATACGGTCTTACCTCCGAATTTTTTTACTATGAACCGATTTGCATGAAATTATGGAATTAGGCTCATCTTACCCTTAACTTCAAAAGTGAAAATGATCTGAACTCCGACTATTATTATTAAGGGGTGTAAACAACCCCTTAATGGAAAATTTGACATTGAGCCATTTTATCGCTAGAAAACATGTCTAATAGTAAGTTATGAAATTGTAAAGTATTTTCTAACATAATTACCTCATATTAAAATAATTTTCAACCCCTTGAAAATCTTACAACCCTTGCAAACAACCCCTAAATTGAAAAATCACAAAAAATACTTTGGTATGACTTAAAAAGATGTAAATATAGAGTTAGTAATATTTTATATTCTCTATAATAATTATCAAATTTTTAACCCCTTTTCAACCCTTGTAAACTACCCCTTGATAAAAAATTGTTAAATTTTTTTTTTTGAGAAAACGTAAAGCATTTAAATATTATTCCACACTCTCGAAAATCATTATCATATTCTTAAGCTTTTCTACCCTTAAAACTACCCCTAAATTAAAACAGTAAATATATATGATTACATATTTAAAAATAATTTAATTTAGAGTAAAAAAATGCCAATTATTGAATAAAATATTTACTAATTATATAAAATTGTAATATTATTATTCATGACTCAATGTCGGAGTCGCTGTCACATTCAACATCTTCTGGCTGAATTGGAGGGCTATTTTGGCAGTTATCTCCACTGCACGTTCCACAGGTACTATTACAAAACAGACCAACTTTTTTGCATCCGCAAGACACTCCACATTCTTTTTTGCAGTTGCAAAAAATAATTTTCAGCAGTTCTTGTGGTGCGGGTGGATCTACAGACTTAAGTGGATTTAATAAACCGTCATTCATGACCCACCCCCAATCTGTTGGATGAATGATGATGATGATGATGATGAAATGATGAAATGTGTTATCACTACATAGTATAAAACAAAGTCGCTTTCTCTGTCCCTATGTCCTTTTGTATGCTTAAATCTTTGAAACTACGCAACGGATTTTGATGCGGTTTTTTAATAGATAGAGTGATTCAAGAGGAAGGTTTATAAGGTTTATGTATAATACATGCATAATATAGTAGAGAAACACTGATAATTTTAGAGGTTTTTAATATAAGGTCGTAAATAAACACATTTTTAAAACGGTGGAGGGTTAAAGGGCTTAAGAGAGGCTGTGATTGCGCTGCCACGCCCTCTTTAAACAATCATATCTCCGTCAATTTTATTTTGACAGAAAAAACAAAAAAACCAAATTGTTTGTCAGAAAAATACCAAAATTTTTAATCCGTACACTGTACGTACGTATCTGTCGTCATTTTTGAGATATTATGAAAAAAAGTGTGTTTTTTAAAAAAAATAAATTTTGGTTTTTCTTTTAATCGTGACTTTTTTGAAAAATATGTGTCCTGAAGCAGCCAAACTGATACTATCTATCAAACTTTTCATAATAAAGTTAATTCTAGGCAGAATACGATTAATTTTAATTTTGGTGGAAATGGCACTTATGAAACCCATTGATTTAAAAGAAAAAACATTAGATGCTCCCCTTATTTGCAATACAGCTCACTTATTTTACGTGCAACAGACTTTTAATAGTGCTTATTTTAAAGCTTATTTCAAGCACTACAAAACCCTTTTGTATAAGAATGCATAAAATGCATCTGCTCGCCGCTAGATGGCATTGACCACATCGATTAAATTTCAGACAAAATAAAAAACGGCTTTGATCTTTAATATCTAGCTTAATATTGCACTTAGAATACTTTATAAAAAACCAAATTGTTCATTGTTTTACCTGCTACAATTTTCGATAAAAATTATATTTTGGAGATATTTGCAAAAAACCGATGAAAAACGGGAAAAAATTTTCTATTGCCAATAACTTGAAAAGTATTGGACTTTTTGAAAAACTTTATAGATGATCTTTTGCTTAAAATTGGGCCTTCTACCGATATCCGATTTATTTTGAAAAAAAAATAATTCACCCCCGAGAAGAGGTGGCAACCACCCCCAGGGTGGTAAGTTAAGGGTAAGATGAACCTAATTCCAAAATTGTATGCAATTCAGTTCACAGTAAAAAAATTCAGAGCAATAATGCTTCAATGACTGCACTAAGAATAGTAAATCGGAATTACAGAAATCTAGTAGATGCCCTTAAAACATATTTTGTAAATTAAAACTATCTAACTACAATGGCAGAGTTTAAAAACATTTAGTATTTGCTTGTACAGTAATGAAATCAACAAGTTCTTACTTCTGGAGAGCCTTCTGGAAGTTGCACTTTTGCCAAATCGATGATTTGGCCCGACACCCGTCGTAGCGTCAATGGTGGTGGTGGTGAAGGCGCGCGAACCGGTTCTGCGGTGGCCTTTACAACTTGTATTTGAGATTCCTCCGAGTCACTCTCGGTCCATTCATCCTCTGTTCGACAAGACTCGCGGAAAAAGTTGTCCTTCTTTTGTTTTGGAGGAGACGTGTTCACTGGCGACGGTTGTTTTGTTTCTTTTGTTGGAGGGAGCGGCGCAGGTTTCTTCTTATGCAGAGTCGATGTCGAAGGTTTAACTTCCACGGTTGAAGGAATATTAACGGAAGTCTTAGGAAGTTCGTTGTTAAATAGTCTCGTTTGTAATTGCTTTACGTGGCCGCTTTGAATATTTCCGAAGTGAGATTTTGGCGGGACAGGCGCCGGGTACTGTTTCTGTGAAGGTCGACGCACAGGCACTTTAGAGGCGATTACTTTTGGAGAGGTTTTATTGGGTTTCTGTTTGTTACTTTGAACTATTTTTATTAATTTTGGTATGTTAGATTTGATTGAATTTAAGGTCTTGCTTGCTATGCTATTATTACTTGAGGATTTCGAAACTGTTGGTTCAGGTATTTGTTCGCTACTGCTTTTTCTGTTAGACTGTGCCTCTGTCAACGGGTCGTCAATTTTCTCCTCGGCAACATCAATGCGATCTGTGTTTTGTTCCTTTATTACTTCTTCTACCACTCTCATCTCTTCTGTTTCTTCAGACGACAGAGGAGATACTCCTGTTGTTGCTACTTCTGCTTTCGTTAAATTTTCATTATTTTGCGTTAAGTCTCTCATATCTGAAGCTTCTTGCGTTGGAGAGGCGTCTTCAAATTTATTGAATTCTACGTGGTTATCATCCTTTAATTCCGATTCACCTGATTTGTTATCTAATGCATTTTTCTGAACTGTACTTCCTGAATATCGATCAGAATTATGAAAAGTTTCTGTATCTGATTCTGAAGAAGTTTCCGATGAAATGTTTTCCTCGTTCAATATATCATTTTGTATATTTTCATTTATTACAGCTGTCTCTTCTATGAAGTCCAGTTCAGCATTATATGTGCTTGGAATGTTACTAGAAGAAATCAGAAGGTTTGTGAAATTTGTGGATGGTAAAAAAGACATTACTATTTCAAATTTGGGAAGATTGATGTTTGGTACTTTTACTGGTATTGGAACATCTTGTGTTTTATACTCATCATTATTAACATTCGCATTAATTGTTGAGTCAGCGTTAATATTTACTTCGTTTGCATGATTCGAGTCTGTATCATGTGCCGTTTTTAACTCTGCGTAAATTTCTTCAAAACTATTTACTTCCGTATATACATTGTTATTTTGGTCTTCACTTTTGTCATTAACGTTTTTCTGCTGGTTGACTTCTACTGATACAATATGCTCTTCTTGTAAACTACGTGCAATTGAATCTAATAATTCAATATTAGTATGTTTGAAGTCTTCAATTTGATCTTCTATGTGATCCATTGCTTCTTCAAAGTTATCATTTTCTTCAGAACTAGTTCTTTGTACTATAGTTGGACGTTTTTCGGATAATTGTTTTTCATTACTGTCGGTTATGGAAGACTCGTCGTTTGACGATAAATTATCTGAATCTTCTTCTGATTCACTGTAGCTTGACTCATGTTCTGTAGATATGTCGGACTCATTTGAAGAACTATCAGCTTCACTTTGCGAAATATTTCGGCTGTCTATAGAATTAATATCAAAATTTATCTCTTCTTTCATTTGCTGTATCAGCCTTTGAGTATTATCAACTATTTCATTTAAATTGTTCGATTTCTCTTCATCTTGCAGTGATATTGGAGTATTTTCATACTTTCTTACGACAGGAGTTCGCTCGTCTGTATTTATTATGTGGGTTTGTACGGGTGATACAGTCACATCCAAATTTTCAGTAGATGGCATCTCGGATTGTTTCTGTATTACTGGGGGACTAATGTTCCGAAGTTTAGAATCAGTTATATTGTGAAGTGTTTCTACATTATTCGTAATAATAACAGTCGGGGTAGAGGAGGATATTGATTCATTAACCTGCCCCTCGTCAAAAACTTTCTGAGAATCATGCAATGGTGATGTTTCTTTGAATCTATTTTCAGAAACATTTGTTAATCCATTTCTTATTTCATTTTCAGGAATTGATATCGAGGCGGACGTGTTAACGGTTGTCGAAATTACTTCAAATCGTTTTTTTTGTTGAGTTTCTGTGTTACTTTGGTGATTATGATCATTAGTGACATTCTTAAAACTATTAGATGGCCCGTCTGCTATTACATCGTTGGCACTGTTAATATAATCGGAATCATTGCCGAAAACGTCATACGTATCTCGTTTAAGACCCGATTCGGTGGCTCGTTCCTGTTCATGCACTGGTAAAGGCGTAGATCTGGTCAAAGCATTATACGCATCGATGAAATCATTTTCGGATTGGTACAAGTCGAGGGAGTGCAGTTTAAAGTCACCGAATTTGGCTTCGGTTCGTGGTCTGTCATGCGGCAGGAGAGTTTGGAACAACAAATCGTCGCGTGGAGGGGGCGCCGCCGCCTGAACGAGGAGGTCCACCGCTAGGGCCGCTTCCCTTGCGCCGCCGTAGAAGCGGTCGTCGAGCGGCCGCTCCCACGGGTCGAAGATCGGATCGCTCACGCGCGCCTTCGGGTTCGCGTCCAGCGGGAGGTACATCCAGTCGTCGTCTCGGAGTTCGGCCGGCGCCGGTCCTTCGAATTCATCCGAGCTACCTTCCGCTGAAAGGTAAACGGGACAGTTATGGCGTGGTGCGATGATTCGGCCTAGCGGCGAGGGTGGGAGTGATTACCGCGGCGCGGCGGCGCGGCGTCGTCCTCGGCGCCCGCCGGAGAGCCCCACACGCGCCCTGACATCGCCGACACCGCCGGCGCCGCAGCCTGCAACATTATTTTTATTAAAACTGCTATTAAGTGAACGATCATGTCTAAAAAGGGGCGCTGGATTGGCATCAGGATTTTTATTGTTTAACGTTGCATAAGTGTTACTTGAGACTTTGTACACTGGTACGAGCGTGTGGCAACGTTCGTATTCGCAGTAAGTAAGGTAAACGAACTGTACGAATTAATGTCGGGGTAGCCTAGTCTTGTAGCGCAGTTATAAATATGAATTTAAGCAACTTTCATATTGGCTCTGTAGGGCGGTAGTATAGTTACCACCTAGCTGTAAAGGTCACCTGTCGTCGATGTCGCTCAACGCAGTCGGTGACGGCGGGCCACATTGCGCCCCGGTGGCGGGCGAGCGCGGCGCGCGCCTCCAGTTCGGACACGAGCGCGCGCGGCTCGAGGCGGGCGGCGGCGGCGCGTACACCCGCGCACAGCGTGGGCCAGCGCTCGCGCAACCAGTGCAGCGGCGCACCCGGGCTCTGCGCAAGCGCCGCCTGCACCTCGGCCGCGCTGAAGCCCAGCCGCTCCGCCTCGCCCATCAGCCGCGCCAGCTCCAGCCCGCGCTCCGCCGCCGCGGTGCCGACCGCGCCCGCGCCCGCCAGCGCTTCCAGCGACATCGCGCGCGTCGGCTCCGGGGACGCCGCCTGATAACAGTTCATGTCTTATAAAAAATATACACGATGGATTGAACGCACATTATTAAAGTTATTTATAAGGGTTTCGTACCCTTTACAAAAGGTTGAAAGGGAAAACTGCAAGTTTTGACATTTAATCAGATTATGTAATTAACAATCTTATTATTGCAATGCCAATAAAATATATCGCACTAATATTACAACAGTGTCGTAACTCAAAAAATGTCGAATTTGAGATAACATCATATTCAAACGCTGGATGCGATTCCGCACAAGGCAATAAAACCGTCGTTGAAATAATGCAAAAAACAAATAAGAGATGACTTTATAAGTCAGTATAGATGACTGACCAACTGTCATACCCCCCCGCTTAATATTGCTTCTTCTTTAGTTGCGACCAACAGTGATCTAGGAAGGACGTGCCGCTTTGCGCAATATTTCGAGTTGTAGCAGAATTGCTGATTCAGGTATGGAAATTTTAAAGTATTATTTTGAATTATTACGTTATTGCTGATTTAAACTTTAATATGAAACGGGTGTATTTAGAGTTAATACACTCTTACTGATTAATACAAGCGATATTTCAAATAATATTTTTATTTACGACATTATTATTGGTTTAGTCATTCATTTTAGACATGATACAGTATTGTTGATGCATGACGATTGAACAGCTTTTATTGTTTAATTTGTTAGTATTAAAAGAAAAGCCCATTTTTTATCATAGTATTTATCACGGTGCATTGGAATATGTTATTGTTAAATTAGGAAAATGTTTACTAAATATTTTATCTCGTTAATTTAGAGTTACTACACTCTATGTGACACGTGTGCTTTGTATGTATTTTGCTAACAAGAACTAGATTAATTTGCAGAATCACTATGCACCGTGGGCGATTACTTGTTGGTATGGCAATAAAAACGAGCGGCGAAAACCAGGACAAAGAAAATGACGAACCTGTTGAAGAATGTGCACATCCCTCAAATTCATTACCTTCATTGTTGTCAAAATCGGTGAGTGAATGGTCCCAGAGAGAAGAAGGCGATGATGCGACAGAAAAAATGAATCTAGTACTTCAGGAAATTCACGCAAACAGTACGGTCAGTAATGTTGAATCGGGGACTAAATGTGATCAAAGGAATTATTACATTTCACCTTTACACTCAGATCAGAGTGATTTTGATGATTCCGACCATGATCCGTATTTTACCCCTGGTTCAACAAGTAAAGCCCCCCCTTTACTACGTGGTACTACGAAATATTCGTCTAGTAGTTCTTCTTCATCAAGTAGCTCTTCATCAAGTACTTCTTCCAATAATTCTTCGACAAGTAGCTCCGATAATGAAACTGTGTACAATTTAAGTCCCGGTACCTCATCCACTGCTTTGGCTACCGTTTCAAATGATTCTCTGGAAGACCAGAACAATAAAGAAGGAAAAAAAAGAGTATGTAATGAAGAAAAATGGAAAAACAAAATAGCCAAGGGACTTCGCAATTCCGGAAAAGCATATGAATCGACAAAAAAAAACAAGTACCTGCAAAAAACATGGGTCCAACGTGTGGCGAAAAATGCAGATTAAAGTGTCCTTTAAAAATAAGTGAGGCATCAAGAATGGATATTTATAACCAGTACTGGAGTTTGGGAGACTTACAAAAACAGAGGGAATTTATAATTAGGCAAACTACAAATATTAAACCTAAATATAGATACTCATTGACTCAAAATGTTCGTAAACTAAGTACTGCGTTTCATTTTCTACTTGACTTTTATTTATTAAGTATAAATTAATACTTTTATTTTCTTCTTCTTATACTTGTATGTATCTAGGAACTGTTTTGTTTAAGAAACTTTATTTTGTAATCACTTATACAAAATATTTCACTATTTTGTATTATTTCAAACATTGTATGTTTTGTTCTAATTCAGTTTATTGCGAAATTATAATTGTTTCTTATAAAACTTTATTTGTTTTTATTTACTAATACCCTAACTCGGAGAAAATGTTCAGGTTATACGTAAATATAATACTAAAAACAATTCTTAGAATTGTTGTAACTCTAAAATGTATATTTAAACTATACTAAAAAAGCTATATTCAAATAGTAGTAACCCAAAGTATTTCTAAAATAACTACACAACTAAAAATAATATTTCATTTTGAACAGTTTGTTCGATATTATACCGTATCAACTCAGAAAATGTGAATAACTTTAGTCCCCGTAATTTTTAAAATTATTGGTATATATATAATTTCTTTAAATTCTGTAATAAAACACATACAGAATGATTTTTTTTATAATCTGTAATAAAAAGTGAATAATCAGTTTTTCCTTGATTCTGAAAAACAATCAATTTTGAGTTACAACACTGTTGTAATATTAGTACGATATGATCGTGAGAGCATTATAAATGCAAATGGTGAAGTAAAATGCTGAGTTGTACGCGCTTCTTCTTACCAGTTTGCCACATAAAGGTTCCGGTTAACAGTCGTTGTATAGAAGACAGAAGTTTTACTAGTTAGGTAGCTACTCTTTGAGACATTATTTGTGTGGACACCTCGGAGCAGAAGCTAAACTGCAGCTATTAGCGTGAGTGTCCTTGCTCGCTATCATGCTCTACCAGGCTGCTAGATCGCGCGCTAAACGTAGGGGCATACAAACCTCGGAACCATAGTAGCTGGCGCGGCGGTCGGCATGCGGCGCGCGCGTGCGGCGCAGGTCGAGGTGCGAGGCGCGGCGCGCGAGCCGCGTGGGGCGGGCGCGTCTCCGCTCGCCGTCCGACCACTCGCCGACGGGGCTGCTGTCCCGCCCCTCGCGCCACTCCCACCGCCCAGATGTGCCGCCTCCGCCCCCTCCCCCGCCACCACTAGTCCGCGCGCTACGCTCGCTTTCCTACACAAAAACTTTTTGACGTTGATCAAGCCAAAATAACTCTTAAATCCGAGAGCTTAGGTGCAAAAGAATTAAATGAAACTAAGGTGGAATTTGTTTGACCATAGATTCCTTTATTAGTTTGGTGACGTTTTGCCTATATGTAGCTCCAAACAAATTTGCAAGCGTGATGCAAAGAACTACAGCGCCATCTATTTTGACACATATGAACTACATTTTTTACATGTACAAATGGCGTATACATAATCGCCCACCAAGGACAAACTGAGATTTGTCCTTACAAATATTTAACTTAACATAATGACTGTTATCGCCCACCATGACTTAAGGTAACAAAACACTTAAAATTACAATAACTTAAAATAACAAATTTTAAATTTTAACAGAACATATTTTTTTTATAAATCAGTATTGTACTTTTGTATAAAGCAACAAATATCTATATAAATTAACTAGTTATGGGAAGAAGACAAATTTTAGATACAGGACGTTTTAGAGTGCCACCCTTTACCTTTAATGTGACAACCCTAACTATATCATCATTTCCGGGATGAGTTGCAATCACTCTACCATAAAGCCAACGCCCAGCAGGTAAGTTATCTTCCTTTACTACAACTACATCGTCAATCTTTAGTTGAGGATTCTGAAACGACCATCTGTGTCTTTGGTAAAACCTTGTCAAATATTGACGTGACCATTGATGCCAAAAATCCTGCAGCATTTTCTGAGTATATTGCCATCTACGTAAAGAACTGATGTTGTCAGATTCGTAATTTCTATCAGGTGGTGTGACCAGTGCTTCTCCAACAAGAAAATGTCCAGGTGTCAAAATTCTCACCTCATCGCTTTCGTTACAAGAAAGTGTGGATAGAGGTCTAGAATTTAAGCAGGCCTCTATCTGTGCCAATACTGTCGTCATCTCCTCGAACGTCAACGTTGATTGGCCAATAACCCGTTTCAAGTGGAACTTGACGGACTTTACTCCCGCTTCCCATAGACCACCAAAGTTGGGAGAGCGTGAGGGTATGAAATGCCAGGTACAACCGTTAGTTGCCAAAGCCTCGGCTGCTTCACTTATCATGGAGTTCTTTTCCTCGGTGAATAACCTTTTTAATTCAGCAGCCGCGCCAACAAAATTCGTAGCATTATCACTCCAAACATCAGAGCAGTAACCTCTCCTTGCCACAAATCGTTTAAATGCCTGGAGGAAAGCCTCCGTGGTAAGGTCAGATACTACCTCTAAATGTATGGCGCGCGTTACCATGCATACAAATAGGCAAATATAGCCTTTGTATGACTTATAACCACGTCCCTTAGTCGTTCGCAATTGTATGGGACCTGCATAATCCACGCCACAAGATTTAAAGGGTCGTGTAGGTACGACTCTACTAGATGGTAACTGTCCCATCAGCTGTGACTGTATATTGCCTGTATTCTTGGCACATGTCACGCATTTACGAAAACAAGATTTTACAAGCTGCTTAATACCTAAAATCCAGTAAGTAGACTGCAAATAGGACATCATAAGTTGCGGCCCCCCATGAAGAGTCTGCTTATGAGCATCCAGTATGAGAAGATTCGTCAAATCAGACTTCTTAGGTATCAATATTGGGTGCTTGCGACCTTCATTTAAGTGTGACTTTGCAAGTCTACCTCCGACTCTTAATAGACCTTCATCGTCCAAAAATGGATTCAATGATCGGAGAATACTACGCTTTGGTAAGATTTCTTTTTTATTCAAGCAGTCTATTTCCGTACTAAAACTTAAATACTGACATTTTATTATTAAATATTTTTTTGTTTCTCGCAACTCCTTGGATGTCAAATATCCAACATGCTTTATGCCTTTGTCTTTAGAATTGTGAATGAATCGCTTACAATATGCTAAAACTCTTATTAATCTAGTCAGTGACGAAAATCTTTCCTCTATTGTTTCTACTATTGTACAGCATGTTTTAACTTTAACCATTTCTATATCAGTAATATTGTCTTTGACTTTTGTGTAATTTATGTTTTCCTTTTTCAGAAATTCCGGACCTTGAAGCCACATTTCATTCTCCACCAGTTCTAGTGGATGCAAGCCCCTTGAAGCAATATCAGCTGGATTACTTTTAGATGTAACGTGTGACCAGTGGTGTGAGTCTAGACTAGTGATGATCTCTGACACCCTGTTAGCAACGAAAACCTTCCAACGATTAGGCGTACTGTTCAACCATGCAAGGACTACTATTGAATCAGTCCACGCGTGCAGGTGAGTTTTTTCAATTTTAAGTACTGATGCTATTTCCATCAGCAAACGAGTGAGCAACACAGCACCACATAACTCAAGTCTCGGGATTGATACCTGTTTGATGGGTGCAACCTTTGTTTTTGCAGATAACAAGGCGACACTAACCTTTTTGTTACAGTCGATCACCCTTGCATAGATAACGGCTGCATATGCATCTTTCGAAGCATCGCAAAAACCATGCAGCTCAACGTAATCTTCAGCTTTGGTCCCGATCCACCGTGGTATGGTAAGGCGACTTAATTGTATCAACTCACTTCGGTAAGTAAGCCATTCTTTTAAAATTTCATTGGGTACTGTTTCATCCCAACTTATACCAGCCAGCCAAAGCCTTTGAATAATTAGCTTTGCTACTATAATACTTGGCCCCGCCCACCCTAAGGGATCATAAAACCGTGATATGTCCGATATGATCTTCCTTTTTGTTACAGGTTCTTCAATGGTGGGTACCTCCACCTTGTAGCGGAAGACATCTTCACTGCTATTCCAGGTAAGTCCGACAATTTTTATTATTTCATCTGTTTTTATTTTTAAACTATCTTTATTTATTTCTGTTTTTCCTTGAACTATATTAGAACTAAGTTCACTTTCTTCTATTGCCTTTAAAAGTTCTTTATTATTAGATGTCCACTTTTGTAGTTGAAATCCACATTTTTCTAATAAAGCATTCATATCTCTATATAGATTCAATCCCTCTGTAACGGACTCACACCCTGACATAAAATCATCGACATAAAAATCTGTCACCACTTTTTCAGCCGCCAGAGGATGTTTATGACCTTCATCTTTGGCAATTTGTTGTAAAGACTTCACCGCAAGATATGGAGAGGACGCTACTCCAAAGGTAACTCTTGTCAACCTATAATGTTTAATCTCAGCGTCCACTTCATCTCTCCATAAAATTCTCTGATAGTCAACATCTTTATTATCAATCTTCACCTGCCGATACATTTTTATTATATCAGCTGCTAAGCAAATTGCTTTTGTTCTCCAACTCATAAAAATATGTCTCAAATCTGATTGCAGAGTTGGACCTACCAATAAATGATCATTTAAAGACCGATTGTTACTACCCTTGCAAGAAGCATCGTAGACTACTCTTACCTTCGTGGTATCTTTATCATCTCGGACAACAACGTGGTGTGGTAAGTATATTGCCCTTTCATTTTTTATTTCTGACTCTGGCACTAATTCCATGTGATTCATTTCAAGATATTCATTAATAACCTCTTTGTATTTTTCTTTCAGGTCTCCAGTCTTCAACCTCTTTTCTAATGAATATAATCTTTTTTTTGCTATCTGCAATGAATTAGTAACTTCAGGGACTCCAGCTTTAAAGGGAAGTCGCACTATATACCTGCCACTTTCATCTCTACGTGTTGACTCAACAAATATTTTCTCACATTGCTTCTCTTCGTCAGTATACATTTTTTCTTTTGACATTGGAAGATCATCTTCCAGTTCCCAAAATTTTCTTAGAAGCTCATTTTCCTCTAGTTGACAATGCATAACGTTTATTCTTTCAGATGGTGGACTGCACGCATCGACCACGCCTGACAATATCCAACCCAACGAAGTACATTGCGCGAGTGGCGAGCCATGTGACCCTTTCTTTACGCCATCTTGAATTATCTGACTATACACTTCTGAGCCTAACAACATGTCAATACGATTGGAAGTGTAATAGCCAGGGTCCGCGAGAACAATCTCTGTAATTTCCTTCCATTCCACAGCCCTTATCTTATTTGTAGGCAACAATGTGGTAATGGACTTAAGAACATAAGTATTTACATCTATTAAAACATTTTTATCAACTCTTGAAGTTATTTTTATATTAACCATAGCCTTGGATACTAATCCATTTTCACCACCTACTCCACAAATTTGACCCTTAACAGGAATTTTCTTTAGGCCCAACAGTTGAACCATGGATTCTGTTATAAAAGACGATTGGGATCCCTGATCCAACAATGCCCGAATTGTAAATATTTGACCATTTTTAGCCATTGTGTTCACTAAAGCAGTCGCTAGTAACACCTGATTATATGTAACGTATCTTGTAGAAATACAAGAAACCACAGGAACTGACTCAGTATTATCAGCATTTGACGAGGAAGTACTTGGCTTCAAATTCTTATTATAAGTGACAGTATCGTTTGATGTTGCCTTCTCCCTTAAGGAGCTATTACTTTCTGTACCCTTACTTATAGGATGCAAGAGGACGTGATGTCTTTTTCTACAAATGCGACATTTATAATTACTTTGGCAGCTCTTGGCAGAGTGATTACTACCCAAGCAGCAAAAACATACATTGTTATTTAAAACAAAACTTCGACGTGATTCTACGGACTCGTTCATAAAACTTTTACAATAACTAAGCCTATGGTCCTCTGAACAAAACTGACAAACAATCTTTGATATGTGCATAGACTTGATTTTATTCATAGGCAGTTTGTTGCTTTGATGTTTATTTATACCTTTAGAGCCAGCCTCTAAAAACTCTATGGCACGATAACGATTTTTCAAAAACTCTTCAAATTGCTTATAGTTAGGTAGCTCAGAAGAACTATTATCAGTGGCAAAAAATTCCCATTGTCGTCGAGATTCCAAATCTAACTTTAAAGATATAATATGAATTACGAGCACATCCCAAGTATCTGTACTTATACCTATATTTTTCAATGACGACAAACAATCATTCGTTGTATCCAATAATTCTTTCAAACTACTAGCAGATTCACAAACAATATTTCTTTGTGATAACAATTTTTTCAAAATATGATGACAAATGTATTTTTTATTATTGTACCTTTCTTCGAGTAATTGCCAACACCTTTCATAATTACTTTCTGTGATCGAAATATTATTTACAAGCTGTTCAGCCTCTCCCTGTAAATAGCCTTTCAAGTATAGTAATTTTTGGACATTCCCTAATGCTTTGTTATTATGAATCAAAGAGCAGAACAAATCACGGAAGGTATTCCACTCAGAATACCTCCCTGAAAAATTTGGAATATTCACTTTAGGTAGCTTAACTTGTGATAAATTTGAACTAGCCGAGCCTGTAACACTCATTTTCTCATTACTTTCTTTACATGTCAGCGTGGACAGGATGGACTTAAGGTCCATTTTATATTCAAAATATATTTCCTCTGCCTTTTCATAAACATCATTTTTTACATATGTTGTATCGGCTAATTCACCCGACGACGATACAGAACGCATCAATTCCTTATGTCCGGCTGAGAACTCAAACCACATTTGTTCTAAAAGTTCTATTTTGCCGTCTACATAGTCTTTATTAATTCGACATTTAGGGCTCTTTTTGAAATTACTTTTTGCCTTAGTGAGCCGCGTATAGAGATCTTCTTGAGAATGAATTAATTTCTCCATTTTTTTTTATCAAGTTAAATTATCAATTTTTCATAAACAGAAACAATCATTAATAATAATAGAAACTTCGTTCCAATTCACAAACAAACAACATTAATAAGAGGTCATTTCTAAAAATTTTCTAAGTATTTGGCGTAACATTAAACTCTGACCGAAATCTGGCATAGGTTCCCCGTGTCTTCGCTTTTCTTAAAACTATTCTAAGTTCCTAAATCTACAACACAATTTTTTCTAAGTCCATAATAACACAAATAATTGTTTAAGTTAAAATTCACTAAGAAATAAGGTTCACTTTTCCAAGAATACCACTATTTGTTTAAAGTAAATTTCTTCATAGACATAAGGTCGAAAATAAAAGTACTCACAGTTCATCCGTTTCACTCACACAAGATGAAATCGTGCCGACTTGTCAAGCACGTAAATAATATGGAATCCTCGTCACCTGGCTCCTCCAGATGGCACCACTGCAGCAATTTTCCACCTTCAGTTGTATCCTCCACCAGCTACGTCACCAGCTCGTGGCCTGACAGCACCGTTGCTGTCGGCTTGGTATCAGCGCTTCACGTGCGCCGCTCCAGCCACACGTCACGTTTGCAACAGCGATCCACTGTCCGTGACGTCTTTCAAACAAAAACTTGCACCGCAGCTCCAAGTCCAAGTAAACTCCTTGGACAAATTTAATTATCCGACTAACGAAGGACCATGATCAAGCCAAAATAACTCTTAAATCCGAGAGCTTAGGTGCAAAAGAATTAAATGAAACTAAGGTGGAATTTGTTTGACCATAGATTCCTTCATTAGTTTGGTGACGTTTTGCCTATATGTAGCTCTAAACAAATTTGCAAGCGTGATGCAAAGAACTACAGCGCCATCTATTTTGACACATATGAACTACATTTTTTACATGTACAAATGGCGTATACAGACGTGTTCATATATCCACTTCATCATCAGTGTATTAATGTCCCCACTGCTGGGGCACAGGCCTTCCCTATGGATGTAATAGGGAGTTTTGGGCCATGACCAAAACCACGCGGGCGCAGTGCGGATTGGCGGGTGCTAACGAATGCAGATGCAGCCGGGACCAATGGCTTAACGTGCTTTCCGAAGGACGGGGAACTCGAGATAGAAGATTTTTGGTTACCCATCCAGTGACCGACTTAAATGTAATCATACCGTTTGACCCAGAAAATGGACTGAGGGAAACTCAAACGCTTTGTACTGCCGCTCCCGTTTTAAAGCCAAACTTGATCTGTGGGCCTGCTACTACTGCTCATAACAATATTGTTGCTAATTTCGGACGATATTGCTCATCACTTACGCGAGTATCACTGGAGAGCGAGTGGCGACTGTGCGAACGCTCACGACGCGCGTCGTCTCGGAACCTTTGCCGCGCACGAGACCGTGAAGGGGCTCGTTCCCACGAGTTTGGCACTTCGTACGTCTGCAAAAAATCATAAATTTGGATAATTATATTTGTCATCAAATATCATATTAATAAAGCGTAACAAACTAACAAAAAATAAATCTGGATATATTCAATAGCGTTTTAAACAAGTTCAGCGATTCATGTCGCATAACAAATATGAATGTAAAGCGTTAAAGCGAAAAATACTATAAATTTGAGGTTTGGTGTATTTTTTACCTGCGTGGAGATACTTTGCGGCGGTGGAGACGTACCGGTATTGGATACGTTGGCTCGCGTTGAAACGGCCGGTCGTCTATCAGCGTGAATTTCCGAAGAGGATGTGCCAGCGGACTTTTTTTGAACCGAAGGGGACCTTCTGACTATTTCGCGCGGTGGAGATGGTCCTATGGAGACACTGTGGCGGGTGACCGCTTCAGGTCTCACGATTTCTCTGTACGGCGACGCCCTAACTGACACATCCTGCTTGTTGGGCAAGCTCATCCGATTCTCAACTTCCCTCGGGGGCGAAGAACCCACTCCCATGTCGTGTCTAGAAGGAGAAACGCTAGCTTCCCGCGTCGGAGTCACTAATCGATTGTTTGTTTTCTTTGTACGATCCTCGCGTGGAGGGGAGGGCCCGCAACCGGTGGTGACGCGCTCTTTTTTCGATGCAGTCTTTATTCTGCCTGCTCCATCTGAAAATTTTACGCACTTAAAATATTGTGAAATGAGAAATGTAGTTTTGTAAATACGTCTTTGGCGTAATGCGATGTACTTAGGTTTTATAAAAAAAATGTTACGCCTACCAATTCCTCAGTATATTCAAGGTCTAGTAAACAGGTCTCCCGATACGATTCTATTCCATTCTATCCATAGAGTTTTTTTTGCGCTAACCTATATTCTTCCTTTATTACGCAACTACAAGGGCGATAACATTCCTTGCGTAATATAAAGTAAGTGTACCTACCTTCTGTTATGAGGACGAATGTAAGTACTTACTTTGTACGCGACTATCTCCGTTGGCATGCGGAGGCGACGGCGTTCGCTCATTGACGTCCAACCGAGCAATGCTTCGCGCGGTGTCAGCGATTGATCTCGCACTATCAGTAATGCTTTGAGCGTCATTTCTAGACTGTTTGGCGGTATTGATGTTTTCCGCTTGGGTGGGGATTATTTTTGGCGCGGATGTGGGAGTACGGCAGCATACAACGCATACGCGAACGCCAGGTTCGTTGACGAAGGTGCAGTGCTCGCATTGCCACGAGGCAGTGGGTGGTGCAGGAGCCGGACCTAATGTGTCTTCCTCGTTCGGCTCTTCTACTTGAGGCTTCTCTGAGTAGCGATCTGTCAAATTCAAATTTATCGGTCAAAGTAGCGGTTTGAATGGGATTTATTGTAATAGCATAATAACTAGACTATGTAATTAAAGTTTTCTTTACAAAATTATAAACAATAGAATAGACTCGGCCCCTTTATTAGAACTAATCAAATTTAAAATACCACGAGCCTCCTCACGTTCTAAATCTATATTTTAAAGGAGATTGCTCAAATTGGCCCAAACGTACAAAAAATATTGACATATACGGTAATTCTTGGCGTAATTTATATCTCATTTTACAGTCATTGGATTTTAACGGACACATTTGTATAATATATTCATTTTAACAAGGACTTTTAATTTTACCGGTTTGGAAAACATACGAATCATTTTTAATGCCTATGGATGTAGAAACATTCAGCCAAAGACTGATCAAAGTTGTTTAAATAACATCAAAACAAATCTATTTCGTAAAGATCGATAAAATACATCTTTTTTTTATTACACTGTGGTTTTAATATCCACAACTATATTATCATTTTCACTACATGCAAATGTGCTAAGATAATTATTATAGATGGTAGGCGACATCATAAAGTCTATTGCCATAAAGGACATTGGGCAAAAATGTATGGACGCTGCACCCACGTCCGCCACGGCTTAAACTACATTTGTTTGAAAGGTATTATAGTCAAGATCATCTCTGCCAAAGCGCATCAAATTCCATCCCGGGGGTCTTTAGTTATTTTAAGTTAAATATGTAGAAGTACTATAACGAACGAACATTAATGAAACAAGGGAATTAATTTAGTTAGTTTGTTCGACCCTACATAGGGTGCTCAGGAATTATGGGAGTACTTCATATGGTGCAAGGGCCCTTATGTTATTCTGCCGCGCTAGAGTTAATCCAAAAATCCCCGCATGGGTTGGGTTTTTTTAAACATTCTGTTCATTATAGTAAATTGTCTTCTATGTAAAACGGAGCCACCCCAGATTACACAAACTTGTCCACGCTTCGGAGAACACATAATTCCAGTTTATCCATACTAATTGACAAAATCGATAATCGTGTTTCAATATCCAAAGCGTGTTAGATAAATATCAATCAAGTAGCAGGGAGCGCACAATCACAACGAAGTAAGACGAGTCGACTATTTGCAACTGCAAGTCCTTCAGCATTCGTAAACCGTTTTGAAATGTTCAGTAAGAGCAAGCGCAGGATGGTGGGCAGGCTTTGTCGTATAACTGGTTGTATAGTACGACATGGCATATTATTATGATTACTAATAATATAAAATGAAGGTATTATAAAATTAATTTATTTAGCTTAGATGTGTCATATCTATTGACTACCAGGATATTTTTTACGGTGTCATAATAAAAAAGGCTAGTTTTCCATAGATCTATTGATTCATACTAATTACATTGTTGGCGGAGCTGGGTGCGTTTTGCCCATTGTCCTTTGGGGGAAATCCCCCCCAGTCTAGCATCAGTGAGTGACAAATGACGGAGACGCACCTTGTGCAGGGGGGCGTGGTTCACCGTCTCTCTCGCTCTCCGAGTCGGCGTCGCTGGAGGGCAGCGGCGGGGAGGGAGTGCGGTGCTTCACGCGGCGCGATGCTCGCGAACGCGTGCTCATAGCGGGTGACGCGGCGCGCGAGCAAGTGCGAGACGCTGCCCGTGATGCAGCGCGACTATCAGCTGTTGGATATGAATTAACGCACTTTAAAATAAATATTACAGAAACTTCGGAAACTACTTATCATAAGATTATCAATCAACTAAAGGTGTCCCAGAATGAGGGTACAATTGACTTTTAAAAAGGACTTTAACTTGCTGTCATTTTCTTTACGATACTAATACAGAGTGACAACGAGACTTTTCCAAACAGTAAAATAATTTGACGTTTATGAGTACGTCTGTTAGCGTTCCGAGTTCGCTGGGAAATTTCCGTACCGATCGTCATTTAATTAACCGTGGCGTTGGCGCAGCGACGGCGACTGCGGCACCCACGTGGCCCACGGGTGGTCGAGGCTGGTGCACCCTGCCATCCCGCCTATCATCCCAGGTGCTCCACCGCCCACCTCTAGCACCGAATCGCCCCTACGCAGCGGCCGGCCCCAGCTCTGGTGGCCGGGAGCCATCCGCCGCGGTTCGTGCGTTGTTCAGCTTACCCCTACGGTACGGCTGCGGTGTGTACGGCGTGTGCGTATGAGCGTGCGCATGGTGATGCGGTGGCGGCGGTGGCGGTGCGTGCGCGCAGCACGGTGACTGCGGCGCCCATGCGCCCCACGGGTGGTCGAGGCTGGCGCAGCTGCCGTACCGCCAGGCGGTGGCGCACCCCGCGCACCCGGCCACCCCGCCTATCATCCCCGGTGCTCCCCCGCCCAACTCTAGCACCGAAGCGCCCCTCCGCAGCGGCCGGCCCCAGCTCTGGTGGGCAGTCATGTGCTCAGCACCGTCCCAAGCTTCCGATGGCATTTGCTGTAATGACAATACGAATTTAAACTGTACAGGCAGAGGTAACCTTGATTGATAGACACAATTATCGATGGATTGATACAAGAAAAATTATAAAGTGAATAAATAATAGTAGGTCCGAGCCGGGCTCTTGAGATTTACTCTCTTACTTTACTTACATAAGGGGGGCAAACTTGCATCTTGTGAAGTACTCTCCCACTATACCTGAGCCATTTAAAAAGGATCGAACGACTAGAATAACAAAAAGAAATTAAACAATCGGCCATTACTTTTGGTCACGTCTAAATCGTCAGTCTTTTGAATAGGAGCTACTGGAGGGTTCACGTAACATCACTTCTCAATATCTGACGCGCTCGAGCATTTTAGGCCCACACCATGCAAACTGACAGATTTATATTTTTAGTGAAACCTCCTCCTAGCTCCTATTCAAAACGTTCAACCCTATATAAAGGGCTCGGGTATGGTGGGAGTACTGCAAAAGGTGCAAGGTTGTTGTGTTATTCTGCCGCTCTCGAATGATTACCAAAATGCCTATGTTTTTAATGCAATTGATCATTATAATATGTTCTTTGAAAGGCTCGGCCAAGAAAAAAGTGTTATTTTCAGATGAAACAAAAATAAGTATTGTCCTATTTATTGTTTAATTTCAAAATAAACGATTGCAGTGAAGTATCTTACATAATGTCAAGGACCGTTGGTAGTGTTTCTAATTATACAACCACTACTGTATATATATATTAATCGTGTGACGCTCGTGATGCATATCCGTTTCATCTCTTTATATATTATTTTTATTTTTGTTATACTCAGTCAGGTCATAAGTATTGTCACACAGTAAAAACTTTTCTTTTAGAATGCTGGCCACAAAAAAGTTTATTGAATTCGAATTTCGAATTGTTCATGAAAATAAAAATGTATACTTTTTAGAATTTTACTAATTTTTAAATATGGAGTGAACGCTTAAAGAAGACCGTGTTGCAGTTATTGCGTTGCATCGTTGCGGTTACGCGCCAATTAAATTTTTTGACATACTGAAAGATTTTAATATAACCAAAAGATTCGTTTATCGTACCATCAAACGATACAATGAAGACTCTAGTGTAGATGACAGGTCAAGAAGTGGTTGCCTTCGGTCTGTTAGGACTCCAGCAGTGATAAAAGCTGTGAAGGCGCGAATTCAAAGAAATCCCAAACGTAAGTAGAAACTGTTAGCCCTTGGGTTGGGTTAAGCAGAACCACGGTGAAAAGGGTGTTAAATGAAGACTTAGGGCTTCGGGCATATCGAAGAAAAACAGGAAATCGTTTGAATGCTCGTCTAATGGACCTGAGACTGAAGAGATGCCGCGCTTTGTTGAAGCGGTACGCGGGAAAAAAATATCGGGAAATTCTTTTTTCGGATGAAAAAATTTTTACCGTAGAAGAGAGCTATAACAAACAAAATGCTAAGGTGTCCGCACACAGTAGTGAAGAAGCGAGCAACCGTATACCGCGTGTCCAATGAGGTCATTTTCCATCCTCGCTCATGGTATGGTTGGGACTTTCTTATTGGGGCTTAACAAAGGTACATTATTGTGAAAAAGGTGTAAAAACGAATGCAGTTGTGTATCAAAATGTTTCTCATACCATGTTCAATAACAGACTCTGGGTAGGTATTCCAACAAGATTCGGCGCTAGCTCATAGAGCGAAGAGCACACAAGACTGGCTGGCGGCGCGTGAAATCGACTTCATCCGGCACGAAGACTGGCCCTCCTCCAGTCCAGATTTGAGTCCGTTAGATTACAAGATATGGCAACACTTGGAGGAAAAGGCGTACTCAAAGCCTCATCCCAATTTGGAGTCACTCAAGACATCCTTGATTAAGGCAGCCGCCGATATTGACATGGACCTCGTCGTGCTGCGATAGACGACTGGCCGCGCAGATTGAAGGCCTGTATTCATAATCACGGAGGTCATTTTGAATAAACTTTATTTTCATAAGAATCTATGTTTTGTTAAGTTCATTTTGGTATATAAATGGTTACATAATGAATAAACTTGTTTCAATTATTTTATATTAAACATGTGACAGAATTTATGACCTAGTCAGGTATAGGATTATTTCATTACATTGTCCAAGAAGATTCACTTCAAAAAATTAATGAGTGTTGTTGTTCGTCATTGATTTTGAAGAAAGTTCTGCCTGGGTACTTCGTTTTAATTTCCGCTCATTATTTGAAAAAAGTACTACCTATACAAGCCTTGGCCACAATCAACTTATACACATTTGTATTATGTCTGAAAGACGAAAATTTTGTAAATCAATAAACAAAGACTAAAAATTGTGCTAGTCCAAGCTTATTTTAATGGGTGGCATAGATTATTATAATTGAAAAAATTGGGAGTTATAGGAATAGCTGTTGTATGTTTTATTTACCATATTAGGCGGTATGTTGAAACCTGGTAGGGAACCGCGAGGGCGTCCCCAACCCGAAGCTAGCGGTCCCAGCGTGTTGGTCTGAGGGTGCGCCGGCGCTGCGTGGTGCAAATTGGGGAGATACGGCATACTGCCCAATATCTTGCCCTGCAGATGGGGTGGCATAGCTGCGTGCTGCGTAGGCAGCGTTGACATGTGGTTGTTAACTGCCATCATATTGTGGTTGTTGGTATTCGCATTTTGCGCGTGCGTCAGGGAATGTGGACCTAGGGTAGCACTGCGCGGGTCCGCAGGCGGCCTTGGGCTAGGACTCGCTCCACTTAACTGCAATTCGGTATTCAAAGTGATTTATTAACTATTTGTGTGAAAACAATTTAATTATTCTCATAAGTTTTTATTGCAATAATAAAGAAAAAAGATTTACAAAACAAAAATGCTTTGTCTCAGAATAAAGGTAAATAGGTGCTGAATTATGTATAAACAAACAATTTCCTAATTTTTACTGATCATCAATGTTTAATTAGCAAACTAGTGACAAATGTAGCGTTGACAAATTCCTAATCGTAAAGCTGTGAGAGTAATCTTTCACTATATTTGTGTCTAAAGTTCGATGAGTTCAGTAGTAAGCGCGTTATGTCTGTGATTTATTGAAGTTAAACATTTTCACAATGGCTCGTCATGGTATGGTGCTTCAAAATGTATTATCTGTTCCGTGCTTCGGAACGCATAAGTCTTTGGTTCCAGCAACAAAGTTGTTAGCGCTCACCTCACTAACAGCAACAACAACAACCGAAAGTGGGCGCGATTAGTGGCGATTTAGTGGTATGGAGGACTTTTTTTTTTATTTAAACCCCTCACTGATTGCACACGACTACGGGTCCCCGGAGTCACCGCGCGTCATGTCCAATTGTTCCACTACCCCGTCGCGTTGATGCTATGGTGCATCCCCTACCGGGCAATCATAGAAGGCCCGCTGGGGGCTAAGGGCGGACTTTAGCTCGCCGCCTCCTAGCTCCCTCTCTCCTGTGTTGGAGACCGCGTGGGCTTGTTCCTCGCGGACCCTGTCCGCGGCCTCTTTCTGCGAGATAATGTCCTCGCAAAAAGAGGCCACCGCCTTCCAAGATCTGTCGCTGGGTGTGGAGGACCTGGGGCAAAGAAGAAGTAGGGAGCCCTTTTCTAATGTCTGGCACGCCGGGCCACTTACGCTTTGCGATTGTGTGTGTGTGATTTGTGTCGATTTTTTGATTATCGGGGATTTATTATCTACCTTGTGTCGGCGGGGCGGCGGCACCGGTGCTACAGCTTTTGGCGGTAACGGTGGGCGCTCGTCACGCAGTTGTGACATAGTCAGGGCCTGTGGATGATGAAGTCATTAAGCATCAGTGGACTGGACACTACCTAAATAAGGTAAGTGATACAAATAAGGCATACCTAATTTCAAATACTCATAATTATCATGATAAATTATTCTAAAAAGGTGATAAATAAAAGCAAGGCGTTATTCCTTGGTTCATAAAGGACAATGTTAAAATTGGCCTAAGAACCAACACCAATTTGGCATTTATGACAATTGTTAATATATTTTTTGAGATAATTATCAGTATTTAGATTGTGACGGACACTTCCAGTTAAGTAAGCTACATTAAAAAGTTAAAAAATAATCTGAGACAATAAATACCATTTTATGTGTATAATCTATGACAGCGCTGCAAACAAAACACTGTTTCTTCCTAATGCCGGCACTTCACTTGGCTATTCATATTTGCTATTTTAAAACATGACATCAGTCTGTCCTTTTCATTCCTTAATATGCATGACAAGGACAAACTGTTGTCAAGTAAAGGGCCGGCATAAAACTTGATACTCTGTGGTTGTGGTGCAGGCAGTTTGCATTCGTAGTAATCTGTGGCATTCGTGCATTCCAAAGAGTAGTATAATATACAGGAAAGTGCATTCTCGTTTCGGATTACCTGTTGTGTGTGTTTATTTGCGATTGTTTTTCCTTTAATTTAACTATTTCGGCTATATATTAGAATATGCCATCGATGTTACCAAAGAGCAGAGACCTTATTACCAAGTGCTAGTGAACCTGTGCCACAACATCCTGAGAAGATCATACTGCCAAATTATTCAAAAACACCTGATACACATTCACGTTGCATATTTACACAATATACATGTGATATACAAATAAATACCATAAACAATATGATACAATTATGTGAAAAATAGTCAATAAATAAGAAGCAAAACTACAGTTTTTATTTTATTCATGATTCCTACATATCCAAGGTTTTCATAATAGTTATTCTTTAAAATCGCACCGAATAAAATGAATTAGTTGTAATATTAATTCACTTCTTACTTAAGTTCATAGGTTGACCTATGTTTCATTGAATATTAAACGTAACCTCAAAAAACATTTAGTTTTCCTAATAATTTAAGTTCTCAGAAGTGTCCGTCAATAATCTTTGTTTTTACAGTCATTTACTTACGATTTCGAACCTAGAAAATAATATTTCATGATTGTTGGTTCTTAGGCTAACTATGTATGGCCGCTGAACAATGTCCTTTTAAGTAATTAAGAAAACATATTACAATCTAATATCATAAATCACTTAAAAGGAGCTTATTGCGGAACCTTAGTCTTAGTCACTATGTTTTTAACCTTTTAAAACATAGTGACTTAACAAAGCCTATGTACTTAAATTAAAGGATTATTGTTATTAGAGTATAAATTTTATTAAAATATGTATTTCTGAGCCTTTAATCAAGTGTTTCCATGGGATCCTTGAACAACATTCTAAGTTATTTTACTAAATATTTTGCTTAAATTGCTAGTCAGATTTGAAGTCGCATATTAACAAGACATAAATAAAGAATAATATGAAAAAACACATATCCATAAAATTAGCAAATTAACATATCTTCTCAAAAATATTATTAAATATTGGAAAATGAATAAAATTTGATAGATATATTTGATAAAAATGAGGCCTATTATAAAAGTAGGCTTTATTTAGTACATTATACTTCATATAAAGTTATAAGTAGTATTTAATTCGCATGTTCTAAAAAGTTAAATTTTAAATCATAGTTAACTTTTTGATAGTTATATTGCGATCCGTATACATTACATGAAACTAAACTTCAAAGAATAACGTATTAAAATTCGATAAAAAATACGAAAGATTAATACTACCCACTACTGACGCTATGAGCTCGAGCGGACTGCTCGTACACAGTTTGCCGAGCTGTAGAACTGTCGTCGATGCGTGTGTAAAGTATTTTTGATGTAAATATATTTTCAATAGACTTTACTGGACTTCCTTATTACAGCATGGGCCTTATTTGTATCCGTTACCTTACTGATAATATTTCTGGCCAACTCCCAAAAGTTTTTTTGCAGAACCACACTAAGCACATTTTATGTTATGAAACCTAGATACAAGATAGCTGACTAACGATATTAAATACTCTAGATACAACAACATGAACAAAATCGTGGCCAAAGTATCAGACTTTCAGACAATATTTCAATATTTCCGACGAACGAATGCTGCTTAGACGCTATGCTCGTGCTTTCTTGTAGATGGTAGTTTAGCCTTTACATTGAGCATAAGCATTGGGGTATTATAAGCGTTCGATTGACTGCAGAATGTAACCAACTTTCCTTCAGGCGTTTTCTTCCCACGTCTCATCACTCATCCATCCTTCGTAAACTATCTTACAGCGGTAGCCAATTTCACATCAGGAGGCCCATAAATAGTCTGGCACTTGAGGGAGCGTGGCATGGCAAATCAAACCCAAGTTTTAAAGGAATATTAGGTAAAGTTGTTTTCCATTGGTTTTTGCAATAGTGTTGTAAAGCTTTTTTAATCTTCAAGCTCTGCTATCGTAGGTAGTTTACTCTGGTCAGGTCCTTTAGCACCACCTGACGTTTAACGCCACCCGGAGGATACGCGTAAGGTAATTAAAGGATGCGGATGTAAATAGCTTCCTCAGAATAATTTGAATTCTAAATCCTAATGATGTTGCTAAAAGCTTTTAAGTATAAAATTAATCATAAACATTATTATCATACACCGAATGGTTGCCAAATTTCGAACTACGTATCCTACGAGATATTTTTATCCATTACCTACCTACCTAATGTGTCTCTCTTTGTTTAATTAGACATGCAATTGCAGTGTATTTAAATATACCTTAGTTTATCTCTCAAACTATTATAAATAGTGTTATCTGCTTGATCCAACATGTAATTTGATAGTTGATAGGTATTAAGTTTGATATGAGAATTGGAAACTGGGTAAGCTTTTGAAGCGAATAGTATAACTCTGAAATTTCTAATTAAAAATATCTTTATTCAAATTGGATGCATACCTAGTACAACACTTTTAAATTCTTTTCCTTACCTCAGGTTTTAGATCTATTTTTTAGCTTCGGAGAAAAACGAGTGAAAAAATCTCCACTACAATAAAAAGAATATTACAAGAATCTTTGTCACAGACATACTTATTACTTTACTATTAGATTTTTTCCATAACCTGGCACATCACGGTAGTGGAGGAATAACGGATTTAATTACTTTTTAAACTTAAGGTAGCGCATCGATGGGCAAGGAGCATTGCTGCGGAGGCGTGCCGCTGGCTGCTCCACAATGTGAAAAGTTATTTTCATCCCACCACCTCGGAAAGTGTAATTTTGCGCTTCGAAATCTGGCTGGAAAATTCTATTTTATTCGCTTGAGCGGCAAAGTAGATTTGAATTTAGAACATCACATATAATGAGTACTCAATATAATTGTAAATTCAAAACGTCATTAAACCTATTTAATGTAACCTCTATGGTGCCAAATTTATGATTAGAACTTTTTAAATTGTGAAAAAATTTAAATTTGGAACCTTCTTGGTTTCTTTGTTTTATTTGCGTGCTTCGCGCCATTCTAGTTTTTCACGTTTTATTGCTTAATATAATTAACATAACCTAAAAACTGTACAAAAAAATCAACTAAAATGAGTGACATTAGCGACGATGAAGTTTATCTAACGCCAACTGAGTTAACTGAAACAGTTAATAATGCGCAAATGAGCCTTCTCCCTCAGCAATCACGAGAGAAGTATTTGAAACAGTACGATATATTTAACATGTGGCGACTAGCTAAAGGAGCAAAAACTTTCTCCGAAAACGTTTTGCTGGCATATTTTATAGAATTATCTGAGACCAAGAAAGCAAGCACGCTATGGAGTACGTATTCAATGCTAAAATTAACAATTAAGATGAAGAAAGACGTTCATATCGACACCTATCATAAATTAGTGGCATTTTTAAAAAGAGCCTCATCTGGTTATAAACCAAAAAAATCGAAGGTTTTCACAGCATCTGAAATTGCAAAGTTTATTAATGAAGCACCTGATTCCGTATATTTAGCGGCAAAAGTAAGTCAATACGTGTAATTTTTTGTTGTTGATAAAATTGTACATAGTACTTACAATATTTTTAATTTGATTAATTTATTTACGATTATAAATACTTCTTTTGTTACAGGTTGTTCTTATTATTGGTATAACCGGAGCATGTCGAACAAATGAACTTACACTACTTAATGTCAATAACGTATCAAAATATTCTCATAATTCTGATGAATTGCTATTAATTAATGTACTAAATACCAAGACAAAAAAAGACCGCAACTTCGTTATTCGCAAGGAATATGTAAACATTGTTCAGAAATATCAAGCTTTACGTCCTTCTAACACCCCAATTGAACGATTTTTTCTACAATATCGCAACGGAAAGTGTATCCGACAACCTATGGGTCAGAATAAAATTGGCAGTATTCCACGAGAAATAGCAACTTTTCTCGGACTTTTAGAACCCCCGTTATACACCGGTCACTGTTTTAGAAGAACCTCAGCCACACTTTTGGCCGAATCAGGGGCTGATCTTCTATCGCTTAAGCGCCATGGAGGCTGGAAGTCTAATTCGGTTGTAGAGGGATACATAGAGGATTCAATCCAAAGTAAATCAAAAATTTGTAATAGTATCGTGGAGGCCATAACGCTGAAAGAACCTCTGTCAGATTCTTGGTCTCGCCCTTCTACATCTAAAATGAGCCCCCATAAGATTGGAAACAATAGCCCTCTCTCGCCAACATTTACGCCAATAGAACCCAATGAATCGGCACAACTATTTAAAATTACTGATACGAGTAGTTTACCACAAAACAGCGCACAATTCACAAACACCAACATAACATTACCTAACAAAAATATTAAACTTAACATAAGTAACTGTAGCAACGTTACATTTAATATTTCTTAATTATTTTCTACTTCTTATTATTTTCTTCAATTTATAGATTATCTTAATGTGTTTTAATTGAAATAAAAATATTTTGTCATTATAAATTGTTTTCTTTTTCATTTTGTCATTTCCTCGCTGAGGTGGGATGAAAAGTTACGTATTGCACTCGAGTGGAAAGATTTTTCACCTTGTGCTCGTTTGTTTCCCTCGCTGACGCTCAGGATTCTAATTTAGAATCACTCGCTGCGCTCGTGATTCAACTTTAGAATCCTTCGCTTGCTCGGTCATCCAAATCGAGCACGCGGTTAAAAAGGAACTTTCCACTCTTGTATAATAAATAACTATTATCGTACCTATAGCACGCTTTTTCTTGAGTGTTTATGCTGTTGGTCGCAGATGACCTTTACAGCGTCACCGGGTTTGGGGACGGCGAGATCCATCCGCCGACTCTCCTCTCCGTCTGGAGTCTATAGACCACTCGATCCTGAGGGGGTCGGCTCAACTAGAGGGCGTCTCTGAGACTTGACCCTCGGCTCTTGTCAGCCGTTGTCGTGGGGGGCGGGGAAAAACGCCCAGGTACGTACCTCCGCCGGGTGCGGTGTCTGCCTAATGCTAAGCGAGTGTGCAACTTCAGTTATACTATAGCACGCGCTGGTCATAGCCGGCGCGGTGCTTCGGACGCCCCTCCTGCTGGGTGACCTGGCGGATTCTTCTAAATGCTTTAACATTTTTGATTGCCTACCTGTCTTTGATGGTGCCTGCGCTTGGGGTGTCTGTGATACATGTCGTCACAGGAGGCGCACAGTGCACGCCGGCCACACTCTGCGCAGCGAACTCGCGCGCCTCCACCGCCGCAGAGGCCGCACGACGCGCCTGCATCTGCGGGGTGCCCTGGTTTAAATCAAAACGATTCTAAATCAATACATTGTATATGCATCTGGACTCCACTTACAAGTAATTTGAGGTGGTATGGATCAATAAGCTTTTAAGGAATGTATTATATAGAACCATCAAGCGACCGCGACCAGCCATAACTGAGAGGTCCGACTGGCGTTTAGGCGACGCGGCGTTACTTCATTAAAAATACATGTCGATGTAGTAAGTAGGAATATTGGATCATATAACAAATAAGTAATTAAAGTAAAAAAACTTAAAAAAAAAACAAGCGTTTATTTAAATGCGCTAATAATAATAAAATAAGAATTTCCTTTAAAATTTTTACTATCAACCTATATTATTTAAATTGCTTTTATATTATATATTTTTTTATGTTTAACGTAACAAATTTTGAATGAGATTTACCTGCTAGATAAACAAAAGTTGATTATATTTTAATTTTCAAAAATTTCAAAGTATGTAAATATCAGGTATACTTACTTAAATCTGGCGGCAAACTTTTATAATATATAAGGGGGCGTCCATAAATTACGTGAGGTGTATTTTTGAATTTTCTGTCCCTCCCTCCCCCCTAGGTGAGATATCGTGAGACTTTATTCAACCCCCTCCCCCATCCCCGATCTCACGTGAGATTTTTCAAAATGTGGGTTTCTTACGTAAACGCGTTGGATTGTTACAAATATGGTGGTTTGACAGTCATGTATAACGTCGAAGTATGAATGAAATTATTTTCTTTCGAACGAATTAGTGAATGATCTTTAATCGTATTACGATTACGCTTAAGATTAAATCTTAAGCATGTACAATCTGGATTAAATGGACCAAAATAGTATATTTTTTTTTTGTTTCAATCAGAAAAAAAATGCGTGATATTTGCCGAGACCTCCCCTCTCTCCAACGTAAGATTAGATGAGATTTGACTCGACCCCCTCCCCCCCTTAAACATCTCACATAAATTATGGACGCCCCCTAAATTGTGTAATGACGTCATAAATTAATAGCAATAGTTTAAAAGGAGTTATATTTAGCCTATTTAAATAAAAGCTTGTTTTTAAAAAGATTTTTACTTTATTTTTTATTCGAGATATTCTTAGCAAGCCCTTTCATTTGATACCCATATTGTGCGGAGGAGTGCATCAATAACAACTAGTCCGCCATCTTGTATGTTCCGCCATATTGGATTTAGAATGACGTGACGCATTGTCATCCAAACTAAACGTGTGTACAAAATTTCAGCTCACTTTCGATTGAGCTTCGAAAAAAATCTGCTTCAAAATTGAGTTGTAAGATTCCACCCCAACAAACATATATACATTGCAAGTTAAATAAAAGCTTTTAAAAATGGATTTTAATGGGAGCAGCTAAGTTCGACCCGGAGAGCAGAGAATTATTTTGGAGATTATTGTGTAACTATACACCTCACATAGTATCAGGTGTTATTATTCTAAGATTAGATTTCGTGAAATGGGACGGAAGTTTGTAACAGGAAGTCGCGAAAGCGCGCGCCTTTAGGTTTGATTTTAGAACATAATGTTGGCTTATTTTTTTTTACCAATATAAGGTGAGGTTTCAATTGTTACACATCATACGCGACTACTGTAAGGCTTGCTCGTTTTTTTATTCATCTTATAACTCCTTTGGATTAGTTAAAGCAATGCGTGTGATGATATCCAATAACTACTCGAAAACCAATTGGGTAATAATCCCTATTCTCAGGACAATATTCTTATCTGAAAATTATTAATTGTACCAAAACAATGAAATAAGTAGGTATACATAAGGCATAATTGTTGTAAAATAAATTGAAATGGTATTTGTTTGCACATAAACAAATACTGTCTTGCGCGAGTCGATGACCGACATACATTAAATCTATTTTGGTCAACCAGAATGTAGGTCATTTAGTAGTCATTTTAACTCATGCTGAAAAATTGGTTGTTAGTTTTAACTGTTTAAGCATAGATTGTTGCTAAAATATGTGATGTTTAAATGGGCGTGATTTGCAACTTCCATTCTGCAAAATTACTGGATAAATTATACGATTTAGTCCAGTCAATGCACGGTTTTCCCTAGCAATTCTAAAACTGCACTGATTAGCCCAAAAATTCTACTTACTTTCTACTTCAAAGTTGTCAATGTTTGCTTTTACCCTGGGGGTGGACGCCACCCTCACGGGGTTTTTTTTTATTTTATGTAAAAATAAGAAAGGGAATGGATAGACTGACTAATTCCAAGCAAATTTTGTTCTATAAAGTTTTTACAAATAGGCAATACTTTTCAATTTATTCGTGAGTTCGTAAAACGTAAATTTTCATGCGGTTTTTCATGACTAACTCTGTAAATAAGTATTTTATGAAAAAAACACATTCGGAGTGTAGTAACTGTAACTTATAAAAACAAACAAAATACTGGGTTTTAAATACCACTATATTAAATATTAATAGAGTAATAGCTTCGTCAATGTTGTATCTTGTTAATCAAACGCCAAAATCGAAAGTTTCAACGTGATATATCCAAAAAACAATGCATTTTTCGGGGAAAACTCATAGAACCTTTTTTAAAGTGCTTGAATATTTTTTGATTTTTATGGAAGTTCCTAGTATAAATATTAAGCGACTTATGTTGTGGATTAATTGGTCCCTATATATTTGGCGAAAAATGAAAATCTTTCACCTTATTACCACCCCAATTGAAAATGATCTTTACTACTTAATATAATTTACTTTATTTATGTACTTGTAATGTGCATGTACTATAAGTATGACGGGTTTAAAGAGCTTAGTTTAGATAATGAGCTTGAAGTGAAGAGAGCTCTATTGCAAGGTAAATAAAGCCTTTTTTTAAATATCTCAAAACTATGAAAGATACGCAAAATTTTAAAAATAAAAATTTTAGGATTAAAAAAAATGCATTTATTATGTTTTTCTGTTGGGTAAAAATTTTCATATGTTCGCAAATAGAAACGATTTCAAGCTCTTTCAGTTCAAAACTAAGAACTTAAAAATAAATTAGCATTCATCAGCTTTTGAAAAGACCTAGAAAATGATTTATTATTGAACTTGCTTGCTCTAAAACTAATGGAGTTATGGTAAAAATACCCAATCACTTACAGTTATCAAAAACACGTATATTAACAATACTGTTAAAGAAGATATTTTCATATTACATATACATTATGAAACGAATATACACGTTTGTGAAAAGTTCCATATGAATTTTCCCAGAGAAATGTCCGTTTTTGGATATTTCACGTTGAAACTTTAGATTTAAGGTGTTTGATGAAGAGGAACCAACCTATAACAAGCTATTACCTACTATTATTGTGGTACTTAAAACCCAGTATTTTGTTTGATTATTTATAAGCTACAATTTTATTCCGATTTTTGTATAAATATTTTTTTCAGGGTTATTTATGAATAAGCGCCTGAAAACATATTTTTTGTTGAAAAATATTATATGATTTTTTTTTATATTCGATTCGCATACAATACTAATAATCAGTAAAAAAATTAAATATACACGGTTTTACTACAAAAAAGTTAGACACTGTTTCAAAACTTGTAAAGCAGGTATGTTATTTTTTCTTAAATATGTGTTGAACGCATGTCTAAGTTTTTTGTGGTTATTAGAACAAAGTTTATAGTAGGTCCATACCAGTAGGTGGTCTTGGTGGCGGCGGCGGAGGCGGCTGGAGTTTAGCATTGACATATTGTTCCGATGGGAACTCCACGACTTCATAATCAGGTTCTGGTTTAGCGAGAGGCGCCCGTTGGGCAGTGGGTGTTCTCAGTGTGAGCCTCGTAGAGGATGGCACTGCAGCCAGTGTCCTCGCCACCGAAGTCGGCTGCTGTGGCAATGGTCGGGCAAGATGCGCTGGTGTGGTGTTAACCGCCCGGGCGTCGCGAGAGCGCCCTTTAAGCATTTCTGGTAAATGAAATAGATTTATCATAAACTTAGATGAAGGAGTTGAGATTCTTTAAGTTTGCTGTTTTTTAATCAGATACCTACTAATAACCATGTCTATACCTACCTAAGTACCTATTGCCACAGACTGAAAGTAAACATTTACAAGATGGATTTATAAAAAAAACTAAACAAAATAAAATATCGGTAAAATATGAAAAGAACATGTTTTTATTATAATTTTTGATAGCGATAATTGAGGGAAAAGTAGAAGGAAATAGCCTACATTAAACAAATTGTAGAAAAGGCTGGCGTCGAGTTATACAGCGGGGCAAAGAGCTTGCGTGGGACAGAGGGAGATGGCGGGAAATCCTTAGACTGCGCCGACAAGAGCGTTGCTCTTAATTTCAGACAGATACCTGTAATAGTGTCTCACTTGCGAGTTGCGACGGTATGATTGCCTATATATGAAGAAATGGCTCTACCTTGCAGCGTTATAAATACATACTAGAAGCTTAGATTAAAACGATAAGGGAAGATACGGTATGCTCATACTAGCATAAAATAATGAAGTTGGTCGCTTTAGCGACCAACTTCATGCATTACTTTTGTGTTTACCGCACATTAAGAAAATTTACCAACAAAATAGAAATAGAATCTCTATTTAGTGGGTGCTAACGACTGCATTGTGAAGGCCTATCAAAAGTATTTATTAATCTGGAACAACGGAACCAAAGCGCGATTCAGGAGACTACAGCGCCATCTCTTGACCATTGGTGTAGTAGAACCAAAAACCACATCTTTATTTTTTGTAATAAAGTAACAGTTATAGGTATTTGAGTTTCATACAAGTGCAAATCACATATGTTCTAATAAATTATATTCAGTAGCGATTTTAATTGAATATTTTGATTATTTATTTATTTTTTCAAATTAAAACTGAACTTTATTGACTGTGTCCTTTTCCAGACTTTTTATTAATTTATTGTAATTAATTATTTGCATGCAATTAAAAACTAATTTTAAACGATGCCAAAGAAGGATAACTTCTCACGCGCCTACAAGAGTACACGCACCCATTTTTTTTACGTTAAAAGTGTAAGTGCTGCAATATGTAAAATAAATACTACATTTAACACAAAAGCGTCAAGCGGTGTTGATCGCCATGGTATTTGACCAATCAACGTTTTCCAAATTAAATTGATATTGTAATATACTTATTAACGCGTTTTTAATAGCAGATCGAGCTCAAAAGTATAAAATTAACTGTTATATAAACATTGGGTGCTCGACAGCAATTTTATTAAAACTTTAGTTTTTTAAGTTGTAAGTATATTTTAATATTATTCAAGGAAGCAAGTGCCAAAGTTTATTTCCATACATGTTACTACGATTTGTTCTATATATCTAATATAACTTGATTTATCTTCGTAACCAGCCAGCCAAAAGTGATGCCTATTCGATAAATATAATAAAGTAAATCCTGAAAAGTGGTCGGAGTCAGCGTGATACAACCAGGGCTGTCGGTGAGTCGCTGTCAACAGTACAAAGAGTTCTCTGATGTTACGAGGAAACTGGCTCTAACCTACGCAGACCAGAAACAGGCAGAACCAGGTGTACCACAGCACGAGAAGATCGATACTTGGTGAACACCATGCTTCGAAATCGCTTTCTCACAGGAACTGAAATTACAAATCAGGTTCGACGCCTCGGAGGAAGTAACCCAAGCGCATGGACAGTAAGACGACGACTTGCTGAAGTTAGCTTGAAACCACTTAGACCTGCAAACGCCCTAAACTGGAGCACGGCCATCGTATTTCAAGACTAAGATATGCCGAGAACCACTTAAATTGGACTATTGATGATTGGTTAAAAGTTATGTTCTCCGACGAATCAAAATTTATGCTCTACAAGCACGATGGAAGACACAGAGTACATAGAAGACCTGGGGAAAGATTCAAGCAAGTATTCATCGAAGAAAAAGTAGACTACGGTGGTGGGTCTGTACTTGTGTGGGCCGGAATTTCTTCAGAGAGTCGCACAGAACTGGTATTCACGGCTCTTTAACTAGCGAAAGATATGTGGAAGAAATCTTGAATGAACACGTTGGTCCATTTATGGTCAATTTGGGTGAGGATGCTATTTTTATGCATGGCAATGCCCGACCTCACACAGGTTGGATTGTGAATACCTTCAAGAGATGAACATTACTCGTATGGAGTGGCCAGCACGCAGCCCGAATATCAACACGATCGAGTATGTTTAGCAGCGAAATCCTCCTCCAATTACGCTTCGTGAGCTCAAAATTGCTCTCACAGAGGAATAGGAGAATATTCCTCAAAATCGTATAAGTTAATCGATACTAGGTGTACAGCATGCCAAACTGGGTAAACGCAGTAATGGAAGCAAGAGGAGGCAAAACGAAGTATTAAAATTTAAGAAAATCGTAATGTTGTTCAAAGGTGACATGTTTCCTATATTTATTTTAAGACGAGATCAGCCAGTTTTTTTATCTATTTTATTGTAAATAAAATGTGACTCATAAATTTTATTACTTTCATTTAAGGAGTATTTCATTGTCTATTAAATACAATTTATTTCATAATTCTAATTTCTCGGACAAAGAATTAGTCTAGCCATTCAAATGGGTAACGCTGCCAGTATCTTCGGATCCTTGCCTAAAGGAACTCCTTTTAATAATATATTTTAGTGATTAATTTAATTTTTTAAGGTTTTTAGTTTTAGTTTTATTGTTAGTATTTATATATAATATAGAGTAATTATGTAATTAGATAGACTTATTTGTGTACTTGTAATTATATAACAGAAATATATTTATTTCATTAAGCTAGTATTCTTAGTTTGCCAGATTTTTTAGGATTCTTAATGTGACCGGGATTAATGGATCCTAAAAATCGATGTTGTTTCATTAACTACGTAGTCCTCTTGAAACATCATCGTTAGGTTCATTACCTCAATTGGTATAAGTAGTAGATCTCTTATCAGAATATACAATGAAAAACATAATATTTGTTGTCAGACAGTATAAAACATATGGAAATTCATTGAATGCAATTGAACTGAAATTGCTTAGTGAAAGAAGAAAAAATAAGCACTGGGTGCAAAAACACTTTTGGTCATTTATTAATCAAAACGGGGTGATAAACGGAAATATCCAGTAGAGCTATCTAATGGAGTTCCATCTTGTTCGGATAATAAACAAATATGCAATTTATTTGCAACTCAGTTAAAACCAGTACCTATGCGTTATTGATCAGCAGTGATATCCTGTGAAATTTTCACGAATAAAAAAAAACTAAAAAAAAAAATTTTACAGAATAGCACTGCAGCAGTGCTATACACTAAGAACAAACTCACTTTTACAACGCGGAATTCAACTGTTTTATTTAAAATTTATTTTAAATTCTTTGTTTTAATTTTAAATCACATCGCGGCTTCCGAGGTGAAAAGTGATTTTGTTCTTACAGAAAAGCAATGCAGGACACGTATGACAGTGACGCGAGCACAAGTTCGCATATGTCGACATATGTTTGGGGTAGTGATTGTCTGGATGGAATTCAAATTGAGGCTGATATCAAGGCTGCTGTCAATAAATTTAAAACCTTATTATTATTATTATTAGATAGGACAAATTATAACCGGTATACCACAGGGGTGTAGGATAGAACGTATTCAGAAACGGTTTTTGTGACATCTTTCCTTCTCCATAGGCATTGGTACGACAGTTCCGTCATAAAAAAAGGGTTGGATTATTTTCTGCTGAGAACTTTATCTTACCGGATGGAGTATTTAGACTTTTTTTTTTTTTACGAGATATATAACTTAATACATTGTCTGTCTACAACTAGTAAAAAATAATAATCTTGAAGTTCCCACTAGAAATCCGCGTTGCCTCCCTTTCTTCCGCCATCCCGCAGAACAGAATTGGGCTCTGACTCTCCAATCGGGCACAAACCCCATTCATTAAGCATTCCATAAAGAACAATACTTATCTGCTTTGACATTTTTAAGCAGATTATCGGGCAGGTCGGACAGGAATCAATTTGTTCGGTAGTAGGTACATAATAAAAAAATATTGTTCATAAACATTGCCTGACGATTATTAGAATAAGTTATTAAATAAATGATACTTAAAATAATTCTAACAATGAATTAATTAATACACAACTAAGAAGTTTTTATGTTGTAGTCGAGGAAGTCGTATTATACAAAATATAATTAAAGCTTACATTATAGCATATCAAAGTGAATCAATTAACAATATTTTTATTAGATATGATATTTTTTCTAGTCGAGTCTATCTTTTTTCTGGTCTTTAAGTCAGAAGCTTGCAAGAAGAAAGGGCGTAGGAATGGCATCACATTTAGTTAGTTAATTAGTTCTTCAGGGCGGTTTCTGCACTTAGTCCTAACTATTGGACCATTGAATAGCGATGCATGTTCATAGATCTGAGTTCCCATTGGTTCTTGGGTTGGCATAGCACCGACACTTAACGTTAATTTGACTTTAAATGTACTATAGATATAAGTAAATAATAACTATTATTGTATTTTTAGTGCTTTTGTTGTTATGAGGATATGACTGCTCAGAATATGATAGAGGCTATTAGAGCTACTGCTCTACAAATGTTACCCTTACCAGGAAGCATCATCATCACCGTACTAATTGATTACTTATATTGAGTGTTTTATCAAGTAAGAACTATAGCTATGACTGGGATAGAGCGGGCGTTGCCACATTGCAGACGCCTTGCTCGACCTATTTATCGGAATACTCATATCCCAAAATATCGAAACTAGAAAATCGTGGACGATTAAAAATGTACACTTCTTGCACTAGTTTACTTTGTGGAATGAGTATTTAGTAAGATAACGGTAACATTTTTAATTGGGCGGTTGATCTATTAATAAAACAAATGTTTATTGAAACCAAATTAATATAAATGCGCTAGATAGCTATTTACAACAAAAACTACCGTGTCTTCACATGAAAATACGTACTTGCTTGTCCGGTAGTTTGCACAGTCCACTAATTAAATTTAATAAATCACACACATATTTGTCGACAGGTGTTCAATATTATGCAACACCGAACTTGCTTTACAGCACAACACTCGCGAGGTGTAGCTGGACCCAGAGGGTAAGCTGGGTCCCAGCTTCGATGGCCGCCGCTGGCCACTAATCGTGCGCCCTATCCGGACGAAATTGACAGCGGGAAGACGCGCACGCCGCCGGCGCCTCTATTTCTGTCCGCGGCCGCGTTGCCCCGATTTTACTAAAATTAAGACGCGATCGCTATTTCCGCACTCAACTGAGTGCCCTCACAACCACCTCTACCTTGCTAAATGTTTCTGTTGATAAATAAATATTATATTACATCTCACAGATAACTCTTTAGGTAGGCGTAGGCATATTTAAATCGCAGAATTTAAATGCTAAAATCTGTTTTACACTATAATGCTTCTTTTCTTAGATATTTTGATTAAGATTATAAGAAAATGGAAAGCTATTATCGATTTGATGGTATAAGGCACACACTTTTATTATTATTAAAAACACAAAACTTCTGTTTACCTAATAGAGTATTAAAACCTTTTTCAAAAATAAATCACATGTGACTTTGAAGTAATTTTGAAATGTTGCACCTGGCAACGATAAGCTTGTAAACAAATCTTGTTTGCATATTCAAGCTATGGAAATATTATATAAATTTAAACAAAATGGTTATTTCACAGCTGATTTATATCATTTATTGGCTAACAAGGGGATGGTGGATAAGTTCGAAGAGGTGTTACACGCACAAATTATTAAATTGTCCAAAGAATTTTCGCTCTATACATCACCTATACCGGGATATTAATTATTTATAGATTATTCCATCGCAATATGAGAGAGAAATGAAGATGAGCACAGTGGAAAGGCTGCACACTCTAAATAACATTATTGTTGACAATATTGTTCATAGTGGGAAGAAACCTCAAACAGTAACTTTATCTTTTACACCAAGACTTCTCGTTTTTCAAAACTTTAAACCAAATGAGAAAATTACTGCAAAGTTTACTGTTAAAAATATAAGCAAGGTAACTACTACAAAAATACTACTTTTATAAATCCAGACTACATGTAATTCTAGACATTCCTTACGGCTTTCTAATATTGTTAAAGGCGCCGACTTACCTCAACATGGTGTACAAAGAGTCATCGTATTTTCATATAAAGCCAAACGGAAGCAGTTTATTGTCTAGGCTGGCACCAGGGATCAGTGTAACTTTTGCCATAACTTTCACACCTACAAAATTTGAAGACTATACTCACAGAGTTACGTTTTATACTGATCTGGATCAGTATATATTGCCTCTGATTGGTAAATTTTATTATATTCTGATTTTACATTTTTGCAGATTTTTTTTGATTAGAATTATGCTTAACAATAAAGTCCCATCATGTCAATTCAAATTTTTTTTTAATAGCAATGGGTCCACGACCGATTTTCGATTTTCCGGATTTAATAACGGTACCAAGGACACCACTTAAAATCGAGAACTATACTTTGATAACTGTCCATAATTGTGGTATGGTATCTAATGGTTTTACACTCTCAACAAAGTGGTAAGTAATAGTATAATCATGTTACAATGACGAAATGATATGAAACTAAACCAATTTATAGTCCATTTTCAGTAGAACCAAAATCGGCGTATTTGAATCCCAATGAAAAAATAGACATAAAGGTGATTTTTAAGACCATGAAACTTGGCGAAACACAAGGAATAGTACATGCAGAGTTTGAAACAGGTAAAGAAAAGTTTTTCGTAGTATAGCAATATAAAAATTTAACTTTCACAGGTATAATACGTATTATAAACAAAATATTCTTCATAGGAGAAAAGTTAAGAATAATGATCTCAGGATGTACACATACTGTAAGCGTTGAATTAGAAAAGCAAGTTGTACGATTTCAAGACACTTACAATACAATGATTCGTCAGCAAACATTCAAGATTATGAATAAATCAAATTATCTGTTGACGTATATGTGCATGAAAAATGATTGCGTTTATTATGGTGAGATATAAAACTTTTGCGTCGTACATTTTTTGAACAGAGAGGAAGTTTGTAGGTAGACGTATATAGGTACATTATGGAAATATTTTTTTATTATACTTACATAACCTTCAATTTATTCATCCTAGATTTTGAAGATAAAGTGAAGTTAGCAACTATGTGCTTTAACCTAAAAGATAGCGAATCTATGAAAGCGACGAAATTAGTGTACTACGATGTTCTTAGTAGCGATGAACATGAAAGAGTTTATTCCAGAATATTTTTTGACGAAGTTCACGCTCTGGTAGCTGATGACACTTTGACATTTAACAATACTCATTTTTCTATCACACCAATCGTTAGTATCATTATCATTAATTTATAATACTCTTTTACCACAGCGATAACAGTTTCCAGACTGCACCGGTGTGTTATATTTATGTAAGAATTTCAAAGTGATTACAAAGCAGAAGTCAGTCTTACTGACCACTGTAGCTGTACTTCATAAGTCACCGGGTATAGGGCCAAGGTGGCAAAGGTGGGCCATTTTTATTCACATGCCATATTTATATTAATATATAGTATGTAAAAATGGCCATCTATGCTGCACTTAACAAGAAAAATAAGCATAGAATACGCCACATGTAAACCTTCTCCGTGCCGGTGAGGTCTAGCATAGAAGCCGATCAATGACATTGAAGTGCTGGCAAAGAGTAGTACTTTTGATACACTGAGAATTTCGCAAGGAATATGGCGTGAGACTATGTATCAATTAAATGCGAAATATTTAAGCTTCAATGTGAAAATTAATAGAATGAGGAACCAATATTAAACGAAATAACATTTAAGTTACTTTATTTCATTACCATTTTTACTCTTGCCTTTACTCCTTTTAATTATTTATTTTAGAAAGGAAAACTTTGGCCCAATAAAGCGACGGAACTCACAATAACATTTTCTCCGAAAGAAGTAGGAGATTTTCAGGCAATAGCATATTTAGATATTGATGGTGTTAGTGACAGGGTACCCTTGAACATGGTTGGCATTTCTCTTCCACCATCGATTCACCTAAATCTAGAAACGCTTGACATGGATTGCGTCTACATTAATAAAAATTATAACTACGAAATTGTAGCTGTTAATAAAGGTAATTGGTATTTTATTTCTATATAGTTGCAGAAAAAAGAAAAAGAATTTCATTTCATAAATTGTGTTTTTAGGACATATCAATGGAGTCATTGTATATAAGGAAGTAGCGACTCTGTTTGGGAGCCATATTACTTGCAGCCCTGAATTACATTGTTTGAGACCAGGAGATAAAGAAATTTTTATAATTTCATTTTGTAACTCTAATCAGGGCCCGTATTTTGAAGAAATCAATTTTGTAATTCGTGGTACGAGTGTCGTATTAAAACTCTATTTAAAGTAAGAATAATTTTATATATCGGCTTGCATATCTTTTACTAACACTATTAAGATAATTAACTTTTTATTTTCCAGGGGTGAAGTAATATATCCTTCTTTGATGTTTAGCGTGCCATGTTTGGATTTTGGATTTGTGAGCTTAGGTAAGGAATTTAGAAAGACTATTTTTTTTTATCTGACCTAACGATACCTAATAAATTTAAATTTGCAGGTGTTCCAAAAACTTTAGAATTAGAGGTGATTAATGAATCTATAGTTCAAATACGTGGTTCTGTAAAAATATCTTCTGATGGTCCTGAAGTAAGTAGTATCACACTGACAGACTATGCTGTTACGGATAAACCCAAACCCAATATTCCTCAATGGCCTCGAGAATTCTGTATTGAACCATGTAAAGTGGAAATCGAACCGGAATCTAGAGTTTCTTTAAAGGTATGGTCAGTTATCATTCGAAAAATATTATATTTTTTCCTTGTATTAAATTAGTGATGTTTTCGCGATTGTCATTTAGATCACCCTAACTGCTAATCTTATACGAGCTAATCAGACATCACTTGAACTCGAACTTGAGAAATCGGACAGCCCGCCAATAATACTTCCTGTGACCTTCAATGCCATGGTGCCCGCAATTACAGTAGCACCCGAAATCAATCTAAGAGCATGTTTTATAGATTTCGCTTACAAGAGTGACGTATATGTGTCATCTAATGAATTTTGGGGATATTTTACCTTGATTGAACCAGAGGTAAAGTATAAATGTCGTTGTTTGTTGTTATTTAAACATAAAATAATTTTATGGTGCTTAATTTATATTTTAGGAAGAATCGACCTTGGAAGTAGATGTTGGTATGAAAGAAGGTCTTATCGAACCAAATAGCACAATATGTTTGCCGGTTACAATTAAAACAAGAGTCCTTGGACCACAAGAATATACTGTACGGTAATAAACACTTCTAATTAATCATATTGTTTTTTTAATAATCCACTTGTTTCTTATCAACAATATTATTCTTATGTTAGGCTGCACCTGTTTGGTTTATCAAAACCTATTGATATTTGTCATATCTCTGGATGTGGAGTTCGTCCCATAGTCACTTGTGCTCCTGTAGCTCTGCATTGGGGCCAAATCAAATTACTTACTAAATCGCAAAAAACCTTAACTCTCTGCAATGATTCGCCAGTCCAAGTCAACTTTAAGGCTTCTCTAGTAAGTAAGAAATTGATATATTTTACAAACATATACCTATAATACGTTTCCGTTGTAGCGCCAGCTTGTACTTTGAACATAGATCACGCAGAGCTCACGATGTACAGCTGATTTTCTCTATTGTAATTAATACAAGCGACACACTGGTTGTTTAATTCCTCATCTCCCGTCACTAAGAGCGTAACCGTTGTATCGTTTATGGTTTTAGCAGTGCATGAAAGGCATTAACAAATAAATAGAGTATTTATTTACGATAAAGTATATTTATTTGTTGGGCATCATTTCTAGAGGATTAACATAGAACGATGCCCATTTCGCATTCCTGACCTGGTTGTTCAAATTATTGTATAAAAACGATAGAAGCACGTCCTGGACTCATTCCCAATCTATAGTTTCAAAAATTAATGTTAGAGGTTGGCAAACTACACACATCAAAAGTGTTTAGGGAGATAGTAGGCAATGCACGTGTACGTAATGGAATTACCACAATTTACAAAAACTGCCTTGGTTTGCCAATGGAATTAAAGTACTTTTGGTTATATTCCGCCCTTTCTAGTCCGGTTCACTTTTTATACCTATTTTTACGTGTAGCTCAATAATGATGGAAAATGGCTAATTCAACCAAGCGAAGGCTACATAGAACCTGAATCAGAAACAGATCTACTACTGACGTTGTATTTACTTGATGCAGACAGCTATACTAATAAGGCAGTATTGCAACTGGAAAAAGTAAAAGATATAGTAAGATCATATTAATTTATTTGAATTGCATCTTTTTAATTTTTAGTTGGTATGTACTAATTTTTATTCTTTCAAATTATGTTGTTCAGTTAGTACCTTTATCGGCTACTGGAGTTGGAACAAGCATTGTAGTAGGAGAACAAAGAGATAGAATATTTCTTGGTCGGCACTTTACTAAAATACCATTGAATTGCAAAGTAATTGTGGAAAACCGCGGAACTCGTTTACATTCACTGGAATGGAGTGAATATTACAAAGCACCAAAAAATAAAACCCCAACTGCGTAAGTTTTGTTGGAAACGTGTACATTAGTTCATATTCCTTTTAGAAAATAAAAGAAGACATTCGTACAGCTACGTTCAGTTTAAACTTTTTAAGTTCATGCTTACCGTAATTAATTGCATAAAATGCTCATATCAAGTTGATACATCTTATGATTTTATTGTTTTATAGCAGCTTCTTTCATTTAGATCCGAAAGTTTTTAAATTACAAGCAGGAGAAAAAATGGAATTGTCTATATCTGGCCTATCAACCAAAGTTACAACCATGAAAGAAATGTGGTACTTAGTTGGAAGTGTAGAGGGAGTCAATAAAAAAGAATTATTGATGGAATGCCAGGTTACAGCGGAGTTTGTGGATCCCAAAATTGAAGTCTCTTCTTCAGTTATGGAGTTTCGATATGACTTTGGGCCTTATAGTGATTTTTATAAATTAACAGGTACAATTAAATGTTATTTTCTTAAGTTATATAATTCAGGACGAAGCTTGTTTGTTTCTTTAATTGAAATTCATAGGTTATTTGATTGAGATGTTTTGATAATAGATACTGTTATATTTTTTTAAGCATTTCACTGCTAGCTGTTTAAATCTAAAGAAACTTTTACTAGAAAAAAAATCTACGCGGACCAGACAGCAGACGGGACTCCAACCTGCACCCTCCGCTATCCGGGCGGATGCACTGACCATTATAATTATGTAGTAGGGGAGACCACGATGCTAAATAGATATTTACTCGAGCGTCGTTGGGACCTATAGAATTGTGATGGTTAGATGCTAAAAACCATGGAGGCGAGATTCAATAAACTCTTTGAAGGCGATTTGGACTGCATCGCAGTAAAAAATAATCTTTGTAAAAAGTTGTCCAAATTCCGGAAAATGGTAATCTGTTGGAGCAATGGTCGCGGAGTACGGTGGATGTCGCAGACATTCTTATTGTAGCTCATCTAACTTAGCGGTTGTTTGTTGTGCAGGGTGATCTTGCGTTGTCCTGAAGCAGCAGTGGCCTAGAGCGATTGACCAATCTCGGTTGTTTAGCAGCTAGTTCTTCCTTCATGGTTTGCTATTGCTGACAATAGATATCTGCCGTAATCGTTTGGCCAGATTTTAGAAAGTGAAAGTGAACGACACCGGCGCTAGTCCATCAAACCTGGCTTTGCAGCGCATGTACAGGCTTTCAAATCGCCCCACGTGTCTCTGACGACGGAAAATCGGCCGGTTTGAATGGTGGGGAAACCGTACGAAGGGGTAGAAAATAGGGGAAAAAACTGTGTGTAAAAAGTATATAGTAAATTGTGTGTAATAAGTACTGGTAAAATTACATCCTGCCTTTACTTTAATAATAATAATAATAATCTTTATTTGCAGAATATGGTTACAAATGGTGATACAGAGATAAACAGCATCCTATATTCTTACCCAATGGGGTGTGCAAATTAATTGACATGTCGAGAAAAAAAAAAACTTATTACAATTATTCCATTCATTGAGCATAATATAAACAAATTCACATTATCATTGTCAAACAATATAATAATCTCAATGTCAAACAATATAATAATCTCAATGTCAAACAATATAATCTCAATGTCAAACAATATAATCTCAATGTCAAACAATATAATAATCAATGTTGTTCATAAAGTTAAGGACATAATAATAATTTAAATTTCAGCATCACTCAAATATTCCTTTAGTGTATAATAAGCTTTATTTACTAAAAACTTTTTTAGGGTCACTTTATATTTTATCACATTATCGATTTGTCTTATATCTTGTGGTAGCTTGTTATATACTATCGGAGCAACGCCATATAAACTATTTCCAAACAAAGCAGTTTTATGAGGTTTTTGACACAACTTGTCATTGTGTCTTTTAGATGTAAACATATTGTAAAATAATTTGAGATTCGTTTTAACAAAGACACATACTTCAAATATATATAAACAAGGTACAGTCAAAATATTTAATTCTTTAAAAAGAGGATAACAAGAGTCTGTAGGGCGAAGTCGACTTATTGCTCTCACACATCTTTTTTGTCCTTTGAAAACTCTGTCCTTACTACTAGAATTTCCCCAAAAAATTATGCCATATCTCAGTATTGACGCAACGTATCCATGATAAGCTGTCATTAGTGCAGAACGGTCAGCTATTTTAATCTGACTCGCTCGAATTTCTCCAACGTTAATTTTTTTTTACTAATCTGATCGGCTGCCCTAGACACTTCATAAATTTATTTATTTATAAAGGGCTAAGGTATGGTGGAAGTATACAAAATGCATGATTGCTCCTCTGATGTTAATCTGTAGCACTCGAGTAAATCCCAAAATGCACGCTCGGTCTCCCCTACTATATGCTAGGGCTGCGGTAGCATAATGGTCAGTGCATCCGCCCGGACAGGGAAGGGTGCGGGTTCGAGTCCTAACTGCTGTCTAGTCCGCGTGGATTTTTTTCTAGCAAAAGTTTCTTTAGATAAATGATGTTGTTTGTAACTTTTACAGACATTGTGACAATAAAAAACATTTCCAAGTTGCCACTGGACGTTGATATATGTGTGAAGCCACCATTTTCTCTTATTCAGAAACAAACGACATATAAAATACTACCAGAAGAGGAAAATATGTGTTGTTGTATATGTTACAATGAATCAGATTTAAAAATGTCTAATCTTATTAGCGAAATGGGCGTAAAACAATCAAAAATCTTTATAGATTATTTAACCTTAAAGCCTGTCGAGCCCCTGAGAAAAGAACCTTTACACTTCTTCCAAGACATCAATAAAATAAAAGCAGCTTTTAATCTCACACATGCTGTTGAAGAACGTCTAGAAGATCAGGAAGTAATGAAACTTCAGATACTGTTCGATACTACAAAACATATATCGTTAAAATCGAAAGTATACTGCGACCTAATGAGATTGAAATTTAAGGGTCATAAGAATAAGGTATTTCTTTGTACTTCACTTAGTAAAAATACAAATTAAGTCTTTAATAAGGTAATAAAATAAGTTATTTCAAAATTGAAAATAGGTATAAAATACTCGTGTCACATTGTTTGTAACAAAACTCTTCCGAAACAACTTAGCTGATTCTTATGAAATTTCGAGGGTATATTCAGTTGGTCTGAGAATAGGACGTAAACTATTTTTCGTACCCTTAAGTGATTAAAGGACCTTCCTATTTTATTTTATTTTGAATATTTGACAAAAAAAATGTTTTCATGATTCTGCATTAAACAATAATAAACAATACCCTACATTTCACCTTTCTTCCACCAAACCATATTTTTATGACCGTACGAAGTTTGCTGGGTCAGCTAGTTTATTTACATAATAATTTGAATACTGAAAATGGGTCAACGCAGTGAATAAAGTATTATAGAATTGTATAAACATCGGGAACATTGAAAGTTTATTGTTGCTTTAATTTCCAGGATGCAGTCAAACTTTTAGGAAAAATCAACTTCCCAAATATATTAGTTTTAACACCGCGAGTAGATTTTCAATGTTTATTAAACGGAAGCATTGAAAGTAGAACAATAAAAATACAAAATATGACTCCTTTATTAGTTTGCTATAGACTACAATGGAAGAAATGTTTGATTACTAAAAAGCCAGGGGTAAGAAAATAACTATAAAAAGTTTCCTTTTATGACCCGGATTATTCCATTTTAAGTGATATTTGGTTTTTCAGTCTAAGTTAGAAGCAAAAAAGTCATATGAAACTACTACAACAGATATCAAATCTCTTACAGATATAACAAAGACCACTGGTAACAATTATTACAGTAACAATTACTGACTTCTTAAGATTATATTTATTAAAGTGCATTGCATAACTCGAATTCCAGATAGCAAATTACGGGAAATTTTAACAGAGAATTTTTCCGATGTTTTTAAAGAGGAGAAAGGAAATAAAGGATCAATCAAGAGTGTCTTACCTTCTCTAAATGACAGACTCGATTTGGAGACTAGTATAGATGACTTTGAAGAAGATTTAGAGTTCCAAAAATTAAGGATGATACAAAAAATTACCCCAATGATTGACTCCGAAATCGAAAGTCTATTTTCATGGATTCATAAAATTCCGAAACCGGATAAACCCAATAACAATAGTATAAATGAAGTTCTGCAATTAGTACCACATCGAGGTTTGCTTAAGCCAAACGAAGTACAATATATTCATGTTATATTCCGACCAAAACAAAATATGAATGTACGAGCAATACTTGAATGTGAAGTTTTAGGTGGGCCGTCAGAAACTGTTATAGTTACGGGACAAAGTTCAGACCTTGTGTATAAACTAAATACACAAAAATTGAACTTTAAAATAAGATCATTTCACGAGGATGCTTCAGAAGAATTATCTCTATTAAATGTTGCCCAGTTACCCTTTGAATACAAAACATTTTTAAATGAACCTAAGTTTGTGAACGAACTCGAAGGAACCATTCTCAACTTAGTGCCTCCCGAAAAATTAATAGAACCTGAGGAAAAAACACTCTTAAAAATTGTAGTTCGTCCAGGCGTAGTTGGATATTTCAAAAGAATATTTTTGTTAGAAATAGGACATTTACCTCATTTACCTATAGAAATATTTGGATGGGGTCAAATTCCTCAAGTCTACATATCATTGCAAAGACCTAATATGGTAGATGTGAGTACATCGTATTAACTTTATTTCGCATTAAAATTATTATAAAGCTCAATCACGATTAATTGTGTATTTATTATTAGTTAAATCTTGAATATGGTTACCTCGCAATCGCTTCATTGACATCGGAATATCTGGAAGCAGTAAATGAATTTTTCATAAAAGATAAATCTGAACATTTGACCTCGCCGCTTATTGAAAAATGTTTCGAAGATCCTGATTTTCAGCAAGACTGGCATATATGTTCATCTTGGGTAATATTACATATTACATTATATTTTGCAAATTAAGTAGTTTATATTAAATGGGTTCATATTTTTTTCGTTTAGGACTCTTATCCTTCAGTGATGGATATAGAGTTAGCTGTGGAAAGGATGTTGGTAATCAATCATATAAAACTTTGGCCGGATATTTTAACAGCCTATTCAAATTCATCAAAAATGGGACCGATTCGTGGATTTCAAACAATTCCATATGTTATCGATTACGGCGTCGTGATTACGGGAAGCACGGTAAAAATAAAACATTACTGAATATTACAGAAACAGAGTGGGTAATTAAATAGTTTTACCTGTGTTAGTCTCATGATAAATTTCTCAAAAACGAAGATATATTTTACAAAGGTTAAGTTGAATTTTGTAACGTAAACTCTAACTTTGATTGATATAAAGACAGAAAAGACGAAATTCCCTAAGGGCGCTTTCAATTTATGCGTTTCTTGACGGCCTGCTGCGGTGCAGAAGCGCCCTTAAGCACCTTATTCTAAAACACTAAGAACCACTTAAATCATTTGCTTAAATTTAAGCGTACTCCTATGGTAACCCTGAAATTAGGAAGTAAAACATAAAATTGTACACGCATATTACAGCAGATAATTTGAAAATAATATTTAGACTACATCTCTAATTCAACCAAATTTTAAGAATCATATTATTTCTTATTTAGGTGCAATGTACAGCAGATATAGTAAATTACGGCCCAATACCAGCGAAGCTACATTTAGCAAAGGGGTGTCATATTCCGACATGGTTAGGTTTAAAATTGTGTGGAAGAATAATGCCCGGTGAAGCAGGAAAACTCGAAGTAACATTTGCTCCGACATCCGCTGATTTTACAGAACTAGAGCAGAATCTTGAAACTGGTTTCAACTTGGAGGTAGATCCTTTAATATCTAATAAGCAATGTAGAGATTTTATTGTATTAAATAAAAAAATAATGGTTAATTTCCCGCAACCCAATGATTTTATCTTAGTACTGATGGCTTTTATAGTGAAAACGGCTCAAACCCGACTCGAATGAGTAAACTGATAAGGTTACCGTACATACCTCCCACTGTGTATGTCGTTTTATCAACTTAGTTTAATTTTTAACGGAAAAGTAAAGATCTATGACGATTTTATTTTTTTTATTATCGCCTGCTTCCTTACCAGTTTGCGTTGCCAGTTTTTTTTTGCCAAGTCGGGATTTAGGAACTTATTGACGGAAAAAAACGGGATTCTTTCATCGAAAGCGGGACATAGTGAAAAAAAGTATATACGAGATAATTGAAACAGTCAGTGAAAATAATATTTAAACTACATCTCTAATTCAACCAAATTTTAAGAAGCATATTGTTTGTTGTACAGTTGTACGTTGTAATCTAAAGTTTTTGAATATTTATGTTTTTATTTGAGTTGAAATTACGTTTACGTGACAATAGATAGGGTACCTAGTAAAAATATCCATAGAAAATGTATTTTAATAAAAATATGATATTTTAAATCAGACCCTATCGTTAAATAGTTGATGAGTCTTTGTTTGAGAGTTCTTTATTCACACTTGTCTGTTCCATCCGCCCGCGCTTTCTTAGTACGCTGCAAGCACGAACGAGTTATTCCCGAAAAGCGGGATAGAGCCTGTCCCGCGCGGGACACTAAATTTTGATTTAAAAATCAGGACGTCTGGCAACGCTGCTTACGACCTTTATTCCTTTGCAAAACACTACTTTACCTACTCGATATACGATTCATTCACTACTGTTTCTCGGGATATCGAAATTTTCGTGTTTTTGAGTTTATATATTTGAAACCTAAATTCTTATTTTATCCCTATATTTTGATATAATACAGTTGTCAGTAACAAAACTATTAAATATCAACCTGTGATTTTTCTTTGATTCGTCAATCAGGTACCATACGGAGTCACTATTCCTATCCAAATCAAAGCACTCTGCGCAGTGCCTTATTTGACATCTAACGTATCATCCATAAATTTTGGTTCAGTGAGGTGTGGTGATAAAATAGTATGTTCCATACCACTTAAAAATGTGTAAGTATTAACCTAATTGTAGGTAAATCTTTTATTTTATGTTCGTAATCTCTTGTGCGAGGCAATGATATTGATAAAATGTTACTTAACGCCTTATCTATTCTGTTCTTTCAAAATATCTTTAGGTGCTTTTTTATAATAATTACTTTTGAATTACAATTTTGTTACACTTCACTGTCCTCTTCCATTTTATATGCCACAAACCGAATAACTATTAATAAATATCATAACACAGAGGTAAACCAACATGTATATGGTATGTTACGCTTCGTTTGAAAATTGCTGGTGCGAATCCAATGATGGTTTTGGAAAGCTCAGGGAAATATGAACCGGATGAAGGCGGCTGGCTTAGTGTAGCTTTTAAGCCAACTATGGAAGTAAGTTAATATAGTCTTGGTATTGTGATAAACTCAAATATTTTACAGATTTTAATGAAAATAATAAAATATATTTATTGGAGCTTAGTAGGTTACATTTATTATTTATGTTCATTAATAGCTATATAAGTTTCCAGAACCGTGTTATAGCTATTAGCGCCCACCCCCAGATACATGTACGTGTGTTCCATAATACAAACAAATAAATAAAAATTACAATTCTTATTTTAGTCACTACTTACTCACAAAATAAAAAGTATGTGTATGTATGTTTACATTTGAGTGTGTGCGTGTGAATATTAAATAAAATACAATTTAATTTATTTTGTAAACAGATGATCTATGATGGCTTGCTAATATTTAGATTTCACATGAATCCGAACAGAATGACAATACCAGTAACTGGACAGGGTATATTGCCACAAGTGCATATTATTGGTCCCAATGTTAACTTCCCACCAACACTTCCGTGGGCTGATACTACTGACATGTACTTTGGATTTACTAATCCCTGCCCTTTTCCGATAGAGCTCATAATAGCACATCATGATTCGTAAGTAATAAGTATATCTACTTATAAAAAACATATTCAGTCTAATCGGCATTATGTGTGCGTGTAGTGGCGATAAAGCTATCGCTATGAGTAATTAATATCTGTATAAAATACGTGCCTGGTTTTTACGCATCTTTCCTCTACGACCAACTGAACCATTCAACACGTTGCGCCGAATGATACTCCACTATAATATTTGTCCCAATGTATACGTAACAGAGACTTATAAATACCAATCATACGCTGTTTTTATAAAAAAAAATACATATTGTGCGTAAAAATTTAAGTATTACTTTCATAATTATTGCATCCACAATGAGGGGTAGATAAAGGCTCATTTATATGTATTTTTTTTGCAGGAATTGGAAAGAAGAAGAAGAAATATATCAATTATTGTACAGATATTATAACAAACCCGAGGAAATGTTAATACCAGCCGTGAAGCCGGGTGACGATTTGCCATCTGAAATATTAAACTTTTATAAAAATTTCAAAGAACACGTAAAAAAGTTAGTTGTTGTGCCGTCGTGATGATTTCTTATTAAGAATATTTTTTCCTACCGCTGAAGGGTTCGCATTGCGAAATCAACCTTTAAATAATTTTGTTTTAACTCAATAATCAATCACAAAAAACAAGCATTTGTTACCATCAGAGAGTTGAACAATTTAAGTATCAACATTATTTGTTCTTAGAAAATGGATTTTTCAGCAAAAGGCAGGAATGCTGCCGTTGCACTAATCGGTCGTCTATGACTCTATGTCAATATTAAGAAGTTATATTAAACTCTGTTCAATAAAATTATGAAAATTTTAGTCCTAGCTCTTTTATTTGATTGTATAACTTCTTTTAGGAATATGGAGGATCAAGCCGCCACACTCAAGGTAGCAAATGCCAAACTGTCACCTACTACTGCGAAGTAATAATCACTATATTTGAATGTGTACATGTGTAAGACACTTTAAGAAGTGAGTAATTTTATCATATTCGATTCCAGAAAAGCCACCAAAGCTTCAGCAAAAGCAACTGCAAAGTCTGCTGTGGTAAAAGAATCTTCACCCAGAAAGTTCAGGACTGAAGCCGAGATTATAGCAGGTATCGATTCTTAACTGACTTTCCAGATTTAATGGATATATGTCCTACGATTTCTTCCCTATGAGTGGGCATATCTACTATAAAAGGTCCAAGGTCTAGTTTAAAAAGTATCCATAATTATACTGAACAAAAAAAGAGTGGGAAACAAACATTTAAAATATTTATACATCGGTAACTGATTTTAGATGAAATAAAAAGGTTGAAAGAGGAAGGCGTTGATCCAATGAAGGAGTGTTTACATTTATTTGATCAATTATCAACTGTGAGTGACACAGATAAAAATTCTAAAGGAATTATTATTTTTATGCATGGCTCTCCTTGCGAAGGTAATAAGTGAAATATGATTAACGTTTAATACATTCGGTTCACATAAAAGAAAAAAAAATCAAGTTGTATAATATATTTATAGAAATACATTGCCAAGAAATGGCTTACTCAGTCGGTAAGAAACTAAATATACCTACAATCAACGTCGATCTCTGTATAGTAGAAGCTCTATGTGTGAGTGGCTGTCCTGCTAAACTCATATTAATGTCGGCTATTGACGAAATGTATCATATGTCTCGAAAAGCAGGAGCAAGAGGAGATTCAGACATAAAGGAAGAGGAACCGGAAGGTCCATATTTTTATTCTTGTTGTAACAGTATAAATCGTACAAATAATAATAATCTGTTTTCTTTTTTGTTAATGGTCATAGAACTGTTTGCTGAAACGGAAGACGAATTTGAAATAATTTGGAAAAAAATTGAGTTCTTAGCGAACAACAAAAATGTAGCAACGCCACGATCGAAAGCTGGTGACAGAAAGAAAAAGAAATCGTCCAATTCATCGCTTACCTCACATACAGCGTTAGGGGCACTCGGGTCGACTACTATGTTTCACATGGTAGCTAATAAAGGACTCAGTATTATTCCATTTAAGATCATAAATTTATACTAAATAACAAAACTTTCTTTATTTCAGGACTTAGTAACAGAATTACTAACTGATTTTTTTAGTCTACCTAAATTTAATCGTGGATTTGTGGTAGATTCTCTAACAAGTATAATGCTAAAGAATGCATCTCTAACACTCACTACTGTCCTTAAATGTAAGCACAATATAAGGAACATACATCTCGTACTATGTCACTCAGATTTTTATAAATGGGCTCAAACTTATGAAGATCTTCAGCGTGACAATGATTTGATTGACGAGTAAGTATATTTCAACGAAGCCCAATGAGTCTTTTACTTTTTGTACAAATATAATCATATTTTAGGTGACAAAATAACGTACAATAACTGTGCGGGATAATTTAGTTAGGGATATCATATAACATACAATACACGATTAAAATAATTAAAAAAGACCATTAAGTTTCACATTTACCTCAAAATCATAAAACTAACGCTGTTACGATTTTCATTGGCGATATGTTCACGCACAGCCCAATCTCCCTAAAGTAACCATAGGGAAGTAATGTGCCCCAGCAGCGAGGACATTAATAGACCGGTAATGGTGATGATTAATTTGTTCTAGGAACGTTTCTAAAGTTTATGATGAAACAGAAATACAAAATATCATCAAATCTTTTCAAGACATGAATGAAGAGGAGTATGAAAACTCACCGGCGGAATTAAAATCTATATATGTAACTCTCGGCTTGGAGTCGAGAAGAAAAAAGCTCTGGGAAAAGAAAGGGTAAGGGTAAGCCATTTGTATTAATATTACATTGATATTTAAATATTACAAGAATATTTTCTTTTAAGGTACATTGCTGACTTACAAAAGAAAGAAAAAACTTCTGGAAAAGGTTAGTATATCTTGTTATAAATTTAAAAATAAAGGGTTCTCTTAATTATTACAAATACTGTTTTTTTTTAGAACGCAGTAGATCAATGCTGACTATTGGTGCTTCTGATTCAAAGAAAAAATTGAAAAAAGATGATAATAAAGGTAGATTTCGAAGCTTTTTAAATCCAAGTAAATAATTCATAATTTAAGAAACTTTAATAAAATAGTTATTTTTTCAGGGAAGCCTTCAAATGAGTATGTAATTATGAATGCAAAATATAACGATTACATAAAGAATACCTATGAAAACCTTATCAATATTGCCAATAATTGGATCATAGAAGAGTGTGATGTAGGAAATCCACTTTTGGGTTTCAACGGTCAAATTTTAGGCACAGCTCAAAAAAAAGCTAAAAAGAAATCAGAGCTTCAGTTACATCAGGTTAGAGGCTTCTTATGAGGGATTTAGAATTATAGTAAAGTTGCATTTATTTATTCCTTGGTATTCGGAATCCGGTAATAAATTCAAGTAATTAAGTAATTATAGATAACCCCTAACGCTTTATTAGACATAAGTTTTAACTAGGAATTCAGTTACCAGTCCCGTGTTTGCTAACAACAACTTTTAATGTAATTATTTGTGAATAGATATCGGAAGTGAGCTTTACAGAAAGAGGATTTCCTTTGACATTGATAATGTGTCCATGTTTACAATATAAAACCGCTTTGGTGAACATGCTATTCAGCACGCCAGTAGTTTACGAAGCTTTAAGACGAGCACCGGAAGACGATATTTTAAAACATTCAGTGGACAGGAAAGAGTTTACAGTACTACTTCCAAAAGTTTATCCTTCGATACATTATGAGGAACCTTTGAAGTGGCGTTACTTGGACGAGTTACCGGTTAGTGTCATTTTACAAGAAAACCCAAATAAGAAATGCGAAAGTATGAATGTTTTTAAGCTTGTATACCTTTTATCGCAATTTTTTAGAGCAGCGCGGCGACCGAATCAAAAAAAATCGAATCGTAAATATGCTGACAAGAGTGCATATGATACCAATTTTTTATAACTAAATTTTTGTTCAATAGCCGAAATTGTAAAGATTTGTTGGCTTACATATTAAAAAAATAATAAATTATATATAATATCAAGGCAACCCACTCCAGCTTTGCATGGGTGAACTTTATTTTAACATGATAAAATATACATAAGCGATGTCATTTAAGAATATTGTATTATTTTCTATGGTAAAAAAAAATCCTCAGATTCGGTTCATTAGTTTCAGATAATACTAACAAACTTCACCCTCTATTATATTAATATACGTTTCCACGATCGCTTTGCGGAAGTTAGAAAGCTTTCTTAAAGGGTGGTTACTGGATGGGTGACCGACCATAATCTCTCGAATGATCCTTTTTTTATCTGTCCTTAGGGAATCATTAATAAACAGATGAAGAATATTAACTAAGAGTAATTAATTAATGGTTACTAAAAGTTACTGAAATCGAAACTATTTGATAATGCGTTGATGTCTTTTATACGTCAACTTTTTTCTCTTGTTTAAGTCCTTGCTTAGTTATCTTAAAGATAACGTTTAACGTTAATTATTGTAAACATTATTTCAGATTAAAAAATGTGAATGTAATCCACTCACCAATCTTAACTTACTAGACGACTCTACGCAAGATAATGTGTTGCATATTTTATCTAAATGGCACTGCACGTGTGGGAAAAAGGTAAACACTCATACAATAATAGTTAAATATGTTAAGTACGGTAAGTTGGTTATTACAACCGAGTAGACGAATGTAATGGCGAAGTCGAGGGCTGACCATAGTCACAAGTTTGTAAATTCCAATCCGCTCGAATATCATACAACGTTTTTCAACACACTTGCGAGAACAACAGTACCTATATCTACTATTATCACCCATCACTCCCAACTATCACCGAGCAATCCCCTTCACCCTCCAATCCCCCTTTTCACCCTCGAATTCTCATTACACTCCAATCCCTTTTTCACCCTCCGACCCCCTATTATCACCCACCAATCCCTTATGATCACCCCCTTATCACTCTGGAATCCCTTTCACCCTCCTACCCACTTTTCACCCTCGAACCCGTTTTAATAATAATAAAATTAATTCAGTATTAATTTTTACATATAAGTGACTTAGATCTAAGGAAAAACATAAATGGTAAAGAAAAATACATAGCCTGAACTAGGAATATCCTGTGTTTCAGGCATTTTCACCCTCTCATCCATTTTCACCTACCAAGCTTCACTATCACCCATCAATCCCCTATTATCACTCATCAATCCCCACTATCACCCTCGAATCCCTTATTATCACCCATCAATCCTCTTATCACCCTTGAATCCCATTTCATCATTCAATCCCCTTTACACCTACCAATCACCTGCTCATTTATTTATTTTAACATCTTTCTGATGTAGGTACTCCTCCTCTCTCACTCTAACCCGCAGCGCCGATTACATTAGTGTTATTCGACCGAAATTCAACAAAAACCGTAAAGAATACGCGCGGTGCCATGTATGAATATTTATCGCACGGTTTATTTTTATATATGTACTAGCTGACCCAGCGAACTTCGTACCGTCCTAAAAAAATAGGGGTTGTCCAGCGGACAAAATTGTGAATCTAAACCATTCTCAGATCCCCTTGAACACACACAAAAAATTTCATCAAAATCGGTCCAGTCGTTTAAGAGAAGTTCAGTGACATACACACTCACAGAAGAATTATATATATAAAGATGGCCGGTAATTTTGAATTATCGAACAAATACAACCTCCGTAAATGCATTTTTTGCAAATGTGTTGAAATTTGATTTACTTTCTCTAGGGCATTAGCTTGAGTCTTGATGAGCGAGACTAAAGTGTAAGTATAGAAGCGCTAATGTTTAACTTCTCTTTAATTTTCTTTGCGACACCACCAAAATTATTATGGTTACGTGCGTTTTTCTATATAACTATGAACTTTAAAAAAGCAAATCTTATCTTAATACCTACAAAATTTCATTCAAATAGAACCGCTTGCAAAATACTCAGAATTGATATTCTGATTTTACATCTCTAGGTAACTTCTTCACAAACATCTACAAGTGAGATACCATCGGCTTCTATGGAGAAGTACATACACGAAGAAGAATTTGAGCCGGAGTTCTATCCACCACCATTGCCGCTGAGAAGTGTTAATACAGTTACTGGTATGCTAAACTTATGTATCAGGAGATGTAGGAAATAACAGATTTTCAGTTTGAATTGGAACGCCTGTCTGGGGCAGTAACCTTCATCTTACAAAATATCACAGTAAAATCATACTACCTTTTGATGGTGTTGTGTTTCTGTCGGTGAGTAATGTTTCAGGGATCAACGGGGTCAGGGATAGTTTTTTTAATATTGGGTTTTTTCAGGTCACTCAAACCGGCTAGTTTTGCAACCGGGTGACCTTGTGAGGTGTAAGTACTCCTTCAATCCTCAAACCGAGGGCACTTTCAGCCTCAAGCGATACGTTGAGGTCAGTGGTTGGCCAGAATCACGACTTTGCATTAACATCAACGGGATTTGTGATGTGCCAAGGTGAATATCTTTTGTTTTTCACAAAGCAATTTAATCATCGTAACATTCTTTTTACAGTAAAGAAAACACCTTCTAAACTTTATTTCAGACTTGATAGCCGACCTAAAAAGATGTTTGAAAACTTTGTGAGAAGAACGTTAGAGGATAATGTTTATAAAGTAACATATTTAGATGATCAGAAAGTGTTTGAATTTGGACCGATATTTATTGGAAACAACAGGTATGCATTCATGTTATTACTATCAGATCTTGATTCATCTTTTACATATAATAATAACATATAGTAACATTAATCTTCTATCATGAAAGGGTATATGAAGAGCAATATATAATCGATTTGCGAAATGCATCACTAATAACAGCTGATGTTGAAATTGAATTTCTAGAAGAAACTACAGTGTTCGAGATCGATAAAACCTATATAAAACTTGAAGTAAGTCTTTGCTTATGTATTTGCTCACATTTACATTCATATTCACAGAAATTCATTGTATTATGGTTCGAGAGCAGGATTTTGCTTTAGTTCTTTGACGTCCAAACTTGGCACAAGTTTTTAATGGCAATACTGCTCTTGGTCTATGAAATTAAATATGTTGTTAAAGGCTTTTATGATGTACGCCCGTTTAACTTTTTTATTATACCTATTTTATAGCCTGGAAGTAGAGGAAAGGTAACAATATCCGCAGCCCCGGCCACAGTGGGTGTACACAACGTGACCTTGCTATTCTGCGTTAAAGACAACCCGGAGATAGTTTCAGTCAACATCGCCTGTAGTGGAGTTCTGCCGGTTCTGGAGATTCTTCCACTCACTAAGTCTATAGGTACACAGTTATGTTAAAAAATTAGTTGAAAACTATTACGTTTGAATAATATTGAGCAAGGGACATAATTTGTTTTGTATTATCTATTATAAAATTCACCAGGTATTAACGTAAGTAATAATCTTGTTCAAAACCATATATATCATGGCCGATTATTCCCGGATAAATTTTGTCATTATTACAACTTATTCGACAAATACATTTTTACCCAATCAAAAAGAAATGTCATTCATTGGTTACATCGCAAGTAACACGCACGATACCAAACCAATTTTATCTGGTGGTTAAAAAGTCAGCCCTATAACTAGATCAGAGTTTGAGAACATGAAAATAAAACAATAACTAAAATAAGACGCTAGTTGTCGATTTTAAATCACAAATTAATAAATCTCGCCTATTTTTTTTTAGAATATGGTAAGCTGTTGCTGTATAGAAGAGAAGATGACAGATTTATTGTGAAGAATGATTCAATATTACCAGTGCTATGGAAAATACGAAATTCAGCAGATTTCGTAGAAGACTTCATTATAGCTCAAACATCAGGCATTGTACTGCGACACGATAATCAAGTTGTTCCTGTTACTTATATCGCTTGTACAGTTGGAGTAATCTCGAATAAACCTCTTATCATAGATGTAAGCTTATATTTTTTTCTCAATAATAACATAATATCTTATAAACACTTTCACGCCATTTAATAAAGACAATATCATATCACAAAACACATTTACTTGAATACAATATTTGCAGATTTACGATTCAGAAGGTAGAGGAGAACCGATGGTAATAGACACATTATACTTATCTGCAGAATGTTACGATGTTATGGTCGAATGTGCTTACGAAAACCCAAATGAGAGTTTATTAAATTATGGCAATGTTAAAGTTAATTCCACTGTTATAAGAGAAATGTATTTATTGAATAGGGGTAAATACAATATATACTACAAGTAAGTCTTCGGAGTTTTATCCCTTTCACTGTGTGTAGACTTTGTTAAATTAACTCGTGTCACTTAACCTGTCAATTAATCCTTCAAAGTTTTTACGCTTTTCTGAAACAGATTAAAAAAGGTGAAAAACTTCCCGGAGCCAACTCTCCTGCGTTCGTTTGAAGCGAGCCCAGAATGTGGCATGCTTCCGTCTTCCTTAAAACTTGCTACTATAGAGTTTGAGTGTACTCCGACTTCATCGATGAATCTCGTCAATGTACCGGCATATATCTGCTCTTTACTAGATGGAAGCAAAGACCAAGTGGTTGTGGCTAAGTTTCCTGTTTATGTTACAATCGCCAGTTTCTATAATACGTACGTAATTTTACTTCAATACTGTATGTATTGCTTAGCTATTTTCCTTTTGATCTTTCTATGTTAAACGTTGTCCTATCCCCGTCTCTACGTTGTAATATTAATGATTAAATTGTAATTTTTTCATGAATCGGTCTTTCATTCGTTTAAGATTAAGAATTAACAATTACTTAAGTTAATGATCTAAAAATTTAGTTAATTATACTTTTCATCAGGTTTACCCTTTTTCCCCTGGGCGAGCTAAATTTTCATGTCATAGCAGTTGGAAGTGGAGTTATGCGAGAAGTTATACTAAACAATACGAGCAAGTGTCCTGTCACCTACGAAATTGTTTTGCCACAGCAATACCAACCGGACCCACACGCTCCAATTCAAGCAAAAGTTAAAGACAATAAGTATGTTCATTAAAATTACAAATAATGTCAATCCTAGTAGTGCAATATTTAAATAACCGCAATATTTTTCATTTAGAATAAAACATCCTCCGTTACGATGTGGTAACTTTTTGATAAACAATGATGACAACCTACTTGCTCCCGGCACTAGTAGAACAATTAACATCCAGTTCATGGCTACTGCTGCCAGAAAATTCGAAGAGACTATAAAGTTTATAATAAGCGACACATGTCCTGCCGAAGCTCAAGGTGTCCCGCTCAGGCTCGTTGGAACTGGGGCGATGCCTACTTTAGACTTTTGGAATTTAGAAACAACATTTAGAGAGCATCTTATTGTGAAAAGTTTATCAGAATACAAAGTACCTGAGGTAAATAATTTCGTCATCATTAAGTATTTTTGGACAGAGAAGTAAGTGTTAACATATTATCTATCGCACAGTGCTTAAGTTGAATCAGGTTACTAAAATCAGACACCATATTACAGGTACATATGTATTTATTTATGTATAATGTGCATGTATGGAATGCTATTTAAAGGACAATGGCGAAATATTTGTTGAAGTAAATCTATAGCGTCTATAGATGTCATTATCAGAAATGTTAATAAAATAATCTCAAAAGATTTATTAAACAATTGAGGAGGGTTGTCTTAGTCTGGAATTAAAAACTTAAAAAAAGGGAAACACAATTGACTATTTATTTTTTATTTTTATTGTGGCTTGGCCATGATGGCTTTTGAGCCATTCATTTTAAGTGATTTTAGTGATGAAATCAACTTTAAATATGTTGTTCGTATGTTTTGCATCGCTTTACGCTTGAACTGTATTTAATTATATAACAAAAATATCGGGAAACATTATTTTTCAATATTATACTGAAACCATATTAAATAATCTCCACAATACAAAAAGAGTATGGCGACAATTCTAACGAAAAAAAACTATTATTGTCACTGTCATGCTTGTCATCGAATTGTTGTTGTTATTGTTATCATAAAAAGAAGATAAATTTAATTAAAGACTAGGCTGTATGGGCATTGTTCCCTTTGCCTTCCCTAAAACGGGAGAACTTTAACAAAAAAAAAAAGTTATTGTTATCATTATATAACATTGTTTGTGCTTAGGTGCATGCATATTGCAAAGATTTCAATCGGCGTTTTTCTGAGATTTGTTTTTTTATGTGACTTGGACTGTATTTGGACTTTCGAAATCTTTCTCTGCGACTGTGGAGTAGTGCTTGCCTAAGACTTCCGAATCTGATATTTTGCTGTGGATTTTGGACACGATTCTGTCCTATACTGTGGATGTTATTTCATTGTATCTACTATCTACGATATTGTGATCAACGATGTGGAATAAAAAATATATAAAAAGTGTTGCATATTTAATTAATATCCCATTAGTACATTATTAGAAATCTTTTTTTATACTTTATTATTGCAGTGGGCATTTTCAAATTGTTAAGTACTTCTTACAGCACAGACATTGTATTTGAACTCAATAACTCTTGTCTGATAATAAGTATTTTGACGCGGTTGGTCAGTACCTACGCCAAAGAAAGAAAGCCAACTGATCATACATTGTAAAAATCATTTTTTTTCGTCACTAATCTTCAGGACCGTTGTACTTCTATAGTTCCGTTCCACGTATTTTTTATTTTGATATAAAAATACTCTTGAAACAAACTTTTATAATTCGTTTTTGCATTACTTGGTAGGACATAACCTCCAAAACTTCAAAGTAGAATATCTATAAAACCGGACTTCCTATAATATAAGAAATAAGATGAATCAAATCAAGAATGTAAACTCTATAATTTAACATGCAATTCATTTATAGACGCAAGAAAAATTTCAACAAAAAATTGTATGGGAGTTCGCCATTGTCCTTTGTATTTCTCATTGTTTGATATTTGCTCTTTTCTTTGATTGTCTGCCGCTTTATGGAGTCTCACGTTCTTTCCGGTTGAATGGTAGAGAATGCCATACTAGCATTAAGTTCGCCATATGCACTGTTAAGGCATTAAAGACTAAATAAATAAATAATTTAAATTTAAATAAAGTTGTACCTTGCATAAACATACGCGCACGCATACTCTTTCAATTTATCGACTAATCGACTGCTAAAGTATGTAATAAGTAAATATTAGTTTTTGAATTATAGAGCTAAAATGTTTAAATTTTAATCATTATATTATGTAAGATGAACATAAAAAGTTGTTACAGAAATAAATATTTTTTTATTATTTTCAGGCTTCCCCTCATTGCGTTTTTGTGGAGGACTCTGTTACGCTACATTTCTTTTGTGTGACTGTTAATACTAGTCTCACAGGCGTCATAGATTTATATAATAACGGTTTAGTCGCTTGTGCACTTAAAATGAAATTGCATTATCAGTCTAACTCCAATCAAGACATATTTTCATTGGACAAGTACGAAACACATATAGAGCCTTTGTTACATAAATCACTAGGAATCATATTTACTCCAAAAGCTCTACAGGTATAATGAAATAAAAATCTATTCCTATAAAAACTTTATATAATATTAATTGTAATGATAATTTTAGGAATACAGGGCAGTTCTGGAGATAAAATTAAAGCTACTTGATAATCAAGAACAATCGTTTAAAATATGTTTGATCGGAGAAGGCGAAATACCGAGAATACAAGTGATATCACCAGCACTTAAACATCACAGAATGGCTGTATTGCGTTTCCCAGTTACTTGCTTGGGTACTGTCAATCACAAAACTATTAGAATAAAAAATATATGTTCTGTCAAAAGTAGAGTCGCTGCTGAAATATCGATACCGATGTATGAAGAAAGACCTGTGTTTTGGCTGACGACAAATCTTGATGACATTATTTTGCAAGGCAACAATGGTAAATGATTTATTTTCTAAAGGCCTAAGTACTCAATTAATATAAAAATTATTTTATATCCAAATTTTAACTACATTTCAGATAAAATTAATTTGAAAATGAAACTTATAATAATACCGAACGAAACTATAACGCTAATCGTAAATTATAATCCTATTCGGAAAGGCAGAGCAAGTTGCGACGTGATGATCACGATCGTAGACAACCCTTACGAATACTATACGGTGATGAATCAAATCATTTTATATTATACCAAGAATTAATGTATTACCTTCAAATAATGAAAGTTACCTTTTTCTAATTGTTTTTAGATATTTTGTGAGGCCGAAGCTTTTATGGAAGATGTTATTTTACTTGGCCTTGAAATGCTTTCTATGGAAACGGATTTAGAAGCGTATAGGACTTCTAATGAAGGGTAACGTAGTTAAAACATAACGTTTCTTTAATTCTCATAAAAATTGCATGAAATTATGACATCACGTGTTTTTCATACGCAGAACATTGTCAACTGTATCTACAGTGGATACCAGAAAGAAAAGCAAAAGTGCCACATTGGATAAAGTTGAAAGGAAAAGGTCAATAAGACCAACAGATCTCAAAAAGTATAAAATTGGTTCAGTTAAGCACAGCGAATCGGGCAGCGTCGAAATGTCTCTTTTAAAATATGTACTGGACTTAGGTAGGAACATCATTATTTAAACCATCATAATAAAAACTAAAATTAATTATATCAACAGGTACAACAAGAAATAGGTAAGCATAAGCTATTAGGTAATTTTATTTTTCAATAAATAATAAATAAATAAATATTTCCAACACTCACACCAATTAGCCTAGCCCCAAAGTAAGCACTGTAAGGCTTGTGTTATGGGATGCTAGGGTAACGGATAGAATACATATACGGTACATATATAAGTATATTTATATAGAAATACATATTTAACATCCATGACTGGAGTACAAATGCTCATATTCATCACACAAACATCTGCCCCCACCGGGATTCGAACCCGGGACCTCCCGAGTCGGCGACACCATGAAACCCGGCGTACAAACCACTCGACCACGGAGGTCGTCAATAAACGACAAATATACAGGGCGTCCCACGGCTACCTCACACGGAGGGAAAGTATATTAAATATTGAAGATAGGATATTTTACTGAAAGAAGACATCGTTTTATTTTTAATAATAACTAGAACTGCATTCACAGAAATTTTAAAAATCGCCTGTTACAACTGGGAATCAAACTCATGAAATTTCGAAAAAAAAACATGACATATTTTATGATAACCATCGAAAGGGTTAATCATAAGGATTATGTTTTGCTAAATAACATAGCATTTTAAATGAAAGGAATGTCTTGTTACGTGATAAAAATAATAAAGTGATATACAAATTGTAGTAAGATGCATTTTTTTTTAATTCAGTTACAATGCAATTGGCTGAAATTTATAATAATAATTCGAAAATGGACCATATAAATTTTCAAGCCTGTGTTTTGGTTTTTCGTGAGTTTCATTTTCGTTTATTTGCAATTTTTTGTAAATTTACTTACCATGGCGCATCAAAATAAAATAGATTTAATGTAAGCTTACTTTATGAACCACAAAGACATCTCATTAGCTTAGCGGTGGTACCGCAAAAGATATCCTGATAGGGACAAACCTTCTCGATATATGTTTAAATAATGAAAGAAATATAGAGAAAGATTTTTAATAAGCCATGGTAAGTAAATTAACAAAAAATTGCAAATAAATGAAAATGAAACTCACAATAAACAAAAGAACAGACACTTGAAAATTTATGTGTTCCATTTTTGAATTATTATTATTACAAATTTCTGCCAGTCGCATTGTAACTGTGAGTTCAAAAAGAAATGCATACGTACTACAGTTTGTATATCACTTTATTATTTTTATCACGTAATTCACATTCCTTTCATTTAAAATGCTATGTTATTTAGCAAAAAACAATCCTTATCATTAACTCTTTCGATGGTTATCATAAAATATGCCGTGTTATTCACGAGTTTGATTCCCAGTTGTAGCCGGGGTTTTTTAAGAAATCTGTGAATGCAGTTCTAGTTATTATTAAAAATAAAATGATGTCTTCTTTCAGTAAAATGTCCTATCTTCAATATTTAATATACTTTCCCTCCGTGTGAAGTAGCCGTGGGACGTCCTGTTAATATGTAATTAAAAACAAATAACAGGCGGCTGTGAATTATCGTCTATTCAGAGAAGGACTATTATTATGGTTAATAATTCTGAAAAAGTATATAAATTTGAATGGGCAGAAGTGGATAAATTAGTTGTCAAGCCCTCAATGGGATACATTTCACCTGCAGAAGAAAAAGATTTGGAAATTGTTTTCTTTTCTACAGAACCTGTATTTTTGAAGAAAGTGAGTTACTCTGTAATTTGTAAAACTATTATTCATCATTCAGTACAAATTAAATTTCTAGGTTTAATAGGTGACATAACTGAATTCTAACGCCAAATTTAACTGCGTGGAAGGCGACCTTTAATCGCTGCAACAACCATTTTCTCCAGTGTTTGGAAATTGCAGCAGTGGTTTTTCTTACACAGAAATTGATGATCTTTCAGATGAGCTTTGGTTTTTTTAGGAGGTCGATCATACTAGATACCTCTATTTTAGGGCCGTTCTCATGCTCCTGCCACTGATAAGGCCAGTCATGAGGGCTTGCAGTACTGCATTGTCGTGTAGTCCTACCCTTCCTCTATAACGAGCAAACGAAACCTGGGAGTCTTATCATACTAGAAACCGTATTTTTATTGATTTTCCAATTTTATATTTTAATGGCGCCGCCAGGTTTTTTGCATTGCAATATCTTCTTTTCGAGGTTCGTCAATTAATGACGCTCCTAACTATATATATCTCATCTGGGAGTCATACCTACTAGGTTTGTGTGGTAGGCTCCTGGACTAATGAGTTTGAGTTTGTTTTCTTGCTCATGAGTTTTAATAAATATTTCTTCATTCTAGAAACTCCTGAATTGTACATTGACGGCAATAAGTGACGATTCGTTAACTATAGATTTAAAAGGTGCTACATGGGATAACAGGCAAATAATCACAATCTTTGGACACAATAAGTAAGTACTGCATTTCACCCAACGGCGGAAATAACTGTAAAGCATAACAGTCTTAGCTTGCCAGGGTTGGGTTTAGAGGTGTGTAGGCCCTGAAGTAACAAAGGACCTCTAGATATTTTGAAATCTGGCAAACCGGGCCACTTATGATTAGCAAAAAAAAACTTTGTTTAGGTTACCTTATTCATTTATGAACTGTTAGTTTTACCACAATAGGGCATTTGGCAGTATTATAAATAAAGTGACAATTGTTGGCATTTGTATTTAGAATGAATAATGGCAGCAATTTTTACAGAAAAAAATATTGATGCTAAAAAAATCACGAAAACGGTTTTTTTTATCTATTGTCAAACGACCGATAACGTCTGGTATTGGCGGAGCCTAAACTCAAGTCATACATAGGTATACTTCCGGTCAAAGGAAATTTATTGTACCGTTTGACTTTTAAATGGCAGCTGTGTGACGTCACACACAGGCGAACACGCCACATTACCCAGAGAAACGTTTCAGCAGCATCTCTCGTTTTTCTGAAAACACAACAACAGGATGATATATATACCTATGTACCACTTTTTAGGAAGCCCATAAACACGAATAAATAACGTAAGGTCGTTTTCAAAATGTTGTGAAATACCCTATTTTACTTATAAAACACAATAATTTTAGGTTTTCGAAACTGAATTTCGGGTGAAACTCGGTAAAAACTGATTTTCACACTATCAATAATTTTTGTACGTTTTCAGGGAAGTTCTAATTAATGAAAGGTACGAGACCATTATTGATGAACAACCGATTCCATGTTCACAAGATCATTTGGGAATCATCTATATGGTTATTGTTTATTCTGCTATGACAGAATATACTAAATATACATGCACATTACCAGACGAAAAATTTTTGTTGGATACTTTCATTTATCAAGTAATCTCCACTGTTTAATGCGAGTATAAATTATTACATATTAAAATTATCCAGATAAAAATTAAATTCTAATTTTAATCCACCAGACCCGAAAATTCGAATTTAAGCTACAAAATGTTGGCTCTGTACCCCTAAAAGTTACATGGAGTTTTGCTATCGACGATGAATATCCGGCAAGGCTAGACAAATACTGTAAAAAGGTATAATTTTAATAAAATTATATATTTATGCTCTATATTTTTACAAGCTAATGAGTTTGAATTCGAATAAAATAAATAATGATAATTCTAATCCAAACCCTTTTGGGAATAAGTGAATAAATAACAGATGTAAAGCATTATTTAACAAAATAGTAATAAAAAAATTAAATAATATAAGAGTACAATTATTGAAATAGAATCAGCACGCTGTGGAATCGGGTGTTGACTCTTTAGAGGCCCAAAATACAAATAATTCAATTAAAGAAGGATCGTGGGTTGACATGCCAGTAACAGACGAAAGAGAAGAAGATGGTAGATAAACTTTTTTATAAAATATTTTTATTTAGATACTTATTTCCTCAATAAAACTCAATTTGTCTGAAATATTTTTTTAAACAGTGCCAAGCAAAGTGACTTTATTCAGTGGAAGTTTGGAAAGAAACAGCGTGGACACATGGTTCGAAATGGATTTGCCGTTCGAGATAAAACCTGAGAAAGATTGTTTGAAACCAAATGAAAATCGGGTATTTACAGTAACTTTTTCACCGCTAGAAGCATTTGATTTTAAAGTGAGGCTGAAGAGTGTTATAGGTAAAATCAATTACCGTGCTAATCTTATAATTATTGTTTATGTATTCCTCCAAGAATAATCTTTTATATATAATGTAACACAGTATTACTTTACTGCAAGCAATTTATTTGACTAATCTATATTACATAGATAACTTGGATCCATACGATATGAATGTAAATTGCAAAATAACGGCAAAGTCTCTTATCCCGTACGTTCACCTGGACATAGAAGAAAGCGATTATCTTACATCAGGACGTAGGAAAATTACTGGAGTTGCATTGCCGCCACATATAACTGTGTTAGAATTCGATGTTTTAGGGTCTGGATGCTATAAAAAGTGAGTTAATTTTAATAGTAAAAATAGTAGTTATCTCTAATAATATTACTTCTACTACCACCTATACGCAGATGACCTTCAAATTTATCAACAAGCGCCCATTGGTCAACTTGGTGATGCAGTGCTGGCCACAAACAGTGATTTGTGTAAAATATTGGAGTGGAGTAAATCTTTTGGGCTGGAGGTAAATCCGTCTAAATCTAACAGTATTATTATTGGAAGTTCCAGGATGATCGCAAAAGTTGACTGGCAATCACTCCCCAAAATTCATCTCGCTGACACCATCATTCCGTTCAGCATCTCAGTGAAAAACTTAGGTTTAACCTTTGACAATTGTATGAGTTGGGGTCCCCAGATGCAAGTGCTCAGCCGTAAACTGTTTGCTTCTGCAGCTTCGCTGAAGAGATTACGTAATTTCTTACCTACTACCACCAAAATTTCCCTAGCACAGACTCTCTTGCTTCCCATTCTCGATTATGCTGACGTCTGCTATCTTGATCTCACGGAGGACCAGCTTGATAAACTTGAGCGGCTTCAGAACTTCTGTATTCGATTCATATTTGGTCTGCGCAAATATGATCATGTGTCTCAATTTCGTTTACAGCTCAAGTGGCTACCCATTCGTCTTCGCCGGAATACTCATATCCTTACTCTTTTCTGTATAACATACTTTTCAATCCTTTGTCCCCACGCTATCTTAAAGAATGTTTTAATTTCCTCCACACTTCTAACACATTGTCCCTAAGGTCATCAGAAAATCTCGCTCTCATTACTCCTGTTCATAGTACAACTTTTTATGGCCGTTCTTTCGCAGTACAAGCCGTTCGCCTATGGAATGCTCTTCCAGTTTCCATAAGACGTGCAAAATCTCTCCACATTTTCAAAAACCTTGTTAGATCTTACTATATGTCCTTGTAACCCTTCCATTTTTGTTGATCTTAGCTGACTGAATTAGACATAGGTATGTATGTATTTATGTATATATCTATAACTATGTATGTATATATGTATGTATTCATGTAGGTATATGTATGTATGTATTGTTTTATATACTTATTTTGATCATATTTGTTTGTTTTTTTATGTTGTTTTGTGTAGTCAATTACACCGCCGTCTCTCCAGCTTCTTTCTTGTCCTCTCCATCCTAAGGTTGTCTGGAAGAGATCGCTCTTAGCGATAAGACCGCCCATTATTACACTGTATTCTTTAATTATGTACTTCATGTTTTATGTTTTCTGTGGTGTGAAAATAAAGAGTTTTGTATTGTATTGTAGTTAGGTTGAGAAAATTCATACATTTTTGTCGATACTTTTCAGGACGTTCAGTGTTATAAATCCTACGAGTGAAGCCTACGAATTTATATTCGAGATGGTTTTGTCCGAGAAGCCAGAACTTATACCCGTTCATTGCAATATGTTAAAAGGTTACGTGGAAGGTGGTACATCCACAGACGTGACTTTTACGTTTTCACCGACCGCTCCTGGGGTAATGACTAGAATTTCTGTAAATTAAGCTATTTCTCTCAAGTATTTTAATTATAATCATATTATTTTCTTATTTCATAAGGTTTATGAATCACAATGGAAATTTGTTATACCTGTCTACAACCTCGTTATGAATTTATTGGTGGTGGGTTTAGTACGAGAGCCCGAAGTGTTGTTTGTTCCAACTATCCTCATAATCCGGAATTCTCTGGTGGGATTTACCAGAACACATATAGTAAAATTAAAGAATAATGAGAGTGAAGGTTTAAAATTTGAATTCAAAGGAAATTCATTGTGCAATGAGTCTGGTAAAACGCCAGTTATTGTTGAGCCGGAGTATGGAACATTGAGACCTCTCTCAGAAACGCCAATCAAGTAAGAGATCTCATAATATTAGGTCTTTGCCTATGAAATTGCTGTTTTTACCTGATTGCGCAATGCAAGAGCGCAAAGCGCGACGCGCAGACAGGGTATTATAGTGTTTAAAAGTCTATATATGTATGTATGTTCCTTTGTGGCACACTAGAGACCAAACGCATGGATCGATTTTGATGATTCATACACCAATCGTTTCGTCTTAATGATGAGTGCTACTAAAGATATGATAGTAATCAAAATTCAACATCGCTCGAGGATCTGACAACCGTTGGGTAAGAAAGGTCCTCGAGTGGCGACCACGTACCGGACGACGCAGCGTGGGGCGGCCCCCAACAAGGTGAACTGACGACATCGTCAAATATGCTGGGAGCCGCTGGATGCGGATAGCGCAGGACCGCGCATTGTGGCGTTCTATGGGGGAGGCCTATGTCCAGCAGTGGACGGAGAAAGGCTGATGGATGGATGATGGATGGATAACAATAAGTGTCACGTAAGACGGAAAAAATCTCCCATCTGCCATTTTGGCCTGCACTGCAAAACCATAAAAGTTACATGAATATAATGTATAGTGTAAATGTATCTCTTAAATAGTTCTACAAAAAAGTTCGCGACAGCATATATCTATTTTAATGTGCAAGCCATTATCGCTAGAATAGTGAATCAAAAATTAAATATTTGTTGAGATCTATTTCCAAAATGCACATTTTGTATTAACAAATTATTTTTTATCAAAACAAATAATTTTATTGCATTTGATATTAAAAGACGATAAGCTTTGCCCTTTACACTGTCATTTCGACCAATATTTAAAAAGTTCAACGATGACAAAACGGGAGCGCGGTGTACTATGCAGACTGCGTAGACTGCGAGAATGGTCGGAGAAGAAATTTTGATGAATTTTGATGTTTATAAACGTAGATAAAACCTAGAAGGAAAAGAATACAGTTCCTTCTTATTAAATGATGAAAATGAATTATTATAATAGGTATTTATGATTATTGAAATTTAATGAAAAACTCAGAATTATACTGCTTTTAAAGTTTATTTTAATATTTCATATTTTTAGATAATCAAGAATTTATCAAATTTTTCAATAATGGGTCCCGACCGTTAAAGTAGCTTTGTCCCTTACTTAACAGAATTATAGACTACTGGACTTGTTTTCTTTTCTTTTCAGTTTTTATTTGCAGTAATATAAAGCAGTCGGGTTTGTTGATTTTCTAAATTTACTTTTTTTTATTAAATAAGTTAACGTCCTCTTTCTATATTTTTTATCAATCAAAATAATTACTTTTGGAATCAATCAATGCCTTTAATTCGCCATTGGTGTCAATTCTGGCATGATTCTCTAAATCTAAACTTAAATTTGACAACAGTGCATCCTTGCCATTCTCTACACAGAATGAAAAGGAGAGACTGATGTTAAATTTAGTTTTAAGTTTAGAGAATCACTCTAGAATCGACACCATTGTCGACTAAAGTTTCCGGTCGGCCACGGGGTTCATTTATTAGGTGGAAATTTCCAGAACGGAAGCGGGTAGACCAATAACGGATGGTGCGATTGTTACTGGCGTTCACTTCGTATATGTCGTTGATGTAGCGTGCCGCTTTACTGCCACGACGGTCCATAATCACTCGCAACGTATAAAAAATAATGACGAAAAACCATAAAGCAACGCGCTAGGGAGTAGCCATAGCGATATAATACTATCCAAATCATTCTGTCATTTTTTGCGGGGTTGGGAATATGTACACAATTATAGTATATGAGAAAGAAACAAAAGTGTAGCTACATCACTTACACATAAGCAATGACAAAATACACTGCCAAATCGTGAACACATAAAACGTGAGTATGCCCAATTTAAATGTCTAATGCGACAGAGGGGAAAGCTATGTATGCCTACTCCCCTCCTGGCCGTGTGTTGCTCTATGCGAAAATCGTACCAATGCACTGTAAACAGCAAAAACATACTAACCATTAAACAAAAGACTAATTCCTTGAGACGAACCCTGGATTCATAGCAAATAAAAATTGACTTTAAACAGCCAGTACGGCAGATCAGCAATTTCATAGGTAAATACTATTAACATTATAAAATTTTAGTCTACCTAGTTTAGAAGAATTATACTATTATCAGATAGGTACGAGACCGTTGTGGCGTGTGTGAAGGTGGCCAGTGCAAAACTGATTAAATAATTAAACCTTATGAGAAAGGCGTAGCTTAAAATAAGACGTGACAAGAACTAAGATAAGTATCATATCACCATATCGGGTGTTTTGGTCACGTAAAAAATTTTTTAAAGGAAATAAGGATGAACGGAGAAAAGAATATACGAATCCAAAATCAGTACTTAGTGAGATGCAGAATGGGGGGAACCTAGGTATACTTGCTAGCTAATACTTCGACTTTCAGAATAATCTACACTCCAATTGAAGATGGCCCGTTATCGTTCAAAATATTCTGCAGTATTACATATATGACAAAATACCTAACCCTTTGTGTTAATGTACTAAGCTTCGCAATAAAACCTAAAGTAACGTATGACATAATTGGGAACGAGCATTTGCTTAGCAGTGACGCTGTTACTAATATTCATTTGGATCAGGTAGGTATAACTTTAAATCCATTAATTAATGAGAATTCGTTAAATGAATGAGCTAATGAATAAAACCATGAGCTATAATACAATTTTTTATATTTGGTATTTTGTGAATAATTAATTTAAATATCATGTTTTATGTAAGACTGCTTCAACGTACCAGAGGACTATACCTTTTACCATAAAAAATGACGGATCGGCGACATTCTTCTTTGATTGGCACTACAATATTAATGCTGTGAAGAAGTACCTGCAGGTCTGCGTTGACCCTAAGAGTGGGCACGTTACACCCGGTAAAGAAATCGAGTGCATACTATATTTCACGCTGAAGAAAGTGCCAGTGCAATCCTTTCCGCTCACGCTAACCGTTAGTTTCATTTAGAACAAACAGATGATATGTTTTATTATTTAAAAATATACATAAAAATTTGGTAATGGTCTCTTTGAATAGCGAGTGTGCAGATTTCAGATGGCCCAGAATATAGCATTTACTTACACGCAGAAATCGAAAAACCAGCGTATCATTTCTCTTGCATGGATTATGACTTCCAGAAATGTATCGTTAATGCCCCTGATACTACATACAAAAAGAACCTGGCTTTTGTCAATGACGACAAAGTACCTATTATGTATGTAAACTATATGTATATTAGAGAAATAAATATGATAACAAATCACATAAATAATTGAATATCTTATTTGTAGCCTCAATCTTAATTTTACAAATGTTCCTGAATTATTTGTCGATTATGGTGAAGCAGTTAATATTGAGCCTAAAAAACGGCTGAAAATTCCTATTTTCTTTAGACCGAAACAAGTGAAAAAATATGAATTCAAGTTGCAATTTTGGGTAAATTCATTATGCGAAGAAATTGTCACTATTAAAGGAGAAGGTATTGCAATGCAATTTTTTTAATATTGTAAAGTAAAACATCAATGATTTTATCCGTAAGCAAACATCTAATATTACTAAGCCAAGTCCGTCTGTCATCAGGCTATTTTTAGTGAACCGTGATAGGTAGGCAGCTGAAACTGTTGATAAGTGTGTAATATTATTTAAAACGCTATAACGACATGGTATTTTCTTCAATGGTTATAATTTAGTCTACTGTTTAATTTCGTACAATGTGAGGAATCTTTTGTGTGCAAATGAAAGTCACACTTAGCCGGTTTTATAATTAATAGTAAAACGACCGATATCAATAATTTAGTTTATTTTTTTTCCAACGAACAACAATAAGCATACTTATACTATTGAACACAATACATGTGGCGGACATTATTTAAAGACAATGTGACTTGGGTGGAATTGCCTGCAGCGAGGACTTTAATTAAATATAAAAAAGACGATGTCACACACTAATTCGAATTAAATAATTTCGGTAAAAACTAAATGTCTTGCTTAATAGGCGAAATTCACTTCACGGATATTGTCAATGACTCGCATTTGAATTCCAGGCGTTCCATTGCTCTACGATTTATTTGAAGGATGTCAGAAGAGTTTCGATTTAGGAGCAGTCAAAGTAGGCGAAAAGATAATTCATCAGATAGAAGTGATGAATCATAGCAAAGTTCCAATTGACGCTAGTTTCATATTCAGAGATATGTATCCCGTTGTCGAAGATACAACTAATTCAGAAGCGACAAGCGTATGTCTTAGTCCCAGTGCTGCTAATATTATTAGTGCTACAAACACTGCTTCTGGTGGTCCTTCAAGGTAATTAAATATTCCGAATTTTATTATTAGTTAAAATCGAGGTATTTAAAGAATGTTTAAAATTAAACCAGATACTTATTTATTATTATTATATTTGGTTTATATAAATTTAAAGAAGACTTTAAAATATTACAACCAAGTATAGGTACTTATATAGCTAGATGATCTACGTAAGACCCAAGTAATACATAGTTAATACTTCATTTCAGAGTCCAAATGCTTCAGTCTTTTAAAGACGACAAAGTTCGAGAGCAAATTGCAATGGACATCCAGAACGCTTTATCATCACTAAAAGTCATACCAAATAAGTGCAAAATAAAACCATACAGAAAAGTGCCTTTGAAAATACAATTCAAACCTGTCGGTATGATAAGTACACTAAATGTTCAGGTAAGTATTTACACACTTAATTCATTCTATCCAAATTAAAATGTCAGTGAAATTCTAACAATGAGGGTGTTCATGTTGTAGTTGAATATGAAGGTTTTCGAGTTTGAGAGACCTTTAGTCCGTCTGAGTGGCAGTGCTACTGGTATGAGCCTTTGCTTCAGTCAAAACTCGTTGCAGTTCGGTCGCGTGCGCAAGCGAGGATGCAAGATACTAAAAGTCATGTTACAAAACAAGGGTGACTTTGGTGCAAGGTGCTTGATTTCGCTAACTTATTATGCTATCAGCTTATTTGATTCCCTCACCCATATGCACATAGTCTTTACAAGATTTTAATGCAATTATATAGGATTAATTTACTATATCTATGACATCTCCCAGCCTTGTTGATTTGGTATAGTACTAAAGATCATATTGGTGTCTCACAGAGTTTTACCCATTTTATATCAATTTAACAATTTTTATAACTTGTTTAGATTTTGGTGGCAACCGCTGATATCAAACGAGTTTACAATATCACCTTTACAAGGAAATATTGCCGCTCACACAAACGTTACATTTACAATAACATTCAGGCCCGTCAATCACAATCCATTCATCAAAGTATGGGTAAGTAAAAGTTTATATAGCAGAGCTAGGTTTTAAAAAACATCCATTCCAACTGACCCGTCCAACGGAACTTCTTTGCATAGGTAGCTCTGAATTTTAGGCCTGGCCTATAATTCATATAGATAGGAATGTTCCTATCTTTATTAAAATATTATTATTAGGTTATAAGCGTAGGTCAAAAAATTTGCACAGCTTAAATAATAAGAATATATTGTTCACTTAAAGACTTACACCAATTAGACTGAAGTAACACCAAAGTTAGCACAGTAAGGCTTGTGTTATAGAATACTGGGGTAACGGGTAGAAATAGATAAATTATTATTTATAGAATATTATATGATATGAACAGCCATAGCTTAGGTAGGTACAAATGCTCGTATTCATCATACAAACCATTTTCCGCTATCGGGTTTCGAATCCAGTACCTCAAATAGGTGACAAAGTAAATTTTCAACCCAGAAAATTTATAAGAGCATTTGTTTATTTCCACAGGCGAGCTGTAATATTGAAAATTATACATCTTTGGAAATAGCTATGTATGCTACTTGTGTGGACATAGGCAACATCCAGAATAAAACGATGTATTTAGAGTGCCCAGTGCGAGAGGTGCAGACGGATCACGTTGTTGTAACGAATCCGTAAGTTTGACCAATACGATTGAATTTTTTTATCCCTATAAGTAAGTAAATTCTAAATTATATTGACAAAAAATATTATTTCATATGTTTTATAACAGGTAAGCGTACAATACATATATTGCTTATTTTACTTACACTTACGCAGGTCGGATGATATGTGGTTGGTGCTAAGTGAAGTTTCAGGAGGACCTTTTGAAACATTGAAAGAATTCCACATCGAACCCAACTCTACTTTTAATATTCCAATACATTTCAAGCCCAAAACGATAGGCAAACACGAGGCAAGTTTTTTGTGGTACCTATCTAAGAATGGGAGAAAATTTAGAATTTCTATTTTTACACGTAAGCCGAGAGATTCTCTCCTTATATAGTATCCCTAGCGAGGTTCGCAGAACATCTAAGGTGTTATGAGTATGAGACTCCATTTGTAAGTATTCCTCCATCGGACTTACAAGGGGCCTCCCCACTTCTGTGTATTTCCACCCGTACTTTGTTGATGTTAAACATAGATCCATAAAAAAAGATTTTTTTCCTAGCTTTAGCTACGCATGGCTAGGATGTGGCCCACATCCATCTTGATGGTACAGCTTCTCTGCGTCTATTTTCCCTGACCTTGATTACTTGTTGTTATTTTAGTGCCGATGAACCCGGATTCTGAATAAATTTGTATCGCAGTGTTTGCAATTCTATCCTTTGTTACTAGTTGTGTCATCATCATCACAAGCCTATTGATGTCCCAACTGCTGGCGCAGAGACCTTTCTTATGAATGGAATTGGGAGATTGGGCCATGACCCACCGCCCGGGCCCAGTTCGGATTGGTGGGTGATAACAATTGCAGATGCAGCCGGGACCAACGGTTTAACGTTCCTTCCGAAGAACGGAGGAGCTCGAAATAATCACATTTTGGCGACACATCCAATAAACTATTGAGAAAGTTGCTTAACTTTCACGACGGCAGGCCAAATGCGCTAACCACTTGCGCCATCGAGCTCATTATTGTGTGTAATCAATTACACAATTATTTTCTGTTCATATAATTTGGTGATTTTTCAGTGTCAAGTATTGTTTTCACCACTTGGCGAGAGTGCACTTTTTATATCATTGATCGGAGCGGCGTTACATCCCAATCCAAACGGCAATATCGCCATCACAGTTGCTGCTAAGGACAGCTACGTACAAGAGCTACTTGTTTACAATATAACAGAGGTTTAATTTTCAGTAAAACTAGCATAATAATGACATAATTATATACAAGTAAGTGACAACTTACAAGCTACTAACTATTGCCCTTAGAGAGGCATTGTGAGTGCGACACCAGGAAAATCGTACAATTCATTTATTGTTTAGTTCTTCGTGCTTTTCCTACCCTGGTCCAGATCTTCTATCTCGAGAAGCCCTAATAACCCTAAGCACTGAAGGAACCAGCAGTACATATGTATACCTGCTTTTAGCTATAGAAAAGTGTAGGTATATTATGTTCATGACGACCAGTTGTACCAAATGTCGGCATTTTTTTGTGGTCAATGAACACATTATGTATAGGAATGAGTTGTTCATTAGATATATTTTTAAGCATTTAACTGCTAGATGTTTAAATATAAAGAAAATTTTACACAAAAAAAATTCAAACGGCCTGCACCCGAATAGCGGAGGGTAGTTCAAGTCTCGTCTGCTTCCTGAACCGCGTGGATTTTTTTTTCTATAATATTTTCTTTATATTACAACATATTTTTTTACACCCAGTTCCCAGAATCTTACGCGGTGTCTACGGAAACAGTAAAGGTGCTACCAGACAAGTTTGAGGGCTATTTTGAAATCAAACATCCTGATACAATCAAAGTGTGGGGAGAAGCCGCTGCAACTTGTCGATGGACATTTGTCTGCTACGAAGAATGCGAAATGCAGCTTAAAGTAAGTCACCAGAAAATATACATTTGAGACCTTAATAAAAAACTGACATGGGAATTGAATACATATAATTATTAATATTAAAACCCCCAGCGTGACCACCAACCATCACCGATAAGATATTCTTTTGAATGTCAAAATAGTAGTCAAAGTACTTGTATTTTTATATGGTTGTGTAGTGATGCGATGCGATCATTGTTATTGGATTGAGGCAAATATTTAATCTGCTTTACATGCTTGTTTTGATGTATATATATTCCATAATACCCAGGTAATGTTTATAAATGAAAATACACACGAGTACCAGTTCTACAACATCACCGCTACGGTATCAAAGAGCCCTATCGTGGATACATTGACATTCGTCTCAAAGGCGCGGGAATCAGTTCAAAAGGAGTTAGTGGTAACCAATCCATTAGCAGAAGAGGCGAGCTTTGCCATTCGATGTGAAAAGCTAGACTGCCCTGATTTGCTCAAGATTAGCAGAAATTCTGAGGTAAGTAAAATACGATTACATTGAGGATTCTGTTAAAAAGAGGTTAGGATTTTAGTAAGCCCAAAGTGATTATTAACCAACTCCAAAAAAGAGGTTCTACACACATGCTATTCATAAGATTTACACAGACTTAAAAGCGGATTTCCTTTTTGGTTTGTTGGATGAAATCTCCTCGAGCTTTCCAAAGATCATAAAAAAAAGAAACCTTTTGAATTTAAAGGTATCGTTCGTGGTTTTGGACCTTGTCCCCCTAGTATGAGCACCGCTATATGATAGATAACACATTTTTATCACGCTCAATTGTCAAATTACCATGAAGTTTGACAGTTAGACGCGGTATAATGTAAATTGTGGAGCTCATGCTACCCCCGTAGCATGGAACTATACAACGCGCATGTGTAAGACTATGGCTGTAGGTTTACACTTAAATACAGTAGACATGTAAAAATAGTTAGAAGTGAGCGTTTAAACGATAAGCAACTAAAAAGTCTGCTTTTTAATAAAAGCACAAAAGCATGCTTATAAATTGATAAACAGCACGCTTTTTGCTTAGTCCCGCTCGCCATCTATTTGTCCGTACAAAATTACTTGTATTATAAAGCATGCTTTGACTGTCACGCCATCTATGTTTTACCATAAAATTACTTTGTGTTCGGTATTATAGGAAACCTATGCCACTTAACGACAAAAAAACATTCCTTGGTATTCATTTCGTTTTTAAGCGTAAGCTACTGTAAAAAGCAAATTAAGCAGTACGCTTTTAAACGTCAAGGGCTGAGTACGAGATCGCATTCATTGCGTTTTTTACATTTGCTTACATTCACCTTAGTGATCAAACATTTTTAATACGATTGTTGGGTGGATAAATAAACACTGTTATTAGATACTTGTGTAAAAAATAACTATTTCTCTTATAAATAACTGCGTTCGAGAAGTATTACGAGAAGTTTATTGATTATTAAATAAAAATACGGAGAATACCTTTATTTGTTTCGTGGCTTAGATGATTATGTTAAAATTTTCATTCTGCTTAAAATTAATGTTTATAAGCTTTCAGCATATTACATTTATCGTTGACCACATAAAATCAGGTTTATTTATTTAAACGTTTTCCAAAGCGCTTTAAATACGCGACATACTAAAAAGCGTTTAAATGAAAAGTTTTTTTTTATAAGCATGCTTATAAAAAAAGCAACGTTTATACATTGAATAATTTTAAGCCGTTTTTCTCATCGCTAAAAATAGTTTAATTTGGCTGCATTTTTCCTTCGCAAGGACAATCTGCTGTGCCCTGTCATCTATGGCTGAAAATTAGTTTTAAATTAGCTAGTCAATAGACCTAGGTAGTACTTTAGTATATTTTTTAGATTTTATGAAACCAGGCCATAATTCATCGCCATGAAAATAATTTGGTCTAACGAAACTGTTATCTTTACAGGCTGTTGTCACATTACTATATTCTCCGTTGGTAGTGGGAGACGTGGATGATTATTTGGAAGTGTCTAACCCCCTCGTGGGCACGTATGTGTACAAAGTTGTTCTCAAATGTTTGCCGGCAAAAGCTAAGGATCTCGAATACACTACGGCAATCGGCTCACGCATGCCTCTGCGGCTAAGAGTTCATAATAAAACTGACGTCAAAACGGAGTTTATAACATCGGTGGGTTGCATTCAATTCTTTATTGGTTATTTATGCAACTATTTTATAATGACAAAAATCTCTCGTCTGCGCAGACCATAAAAAACCATGAGTTAGACTATTATTTAACAAAATGGCCGTAATGTCGTTTAAGTATTTTAAAATTTTGCTACATATTTGATATCTATATTTCCGATCTGTGTATGCAATTATGTATTCCACGGCCCGCTTAGCCCAGCGGGTGATCTTAATTGCGAATTAAGTGGCCTCAGGTTTGAATACCGGGAGGGACGGCAAATGTTATTGTGACGGACACGTGCATATATCTACCTATCATTATTATATATATTTCATTTTAAGTATCTTTCTACTTTAATTAGGGCTAATTATAGTCTTTACTAGGGGGCCCTAGTAAAGACTATAATTAGATAATCATCTAATTATAGTCTTTACAACAATCGTTGTGAAAGTGTCCAACATTTATTTAAATGAAATTGTATTGTAAGTTTTTTCTTTATAAGGTTTCCCATCCGAGCATTCAATGTGAGAAAGTGTACACATTGGGACCCTATGAAAAAGGCAAACTCCTAGTCATGTTTGAGCCAACAGAAATTGGTGTTCAACATTGTAAGCTGTCTTTCGATTCGCCTGTGGCAGGAGAATTCGTGTGAGTACAGTCCACAATGTTACATACTTTAAAAAAAAAATTTGGTGTAAATCTTCCGAATACATTTCGATAATTTATGATTAGTTCATACTATTGTGGATCAAATCTAAAAACCTACAAACTTCATAAATAACTGTAAAGGACATGAAGACTCCCTTTACTATTGAACTTTATTTTTGTTTATGTTATTTAATTTTTATTTATTTAAATCTAAAGAAAAGTTTACTACAAAAAATTCCACGCGGACCAGGCAGCAGACAGTACTCGAACCCGCACCCTTCGCTATCCGGGCGAATGCACTGACCATTATACTACCGCGGCCCTTTTTTTGTGACGCAGGCAAAACCTCTGTTTACAGACAGTTTACGGCTCCTAAAAGTCAGACCGCAAAACGGACCTCACATCTGGCTCCCGCAAGCTTCACGGGGCCCCGCAGTGGCTGCCCACTGAGGACCCCGTAACTCTTACGGGCGCTTTACGGCATAATATATATATCTAAGCTGCTTAGTGCGAAGCCGCGGGATCCCCGTTTAGGGATTCTTCCGCGTTATGCTACCGCAGCCCTGACGGCCGTGTCGAATTTTTCCTGACCTTAGGCTGCAAGGTAGCGCCATCTCTTCGCATTGTAGGTAACCCACATTGTAGGGCCGCGGTAGCATAATGGTCAGTGCATTCGCCCGGATAGCGAAGGGTGCGGGTTCGAGTCCCGTCTGCTGCCTGGCCCGCGTGGATTTTTTTCTAGTAAACTTTTCTTTAGATTTAAACATCTAGCAGTAAAATGCTAAAAAATAATAACATATCTTTTATTTATTTGTCTAACTATATGCATTTGTTCGCGATTGCATCAGTGGCACAGGAATCCACCAATACTTGACCACGTCCACTCTGTTAAGAGTGTGTGACTAGGAAGAAGATGTGCATTTATTGTTTGTGTCTTTATATTTCTAGGTTCAACATAAAAGGGAAAGCTACTAGCCCAAAACCCCAAGGTCCTTTTGAAATTAAAGCCAGTAGTTATACTACGATCACTTTTAAGAATGTATTTGACAATGTAAGAACCTTCAGAGCGACTGTCGACCGAGAAGATTTCTATGTGAAATTTGTTAATGAGCCCATCAAACCGAAGAAGGTAAACTTTATCATAGTATTTTCCCTTCATTGTGATAGCAGCCATTAGTGAACTAAAATTACGAAAACATTCGTTTCTATATCGGAACTGTTGGAACTATAGAACCTTTGTTAGGGGTGATGACTGAGAATAACCGAATTCACCACTTAATTACATTTCTTTATGAAGTTTTTACTTCTTCCCTAAAAATAAAATAATAAATAAATATTATGGCTCACTTTATGTGGGCCGTCAACAAACCCAGCGGATATTAGTTGCGGGTATGGCCGCCAGGGGAATGCGGCGCTCTGTGTGTTTTTTTCAATTTTCTGATTTTTTTTTTATTACTTACTCTACACCCTACTACCCTAGTGCGGATTGGCGGGTGCTAACGACTGTGGGTGCAGCCGGGACCAACGGCTTAACGAGCTTTCCGAGGCACGGAGGAACTCGAGATAGAGCAGTTTTGGTCACCCATCCAATGACCGAGCCCTGCGAAAGTTGCTTAACTTCAGGGATCGCAGCCGAACGCGCTAACCACCTGCGTCATCGAGCTCCAACGCTCAAAGCCGCCGTGCCCTTCCTCTTTTAAAAATTTAAGTGAAAGTGTGATTATTATTTTTAGCTTTTACATGGTTATAATACCGACATTATCGTATGTTCAAATATCATTGGCTTTACATGTAGGACGCCTTACGAGTGCCTTTAAAAATGAAGTAGTTAAGATAAAAGTATTGACCCGCATTCAATTTTCTACCGTGTAGACTATATTTTTTGATAACGTTTTTGTATAAATAAACCTGTCGTGAAAAAAATATCTATCTGATGGTGAAAACAGCATTAAAATCAGTCTAGTAGTTTTTGAGATGAACGAGCCGACTTCGTGTAAGGTTGTCTGCATTGCCCCCTATTATGAGCACCGCGATATGATATATAACGCGTTTTTATCACACTCTATTGTCAAAATACTATATAATAACAGTTAGACGCGACCAAAAACGTGATGTAAATTGTGGTGCTCATGCTACAGGGACTGGTGAATTAAACAGAATTTTTAATAACTGTCGTTCTTATAGGATATTAAAGTGAATGTGTACCTGAATGATAGAAATGCCCAAGCATGGACAGTGGCGCCAACCGGCTGCCTCACGATCGAATGCTACGACCCACCGGAGCCCAAGGTCCACTGGACTTATTTCCTACAAGGCATTCCCTGAATTTAATCTTAATTCCTCTATATAATTATTATTTTGTTATCCTTGTTATTTTTGATAATGATAGTGACATTTTTACGCCATATTTATAATTCAATAAAAATATCAGAAAAATAAAACAACCTTTATTTTTTTAAGATTAATATTTCTTACCAATCATTAACACTTAGGTCTTGAACAATATCATCTTTGTTGTCGATAGTGTCGTCTTCACTTTCATTGGTTGCTGCTTTAATGGTTTTCGTTTTTTTCTTGTTTTCTTTCTTCTTCTTTTGTTTCTTCACTTTGGGCACAGAAACTGCACCTACATCATCGACTTTGAAATGATCATCATCATCTTCACTGTCTGAGGGGAACAGAACTAAGGGCCCCTTATTTTCTTTATTGGATTTATTTAACTCTTCTGATATTTTCGGCCTCTTAATCATAGGTAATGTTCCAGCTAGATCGTCATTCTTTGTTATCTTTTTGCGTTTCTGTATCTTATTTATCTTATTCCAATTTTCAAAGAACGTCAACAATGGAGTTCCCTTTGTTTTTATGCTCGTCTCCCAAGCAGTTGTCATCTTCTCATCATTTAAGGCGAAGGTTATCTTAGATCTTTCTCGCTCAATGAATTTCGAGTTTTCTTCAATTTTCTCTAGTAGTTGTCTCATTTTTTTTGTATAATTTGTAACAGAACACGTTTTTAGAAATTGTTTAATCTGCAACAAATTTTAATAAACATTAAATAATGTAATTAAATATAATATATAATATAAATTGGTACATATTCTGAATAATATAGTAAGAAGGCCTCAGCCTTATCAGATCCAGAATAATAATTGCGAATAATTAAAGTGGAGAGAATACATCTTTTAAGTCAAGAAGAATTATTTAAATTATAAAATAAAGCATTATTAGAATATGGATTTATCTGCTCTAACATAAATATTTTTTAATTTTTAGTTATAGATATCCTATATAAATTGTCAGAGCAGAACTCAATAAAACACTACAAACCTGAACAACAGCAAGAAGTGTGATATCAGGAAAAGCGATGCTATATGACACATTTGCAGTGTACTCCAATAGAAGAGCATATAAACGTTCAATGACTGCATCCTTAAATCCATTTTCCATCAGTTGGGACTTGGCCAACCTTAATATACATGAAAAATCCAAAGGTTTCATGGAAACTTTCTTGTGTTTCTTATTGAAGTCATAGGATGTTAAAACCTGCAATAAGAGTTCATTTCACCATGAGTCCAATCTCTTATCTATTAGACAAGTCCGTCTGTCTGTCTGTGGTGCTGTTTCAGCGGCCAAACCGTAAGAGATAGATAAAGAGAATATTTAAGTTATAAGTTAAGAATAGTCTGATAAGACTACAAAGCGGATTTGAGTAACGTTGGACTTCCGGTTTTCGAGAAATCAGGTTTTGGTGAACATTTGGTTCACTGGTTTGCTAGTATACCTATAATTATTTACTGTCAATGATTTTGGCTAGTCTCTCAATTAATTTTTTACCATAATTATGACAGATTACAAGTACTATAGGTAAACCAACTATAGTTAAACTGGTAAATGGATGATACAGGTAGAGGTTAAATAATTACTAATATACTGCAAAGGTTGAAGCAGAAGGGACAACACAAAAAAAAGTTTCGTTCAAAACTTACCTCACCCCCTAAATAACAAGAATAACAAAAAAATGTAAAAAATCTGTAATTGACAAAATTTCAGAAGTTTTGAGCACAATCTATCAATAAACTATTATTATTTTCTTATTTAGGAAACATGCAAGTACCACACTGGCAACGTCTCAGTTAAGCGGTCTACCTATAGCCCATTTTCATGTTTCCTAAATAAAAAATATAATAAAAATAATAATAGGTTCTGTTTTTATTTTTATAAGCATTTAACTACTAGATGTTTAAATCTAAAGAAAATTTTGACTAGAAAAAATCCATGCAGACCGGGCAGCGAACGGGACTCAAACCCGCACCCTTCGCAATCCGGGCGAATGCACTAACCAATTATGCTACCACGGCCCTGATGGCCGCGTCGAAATTTTCCTAGCCTTAAGCTGCAAGGCAATAATAGGTTGTTGATAGAATGTGCTCAACATTTCTGAAATTTTATCAATTATTTTTTTTTAGATTCTACAATAATTTAAAAAAAAGTAAACCTATTAAACGTTACAAATGTATTTTTTTTGGTTACACTGCCACGTCTAAACTGTTGATCCAATTATGATGAATTTTGGTATAGGGATAAATATAACCTTGGAATCAGTTAACAGGGGTGAATTTAAAATTTCTTCTTCACCGAAATGGGATGTTACTTTTCCTAGCGCAAAAATGAAAAGGGGTGGGTCTTAACCCACTTATTCTGAAGGAAACTTTTTGTTGTGTTGTCCCTTCTGCTTCAAGCTTTGCAGAATATTGATAACTATTTCAACTCTATCTATACCATTCATAAACCAGAATTTGCCACATAATTAACATAAAGCATGTTAATGAACAGCATTTGCTTGTTATTATAAATTATGTATTAAATTATAATTGAGAATAGTTAAATTAGAATGAAAAGGTTTAATTTCTTACCTCAACAAGAAATGGTAAAATTGGTATAAATGTATCAGATTCCTTGGCCAGATTCATCAAAATCTCAAGACAATGAAACCTCAGAGGGTAATATTGATGAGTTGGCACCAGCTTTATGGTATTAGTTATGATCATCACCAAAGGATATATCAGTGGTTGCAACTGAGGCTTATTTGATGTAACCGACAGTAAATTAGCCCATAGGTGAAGAGAATTAACAAACTGCCAGTTATAAACAGCTTGTCTGTTTTCAATTTTTTGCACCACTATAGCATTTCTTAAATGTATAGCTAGCTGTCTGATGTACAAAAACACATGTTGGTATGAGACATTCAAGTCCAATGTAAACATTTCAACAAGAGACCTTCTCATGAAATTGATTCCAGGCCAAGTTGAAGGACTTACAAATTTACAGTTTTTGACATAGGTCATGTACATTGCCTTTAACACAAGATCAAGGAGATTTTGTTGTTGATTTCTTGTTATTCTTAATATACTTAGAAATGCCAAAACTCGAACTGTTTCCTCTCCAGTACTCCACAAGGTTATCAATTTTTTTAATGCCTGTTTTGATATTCTACCAAAACATGAGACGTAAACACACATTTGATGCAAATGTTTCAGAAGTACTGTCAGTATGTTTTCAGATGTAACACCACCAAGTAGTTTTAACAGATCATTGAGGTATGATAAAAGTGGGCCTTTTATTTTGACAAAATGCTTGCACTTTTGTGGATCTTTTCCTGATGCTTCCATACCAAGGTATTTCTTTATAGCTGCAGGTAAATACAGAACACACATTTGTATGACTGCATTGAACACTGATGAACCTGAATTGTGACAAACATATAATTAAATTCCAGTCAAGATAAATATTTGTATTTGTTTTGATTAGCAAAGTTTTATTTCAATCATTTCTTATTACTCATAAAAAGAGAGTGGTATATTTAGATGCAGAAAACTCTCTGCTGATTATCAAACATGAAAGTAAACATTTTATTACCTTCGACTTTATATTCCCCTTTAGATGTACCATCTTCACTGGTCACTCTTAACATAGCTGCATTAAAAGCTTTGATAACAGAAGTGAGAGTTACCAGTTTGATTTTGCCTTCTGATTGCAGTTCTGTTTGCCATTGTGAAACCATTTTAAGACTGATTTTACCTTTAACAGGCTTTTGATCTTCATCCTAAAAATATATTAATCTGTAGACAATCTGAGTGAGGAGCAAAAGCTTGATCGTTCCATTAGGCTTGAAGTTGGTCATGGTCATAGACATAAATTGTACTTTTTTTCAACATGCTTTTATTAGCTTATTTTTATGTAACAGAATTCAATTTCATCCACTTCAAAACATCAGATTGAATTGAAACTGTGCATGTTTACCAGCGTACAACAAATTAATACACTAATAAAAAAAATCAAACTTGTAGTTGAACTTAATTTGTTGTTTCATACACTTATTAAGGTTTCAGCAATATCTTTCTAAAACTATGTAATGTAGACAACATCTGCAAAATATAGAAAAAAAGACAAGTAACATAAAAAAGTCACACCTCAAAATCACTTTCATCACTGTCTCCTCGAAGGGGTCCAGGCTTATGTACAGTTTCCTCAGTAGCATCTTCTTTATCGGAGTTGTCATCTTCAGAATCCACATCAAAGTTTAGAAGGTTTCCATCGTTTTCCTCCAAAAAGTTATAAAAGTCAGGATCAATGTTTTTAAGCTTTTCCAATGACTTTTTATGAGTTTCTGGGTCCAACTCTTCTTCAGAATCTGTAAAGTGGGATTTATTTACGTAATTTCCATAAATGTACGTATTATTTGAAACATATACTTATTTACACCAAGGTGTTTACCTGAAACATCAGCTGATTTTTGTTTCATAGTGAAATTAATTTATTAATACAAATACGATTTATTGATGCAATAAAATCAATCCACGTGCTAACCTCGCTATACAAAATTAAATTAACAACACAAGCAAGTCAAGTAACAAAACTTTTTTTATTGGTTTGAGGGAAAGGAGGCAGAGTCCATACAGCCCTCATTTTTTAACATATACTTAACGGCTTTGATCAACCAACAAAACTAAGGCCGTATACAGAAAGAAAGCCGAAAGCCGATCGGCGCCGATCAGCGCCGACACGCGCTGGTCCGAATAATAAATAATTTGTATTTGAATTATTATCCTTAGATTAAATCAATCTAAGTTATAATCTTTTTATAAATCTAATAACTTTATCTTTTATTAACTAAGCGCTAAAACTATTTGTTTCGTACTTACCGAATGGTGACAACAAGTCTTTCTTCTGGAAGGATTGGTTGTTTATGCCAATTACCCCAATTTTTCTTCAAACGGTTTTTCACTAAATCCAAAATGTAATAAAATGTTTCTTGAATCATTCTTGTATATGTATAAAATCTTTGTTCATCAAATTTAATTTTTTTTACAAATAAATGATGGTATTCTCCTAAACGTTTCCTTTCTCTATTTATAGGATGTATAGCTGTTTTTCGCATTTTTAAATAAACATTTTCTAACAAAACCATATCATCGTCCGATGAGTCCGACATTTTGCTTGATCTGCTTTAATCTGCTTCCTTTATGTAGGAAGGATCGGCGCCGATCGGCTTTCGGCTTTCTTTCTGTATACGGCCTAATAAGCTATCTACGTTCCAATCTACGCTCTAGGTGCAATGGGTCACAGATTACTTAGATTATGTCTAATCTTAATAAGATACAAATGAAGGCAGAAACATATTTACGTGTCTAGGCGTATCGTGAAGCGCCAGAAGCACATCGGTACCCCTAGCACGAACCATTATTGAATTCGAATCGTTTGCAAACCGAAATGTCAATGTTGAATTTTGTATAGAAACTTGAACAGCAGCGGCACAAAGTACGTAACGAGAACTAAAAATCAATACACATTTGACAATGACATTTCGGACTCGCAAACGATACGAATTCGATATTTATTCGTGCTAGGGGTACGGTATCGTACATTTACTATGGTACACCCGCCACGACACGGAAATATGATTCTGCCTTTAAAGAGATGCAAACGATATATCGATGTTTTTCATAAACATGATGTTTTAACATCGACATCAAAATCTAAAACATGGATGTAACATCGTTCTTCATGAATGATGTCAGTTACACACACAAACATAAATCTCTTTTAGTCAGAAGCGTAAATTTTGCTATTTAGTGTCTCCTTCACACTGCAATACAAACGTGGACAACACAAAGCAATTGCTTCGCTCACCCACATTGATGGCAATTGTTTTGTTTGATATTCACCAAATATGGTCAAAGAAGTCACAATCAATTAAGCAAATTTAAGTGAAGTGATTGTTAACTGTAATAGACAACTCAACTGCTAATAAAAAAAGATACAATGAAACGAAAGCTTTAAAAAAAATTCAACAATAAATAATAATACTAACGATAAATAAAACATTTCGATCAATGCCAACTTAAAGAAAAAACACTTAATTTTCTGTCACTAAGTTGGTACGATTGCACGCATCACACGAAAACATTACTTTTACGAGTGCTCGATTGTGCGAAGCGTTGCTGTAGTTGAAACATTCAACTTTAAGCATTATGCCGCATAATGCGCGCTAGTGCTGTAATTGGAAAACCACCTCTATTTTTCTAGTAATATTTTCTTTAGATTTAAACATCGAGCAGTTACATACTTAAAAATAAAAAATATTAAAAAAAATATATAATTAATGTTAGTTTTTTTATCCCACATGTGGGGCTGGTCTTTATATACTTCGATCACTCGTGTCCAAGCTTCATGCTCATTATGATCTACCGCCATCTTCATCGAAATACGTGCGCTACGTGTGACAGCTACCAACCGACTGATTGAGAAATTGCCCCGATCGCGCTACACACGCGGCGACGTGCAGGGCGGCAGGGACAATCTAGGAACAGGCCCGATTTATAAAATTGCCCCAACTTGCCTACACACATCACAATTCAGGATGCAATTAAGGCTCATCCCCACTGTTACACCTTAGATTGTCCCTGCGGCAGGCATGTCAGTACGCGCTTTAAAAAGTTTCACTCAGAGTTTAGGTTCCGAACCCGGTTTTAATAAGGTACTCTGTAGGGATGTCGAAAGTTGAAAAAAATATCGATATATCGATACATCGATATTTTAAAAAATATCAATATCGGCTTAGATATATCGCGAAAAAAAAATATCGATATATCGGGCCAATTTTTCCAAAAATATATTTAGGTCAGCCTAGCATAGTAATAATAGTTCAATACAAATTATAATTAAAGAAAGAATTATCAAAGTACCAAATTGCCGCTACACTACATGACAGTACAGTATCTCACGAAATATGACACGCGGAATAATAATGGAACGAAAATTATCTCCCTAAAAATAGACCCTATTTTCGAATGATGAAAATGCCATTGCCAGGGCCTCTCAGGTGCCATCTTTCGTAAACACGACTAGACAGTCACACAGTTCCACAGAATATAATGGAAATCAGCACAACCAATTCACCAGCGAAACAGATTTACAAATAATAGACAATACTAAATACAGCACAGATCATAGATATGTTGAATATCATTAATCTGAGATCTAGTTACGATTTTTCCAGATACGAATTTAGTTAGATCGTGATATACCGCTAATAATTAAAAGAATATCGTTGTCGATACGAATTTCGATATTGGTTATCTTGTATCGATATATCGATATATCGCATCAAAATATATCGGCAAAAAATATCGATATATCGAACAAAAAATATCGATATATCGATATATTTTCAACAAGCCTAGTACTCTGTGATGGTGATGGTAACAAAACAAAATTGTCAAAGTGCGCAGAAATAGAAAAATCCATTTCATTTCTAGAAAACTCCGGTATTATATTTTCATTACGAATTCGTTCGTAATTAGTTTTCTGATAAATAGGCATTACAATTTCAACTGTGGAAAGTATAGTATTCGTCAGTTTTTGTAAAATCTAGGAGCAAGTTAACAATGTATGTATTTCATCTGGATTTCATCATAATTTTCAATGTTTATTATTTATACGTTTTTAGCATAACTTTTATAGATTGAATTAACTGTGAATTATAATGGGATGCTTACAGACTACTTCACGTCACAATGTTGTCTCGAATGTGTGTAGCACGCTCAGCATTTACCCATACTTTAAGAACACCAGTGCCACAAAGATTTGTTCCCAAAAACTATGTCGTTCGGAATTATGCACGCGAACCAAGATCTCGCGTTGCCACTAGAACACGGCCAACATTATGGGAAAGATTAATGGCTCCAGCGGGACCTAATGGTAAGACCAGTTTCAGGAATTTTATGGGTTGCTCTAAATTTAGTTTGGTATTTAATTATAATCTCAAATAAAATGTTTGGTATCAGCTTTTAGTTTGGGAAAAGGAGCCTTGGCAGGAGCATCAGCAGTAGGCTTGGTAGCATTATGTTATTATGGTTCTGGAGTAAAGCCAGGCACTCTTCAAGAAGCTCAGTAAGTATTCATGAGAGCATCTTTTGATTTAAGATAATGAACAGTTTATAAAATGGAATTGATTCAAAACAAAACAGGCCACTGTTTTCTGGTTCCCTAGACCATGGATGGAAAAACATATTATTATGTTGCCATTGAGACCTGATATGAAACACAATATAATGTAGTAATTCTTTTTACATTTTGTGTACAGTTAAATTGTAAGTCATAATTTAAATAATTATATTTTCTTTTTAGTCTCTGGCCTCAATATGTAAAAGACAGAATTAAAGCAACATATGGATATATCGCTGGATCACTTGTTCTTACGGCTGGTAGTGCTGTTACAGTATTTCGAACACCTGCCTTACTAAATTTGGTGGCTCGCAATGGATGGATGGTGAGATATATATTTCAATATGCCATCAAACTCCTGTTGTTTATAGAGACAATAATAAGTCTAGTTACAGTTTCTTTCCTACCATTATATATTTTTGCAGCTTTACTTCAACACAGCTCTTGTATGATTTTATAGAACAAGAGTTATGCAAATTAGTATGTCAGATGATAAATTAACTTTTAATGTATACACCCTACAATTAAATAAATTTTAATTATGTTTTTATTTTATTAATCTGCTGCTTTCCTGTTACAGTCTATTATCGTTACCATGGGCTTGATGATTGGTTCTGGAATGGTGGTTCGTGGTATGGAATACAAGCCAGGATTTGGTGCCAAACAACTGGCTTGGATTGTGCACACTGGCATTATGGGAGCTGTGATTGCACCTGTATGCTTCCTAGGTGGACCAGTTCTTATAAGAGCTGCTTGGTAAGTCAGGTGGCTTGGTTGATTTTTTAATAAACATCTGTAAGAGTCTGGGTAGTGTAATCTGTAAAATCCATAGATGTGTCCTTTTTAAACTACCTAATTGCATTTGAGGCTGCTCACATCTGTGCGTGAAAAATATACTATATCTATAAAGATAAGGATAGATATTTATTTTAAGATCTATTGTGCTCAAGTCTATTAGGCTTAAAAATTCCAACCGTGGGCTCTTGCTTCTAAATCTTGGGCAGTGCCTTCATATGTATAGAGCAACAAAAAGTTATAATTGAGATATAAAGATAGGAAAACATTTTTTAGATTAAAGTCCTAAAAAGGATTATGATCTATTGTGCTAAAATCTATTAGGCTTTATAGAATCCGATGGTGGGCTCTTGCTTCCAAATCTTGGGCAGAGCCTTCGTAGGCATAGAGCAAAAAAAAGTTATAATTGATAATATCACACATGTCAATGTCTGATATTATCAATTATAACAGAAATACACTTTTTCATTCGTTCATTCAACATTGCCATGACTTTTTTACCCAGAAAAAAGAGTTACACTTACCCTGGAATGAGGTTATGTGGGACTTTTACCTCCACCACCCTAACCTAACCTAACCTAACCCTCCCACCCATTCAGCCAACCCTAAGGCTGGCTCTATGGCTGCTCGGGATAGGGGGGACCTACCCACTAAAACTCCGGGATGTGCCCTATCCTAGCTGGTGACAACTATGTGGGCTCCTTGTTGGGAATCAATTAAGCAACATTTCCATGACCTGGAAAGAAGCCATTAAGCCATAGCAGTATTGCATCATTGAAATCATTCTGGAAATTTCAATGAAATTCACTTTTTGCATTGAATACTTTGCTTTAATTGTTTATTTTATTATTTACTGGTGGCCCGCTCTCGCTTCGCTTCGTAGAGCTGAAGTGTAGACTATAGTTTTTGTAATCAGGCTTGTATTATACACAAAGACATTCTTCTTATACCTAACTACTTTAATTAATAAAAGTACATACACTTAATAATTTTTAATTTGAACGAATATTTAAACACTACCAAAACAACTAATACCTATTTTACAAAATAACAACAAAAGATATTCAAATAAACTATTTAAAGACTAAAAGTCGCGCTGATAAGCACGGTTTCCCAATATCAATTATTGTCTGTCAATAAGGTCGAACGCTCGGAACGCATGTTGATGCGTATTTGGCTGTTGAGCCAAATATTGAATACACACCTAAAAGAGTAGTGCTCCTAGCTCGCTCTCGTACCTCCCGCCTTTTTATCCGCGACCCGTGTCGAGCGCGGCAACCGTTACACAAAAATAATCCTTATAGCATGATTCCGTATTCACGTGCGACGGCGCGATGGCTTATTTCATGTATAAGTTTGGTGTTTCTATACCGATTTCTATGATTCTTTTTTTATTGAATAGGTAATAATGTTAACTTTTTTAAATTAGGGATGAGTGAGAGTATTATAAACATAAGAGTAAACAAATATAATTAGAATGCTCCGAACTGCTAAGCCATCAGGAGTTACACGTGTTATTGTAAGACAACCATAAAAGATAGACATATGCTGTTGCGGGATATTTTTTAGACAATTTTATGTAGAATTTTTCCGTCATACATGATTTCTATGTAACTTTAACTATTAAGGCTGTACACGCGACGGAAGTTTAAAAAATGGAGTAACTTCTCCCGTTTTCCCAACATTTCCCTTCACTACTCTGCTCCTATTGATTGTAGCGTGATGAAAAGTATACTATAACCTGCCCAGGAGTATGAAGCATAATTGTACCATTTTTCGTTAAAATCCGTCGAGTAGTTTTTGTTTCTATAAGGAACATACATACAGACAGACAGACAGACAAAAATTTTACTGATTGCTTTTTTGGCAACAGTATTGATCACTAATCACCCCCTGATAGTTATTTTGAAAATATATTTCATGTACCTATTTGACCTCTCTACAGATTTATTATAAGTATAGATTGCTTGACGACCTCTGTGGCCGAGTGGTTTGTACGCCGGGTTTCATGATGTCGCCGATTCGAGAGGTTCCGAGTTCGAATCCCGGTGGGGGCAGTGCTTGTGTGATGAATAAGCATTTGCACTCCAGTCATATATCACCATCATCATCAACCCCTGCTCGTCCACTGCTGGACATAGGTCTTCCCTAATGCATGCCACTGCTCCCGATTTTCTATATGTATTGTATATGTATTCTATCTGTTACCCTAGCATCTCATAACACAAGCCTTACAGTACTTTCTTTGGGGCTAGGCTAATTGGTGTGTGTTGGAAATATTTATTATTCATTATTATTATTTTATTTTATGTAAATATAAGCATTAGAGGGTTTAGTGGTCATTGTGTAATTTTTGCAGGTATACTGCAGGTGTAGTTGGTGGTCTCAGTACAATAGCCGTATGTGCACCATCAGGTGAATTCTTGAACATGAGAGCTCCGCTAGCCATGGGCCTTGGTGCCGTCTTTGCCGCTTCTCTTGCTGGCATGTTCCTTCCACCAACCTCTGCCCTTGGGGCAGGTAAGTTTACATAATACATCTTGAATATTAAAAGTTCATCTTATAAAAATCTATAAACCTGTTAGTGTTTTGGCTTTTTATTCAGATACTTGTGACTGCAGTGCACCTAGCACTTGCTGCAGCTAAATCTCAATTTTACTAAAACAAGATTTAACCCATACAAGAATGATGTTTTTTTTATGAGTTAAGTCTAATTTTAATTAAATGAAAATTTTGCAAATTTGCCTCAAGTGGACATTAGAAGAAATTGTCAAAGTAAAAAAGTCATTTGTAATTAATTCATACTTCTAACTAATATTATAAATGTGAAAGTGTGTCTGCCTGTCTGTTACCTCTTCACACTTTAACCATCGAACCGATTTGAAATATGCTCAAAATTTTTTTTCGACATATATTGAGTTGAGGAAAGAATCGTTTTCAATCTAGAAATCCACACAGACGAAGTAGCAGGCACCCACTAGTTACAAAAAATTAAATACCAGCTATGTGGAATTTGCCATAAGTTACACACTTGTTTTCAGGGCTGTATTCACTCAGTTTGTATGGTGGCTTGATTGTGTTTGGTGGTTTCCTCTTGTATGATACCCAAGCTATCATTAAGAGAGCAGAAATGCATCCAATGTATGGATTCCAACCTTATGACCCCATCAATTCGTAAGTTTGAATTTATATTTTAATTAAATTAGAAGATTATTATGGTTTAAATACTACGATAATAAATACCCTAGATACAACATCACGAACGAAATCGTGGCCGAAACCTGTCCAAACGGTTCATTAGACGATCCATGGAGCTCCATAAGATGATTGCGTAGTCAAAAACAATTTAAGGCATTATTTAAGACAGTTCGAAATGCAAGTTCGTAAAATATTATGACTTATTGCCATAAGCGGAAGAATATAGACATTATTTCTTTGACTCTAGGCGCAATTCTGAATGCGCTGTTAGCAATATAGCAGGTACGAACCGCGAGGGAAAGGGAAAACTATATTACCGACCATGCATTTGAATATCACAAATATTTTCTATTAAATTTAGAACAAAATTTGCTTCAAATGCTTTTATTTAACAAACATTGTTTAAATACCTGTCGAAAAAACGAAACTTTACGTAGGTACTATAAGTATTTATTTCGCATTTTTTCACGGAGCACTGCAGAATCTTGACTTTTCAACGGTCCTCGCGTGATTGTGGACCAAGAAGTGCTCGAGTCGTGTTCAAGCACTTCTTGATTGGGGGACACATTTTGAGCGCACTTGGTGTATCTAGGGTATTTAATATCGTTGTTTAAATATCACAAGGCGGCCTGCTTACAGCAAGGTATTAAAAGGGTCCAACTCTTATTTATTTATTTATATGTTGTTTATCTTATTTTACCAGTAGTAAGTGGTATTTTACTGCAAGTTACTTTCTCAGATGGATCCTCGAATTTGAACAGTTAATCCAGTATGCCCTGTCTATTTGAATTTAATAATATAGTTTAAGGGCGTGCGTTGCGTTAAGCGGGAGCACGCCATTTAACTACCCTTAACGCTTAATGCAGCGCTGGCCAAAACTTCCCTTAAGTGTTTAAAGACACGACAACTACGCACTTTGTTTTGTCGATATTCACGAATTTTATTTTATATCATACAACCATGTAGTAATTGAATTGACACTCCCTTTTCTTATGTGTGTACTCAGACGTGACATTAATTGAATGTTATTTAAAGTCCCTGCTGCGTCTTTCTTACTTTAATCAGGGACAGACTTAAATTTCATTCACTTTTCTGTTCGGTCCTTGAACATGCCTATTTGAATATATTTCTATTTATGTGACTATTATTTTCAGGGCGGTTTCAGTATATTTAGACGTCCTCAACATCTTCATGCGCATTGCAATGATCCTATCAGGAGCTGGCGGAAACAAAAGGAAGTAAATTGAACATCGAAATTCAGAGAGAACTCAGATTCATCTGTTTGTAGTCATTATTTTTAAATGAAGTAAATGATGTAAACATTGAAATAAAGAAGGCATAATTTAATTAAAGAATAGCTTGCTTTCAGACTATCCTGGTCAGAGACTGTTGTGATATTTAATAGGCCATAAGTTTGTAATTAAGGACTTTGATATTAGATGAGCGCAAATAAATTAACTAGTGCAATATAATGTTTTTTTTTCTTTTCTGTAATTTGGTAGGCAAATAACGCAACCAAGAGAATGACTAATGTCAATAATTCTATTATTATCAATGTGGAATCTCCATGAGTAGATGACGATAACAACGGAACGCCTTGTTAGCGCATACATCTCTTCATCAAACAACAAAAAAAGATAATTATAAATGTGATATTAAAACGCGTGAATTAAAAAAAAAAGGTTTCCGTGACAATGGATAAATTTTACCCCTTATCACACCATTCAAAAAGGTATGCGTGACCTTTCCGGCTAAAAATCATTGGTCAGCCGGATTTTTTCTTGTTGAACATAATATTTCACACAAAATAGGCTAGTTTACTCATGTCGAATTCTATTAAATAAATGTTTATTTCTTAAAGTATTTAGTCTAAGGAACCTTAATATATCGATTTCACTTCATAAAAGCAGAAGATTGCTGTAGAAATTTAATTTTAAAAAAAAATTTTTAGTCTATATTTTTTAAACACTAAAAACGCTGTTCGCCACATCCGCCATGATTTTGACGTCTCTTCTGGTAAACAACTAAATGTCATTCGCGTGTTACTGTAGGTGGATTCTTTCGTCTGACTAAATTTATCTTAAAACACTTTTAACTTTAACAGTTAACTAAGTTTTTTTTGACAAACCTAATTATGGATGCCGGCTTTGTGAAAGCAGAAAGCACAAATCTGCCAAGAATTGACGCATTGATGGTTGGTGAATTTGTTCCACTAAACCCCGATTTCTGCTCTGCGGAGCAGAGAAACGACAAGGCATCTATGTAAGTACAGTGCATTTAGTATTAGAATGTAGTAATAAACATAAAACTGATACAACATATGAATAAGTGTTATAAAGTTGCGTAGGTCAATTTCTTTCGGCACTTTAATCCACAACTTTCCTGTAGTCTACAAGGATGTGTTTTTATATTCTCGTACAATACAGTAATGATAATTACTTTATTTTTCGAGGTATTTATTAGAAATCAATTTTTTTTTTATTATAAACTCAGTTAAAAGTAATTTTCTACGTGTTTACGAGTTTTTGTTTACCAGAGTTCACGTCATAGCATAGATAATCTATAGACTAAAATGGCCGACAGCGTTTTTGTATGTCCATGAAAAGTCTATTTTAAAATTAAAGATTTGTAGCTTTCTAGGTTTAAAAAAAATACAATACATTTTTTTTCGGTCTAATAAAACATTTATTAACCATTTAAAACCTTTTTTCAAAAAGGGTCAACTAGCCTATTCTAAATATTGATCAAAATCCGTAATGACGGAAAAAAAATATGGAAATTTAATAATAAATAATTTAATTAAAATATTTCCGGCCAATCAAATCCACGCCGACCAAGCAAATCTTGTTCGTCTAAACGTTAACTTTTATTTTTTATTAAAAATATTAGAATCCGTGATCACGGAGCTTTCAGGATTGGTGCCGGACTATTACATTAGTAAAAAAATAAATAAAACCTACTACAAAAGGAATAAGCCATTTGAACATTATGTTCTAAAATCAAATCAAATAGCGCGCGCTTCCCAAACTTCCTGTTTATTTATTTATTTTTGAGAAACCAACAGCGATACAAATAGATATTACATAATTGAACTTAGTAATAAGAATGGCCAATAACAGGTTTCTACGAATTAAATTAGGTACAAAAACTGTCGTTGTGCAGGCTAAACTAAAGTTACATGTAGGTATGCATTTAATAATGCCAGGTCGCGTGAGAACGTTGCAAGGCGGCTATTAGTGTTGATACTTTAACATGGAAATTATATTGGTTTTGACAGCGCTTTTAGTACTTGAGAAAATGTCTATACCACTAAAAAGTCTGTTATATAAGACAGGTAACCGAGTCAGAATTGCATTTGCTCCATACAAAGTAACATGTCGTGGAGTAGCGAATAACGGGGTGATTCTAGTACGACGCTTTGGGGTACAGAATTTAATGTTAGCTAAAAGTTCAGGGGGTATCAATATTGCTTCTTACGATATCAAACAGAAAGATCATATCCGATAGTATCCTACGCTCTTCAAGAGTTAATAGTCCATTTTTATGGCAATTATTGACATAATCGGATGAGCGACAAGTCCCTATGTAATTGAGGTATCTCATAAAACGGCGTTGTATTCTCTCAATTCTATTTACATGCGATTTGTAGAAAGGAGACCATATATTACTACAATATTCTAGCACACTTCTTACATAGGCAAAGTAGACCACTTTCAAAATAATCACATCCTTAAAAGGTGCACAAGTACGTATAACGAATCCTAAATTACGGTAAGCTTTAGCAACGATGGCATCTATGTGATTTACTAGCTGCATTTTGCTGTCAAAGAGAATGCCCAGGTCCCTTATTACTTCCACCCTACCAATGGAGGATCCGTCAAAATTGTAACTAAATGTGAGACAAGAGTTTTTCCGAGTGAATGTTATGCACTCACTTTTATTAATGTTGATCGATATCTTATTCACAACGTAATAATCGTACAGCCTATTAAGATCCTCTTGCAGCAATATACAGTCATCAATAGTTTTGATAGACATATACATTTTCATATCATCTGCATATAGTAAGTAACAAGCGTTTTTTATACAATTGTATACATCATGAATATACGCATTATACATAAGAGGACCAAGGTGGGAGCCTTGTGGCACACCCGAAGGTATATCTATCTAATGAGATCTATATCCACTCATAACAACAGCTTGCGATCGATTATACAAATACGATTCTAGCCAACGCAAAAGATCTCCGTGAATACCAAGTGAGTAAAGCTTAGAGAGTAGGATCACGCGATCTACCCGATCGAAAGCCTTTTCAAAATCGGTGTAGATGACGTCAACCTGCCCTCCTCCCTCCATATTACTTACTCAAAACAAAATTTGAAAAGCAAGCCAAATTTGTGGTGGTTGAACGTTTCTTCATGAAACCATGTTGTGCGTGCGATATGCCTTCAGAAATAACTGGATAAAGGTGTTTTAAAACGACCTTCTCTAAAAGTTTACTGATAGTACACAAAATAGAGATCGGCCGATAGTTTTTAATATCCGATTTGGAACCCTTTTTATGTATGGGGATTATGTATGCTTTTTTCCAAATGGATGGGAAAGTGCAATCCCGTAATGAGCGCGCAAAGATCATAGTGATAGGAGTTACCAAAGTAGATGCACAGTGTTTTAGAAAAATGGGGGGAATTTCATCACATCCGGAACCTTTTGTATGGTCTACAGTTTCCAATAAGCGAAGAACTTCTGTTCGGCTTACTTCAATCTTTGATATAGAGTGAGTTGCTAAAATATTATAACTTCTGTCTGAGTAAGAAAGATTATTTAAATTAGTTGTCGATGCTACATTATATACACTTTGAAAAAAACTATTAAAGGCGCTGCAAATACTATCGCCATTGTTAAAAGTTTGGTCGCCTAAAGAAAGTTGTTGTGGGTAGGTCGTACCACCCCGTTTTGACTTAACGTATTTCCAGAATATTTTTGGGGTAGATTTTATAAGTCGTTCACAATGCAATGTAAAATCATTGAAGCATTGACGCTGCACTTTATGACGTCTCCTGCGCAATAACGAGTATTCAGCATAATCACGTGGGTTGTTGAATCTCTTCCACCGACTATGTAACTTTGAACATTCTTTAATGATTTTTACTAGTGACCGGCTGTACCATACAGGGTACTTACTATTAGTCGAAAAAGTTTTCGGTACGTACAACTTAATTCCAGTCAATAATTCTGCATAAAATTGAGATACAGCTATGTCTAAGTCTACCGCAGTGTCAATAAAGCTCCAATCAGCTTGTGCAAAATATTTGTATAACTTAACAAAATCAGATCTAAAAAAATTAAAGCGAGGTTCACATTTACTCATTAATTTTGTAAAAACATCAGACATATCAATTAAAAACGGTGGGTGGTGAGGGTCTATACGAACTACTAGAGATGTACATTTTGATACAGATAGGTACCTGTTGCTAAAACATAAATCCAATAATTTATTATTCTGATTGAGAATATGATTATACTGTATCATATTTTCAAATAACATATTTTCTAATAAAATTGTTGAAGCATTTTGTAAGTTAATCGATGCTCCGGAAGATGTTATATAAAAGTCACCAATATTTTCCCACCTTATAAAAGACAAATTGAAATCGCCGAGTATTAAGAAATTGCAAGTTCGATATTCAGATATCAGTTTGGATAGCGTTGCATGACCCCCCCCCCCCCCCCCCCCCCCCCCCGGGCTGGATCCATCTGTACCCACTGTGACTTGACCACGACTATATGACAACCCCCTGGCGCCAAAGCTGGATCCGCACTTGCCCTAAATTGGAAATCAAACCATTTAAAGTAATATCATTCGTATTTTATTTACAAGCTAAAAGATTGCATTTCGTTACTAATAATTGGAACAAATTTTGAACGATAAGTTTATCATAGAATACATCAAGTCATCAATAGGCCATGCGAGACCAGGGGACCTACCGCCTATCGGGATTGCTATGGCTTTAGTTATTGATTTCATTTTGGCATTTCTGGTCAGCCTCGGTCATACCTCGCGCTCTTTTTTATGTTTGCATTGTTAATAACATATATTAAAAAAAATGCGCGAGAGGTATATGAAAACTCTTGGCGGTCACAAATAACAAAATGTAAACATAAGTTGTAACCATAGCAATTCCGATAGGCGGTAGGCCCCCAGACATATTGGTAAGTTTTAAATAATTAGGTATTGATAATAACAGTGGCAATGGAAAGTAGAATATAATATTTCGACATTTATTAAATGAAATTCAGATTTCCAAATGCGAGTTTTTGATTGCAAGCGTCTATGGTATTTCAGAAACGCCATCTATTTAGACTAATAAGTAAATTAAAAAATCGCCATTTATAAAGCATTAGAAGAAACAATAAAACAACAAAATTAAAATGTCCAGTTATCCGTAAAAGATATTATAAATTAGGTATATCAATTGTAAACTTAAACATAACAAAAACATTAAAATATCACATTACATACAAAAATACTTTTTTGGAATAAATAACAAATGCATTTTGAACATATCCTATCTATTTTGCAGTTAATAAATTAATAATTCATAAGCAGAATAAGATGAAGTTTTGAAAATGGGTATTCTGATTTACGTTTATATGCGCTTTTCAATATTTTCAGTTCAATATTATATCTGTTCCCATTCATCTGAACTTCAACTGAGAAAGAGAGCTCTTGTTGCGTACGTATAGGAAACAATTTTTATTTAATAACAATAATATACAAAACAAAACCTTTGAAATATAGTTTAAGATATTATGAGAAAACTTTCTGTCAATAAAACTTAACTAACTGAATATGAAGCATTAATTTATAGTTAATCAATCTGTTCACTCTGCGAGTTTGTCAAGCATCAATTTCACTGAAAAGCTTGAAAAGTCTGCACTTAACCTATTGGTGTTACATAGTACGGTCGCTATAAAGAAGCAACGATTAAAATACAATCTTATGAGCGAGATTATTAGAGATCTTTTATAGGCGTATAGAAATAAGATATTTTCTATATACTTACTATTAACTGTTAACAATACCTGTAAAGGACTCATTTATTCATTCCCTTTCTTTTGTCATATAAATAAGTTACGATTTTTATTCCCTCTACCATCGCGTTTCAGGAGACGAAAATATTTTAGAGTCCCATTACAATTATTGTTAAATCTAATTTTCAATCGAAAATCGTTTGAAATTTTAAATTGTCATACTTTACTAATTCATAAAATTAATTTACGTAGTTACATCTCCAGTCTTATGTGCTTGTTGTTTTAAATAAATGGCGTACATCTGACGCGCTTGATTAAGTACCCTGTTCACATTGTGTTTGCGAACCATTTTATCAAAATGCATCGCTAGCTCATTATAGTCCATACGATTTCGCATGATGTAATCTCTATGTTGTAAAAGTACGGTCAAACATAGGAACATCAAAAATGGATTGCCTCCTCCAAACAATGTAGGCGGTGGAAGATTGTTGATGCTATACCTCGTCGATAGGTCGCTATTAGCAGCGGGCGCCGCAACGGTTTTCGTAGCTGGAGGTTTGAAAACCTCGTACTTTTTCTGGAAACTATTTATTGTCGACGCAACGCTATGCAAATTGGGTTGTTTCGCGTTCAGCAAAGATTCGCAATTACGTTTCGCATTTTCTAACTCTTGCGACATATTTGAGAAAAATTTTGAAGTAGCAGTGGCATCCTTCTGGTTGTTTTTTATATTTGCCGTTGGCTCACTTTCTTTATCAGATGAATCAGATTCACTGGATTGTGTGTTCGAACGTCCAGTATCTCGAGACAATTCTTGAGGCTCTAAAGATTGATTTTTTCTCAAAAGTCTGATTGGTGTAATTGATTTCTTACCCGAATGTTCTTCAAATATTTCCCCTGTGTCGCCGTCAAAATCTAATTCTGCCTGTTCATCGGGTGTTTGGGGACAGCTCGCAGTAGTGCGGGTAGTTGGAGTATTTCTGTGTAGTGGATTTTCCCACAGGAAAATGTCTTCTGCACTTCTAGCATTGGACTTTATTGTTTCAAATTGGGGAGATTTTTTCGGAATTTCAGTTAAATCTGTAGTTTCTGTTAGTGTTCGTAAGTTGTCTGTGATCAATCCAGATCGCTTTTCTTCAGTGCAGTTGGTAGTCGGCTTTTCTTCTGTGCTAGTAGAATCAGAGGGAGAGTCACATACTAGGCTGCAACGATTGACGTATGATTGTCCAAACACTTGTCTGTCTAAATGTTCCAGTTCAAGTCGTAATTCTCTCGTCATAGATGTCGTCATAGGATAATATTCTTGGGAATCGTCTGGACTGCTGCCATCATTCGTATCAGAGTACAAATTTTTACTCATATTACTGGGTTTTTGATTCCGCAACTTCTGGGCCTCTATGTCGTTATCTTCATAAGAGGTTCTAGTCAAAACTATTCTTGGACTTTCTTTGGAACTATTCTCTTTAGCTGAATTGGTTCGAAGTAATTTATCTTGCTTGGTTGGTCCAGTTTTGCTACTTGTAGCAAAATTAAGGAATTCATTTAAATTTTTTATCATTTTAACTTTGGGCCTATTATTATCATCAACAACCATTGTAGCATCGTCAAACTTATCTAAAGAAAAAAATTTGTTATTATGAACTGATATTTTATCCCTCAGTAATCGTATTTGGTTTCCTAAAGGTGTATCTTTTGGGTCAGAAGAGGAATTTCCATTCACTAAGTTGTCAGTGCTAGACCATGAGACGCTCGAGTCCTGCGTGTCAGGCGATTTTACGTGTTCAGGAACACTTTTCATACTTCGCCTTAACATTAGCTTAGGTTCTTTGACAGAAAAAATACTCTCTTTTGTAACATCTACACCATTGTCTTGAATATCATTTTTTTGATTTTGCACTCGTAAGGCTGCATCGTCTAGGCTTTGGAATTCTTTGGAATGTTTCAGAGAAGTATTAGCTAAAGATTTACGCGTCGCATTTTCGTCTAAGCTGTGATTCATCGGTTTACATGTGGCTAATTTGGGAGCTTTCACATTTGCTAAACTAAAACTGGAACTTTGCCGTCTCATAGCACACACCTTTGTGTAAGCGTTTTCCCGGGGCGCTTTGATTAGGGGGCTCAACGGTGGCGGGTCATCATCATCTATTTCTATCGTTGGGTTAAACTCTTTTTCTTTTAATGATAAGTCAACGACAGGCAACCTATGTGGAAGGGATGCCCATAAAACTTCGAGCATTCTGAGTGCATCATCAAATGCAAACTCCCGTTTCATTTCTAATAAAAGCCATCTGTAGCAGAATAATAAATCATCAGCTTGTTGTGATTTCAAGTAATTGTAAAAGTCAGGATCGTATACTTGTAATGATTCAGTTAAATGGGAAAACTTCAACGTCATAGCTTCTCCGTCTAAGAGAAAGTTTGGATAAAGACGAGTCATAAGCGCACAGAGACAAATGTATGCGTGAGCTTCATCACCCATAGTTACCAGGAGCGGCGATGCTAAGTCAGACATACCTTGACAGTAGCTTACAGATGGATGGTTCAATGCATACCTATAAAAACAAATATTTTGTTATAAAAAAATTACAATGGTGTCGATTCTGGCATGATTCTCTAAACCTAAATTTGACAACAGAGTATCCTTGTCTTTCTCCACAGAATAAAAAGAAGAGACTGATGTTAAATTTAGGTTTAGCCAGAATCGACACCAATTAGGAAAAGTTGGTCCTCAAGCTCAAAGGACAAAAAAATAAAATAATCTTAATGCGCTTTAATTCCTGATTACAATATATAACTATGACCATGGAGCAAATACAAAGTGGAGCTTCTACTAATGTTGTCTGACAATAGTTCTAGCCACTTGGCGTAAGAAGCGCTGATATCATTTCGACTGCGTTTCGGTGGCGTGAACACGTAAACGATTTAAAAAAAATGTATTCTGTGATCTCTGTTCGGTACCTAGGGCAAGTTAATTAGTTTTTAGTAATTTCTATAGGACACCTTAAATAATTAAGCATAAAAATTATATGCATAAATGAGAAAATATAATCATTTTTAATGTTAATATTACGACCAGTACCAATGAGCAATTAGCTCCATCTAGCGTCAAATAGACATACTACATACTATCCAGTGTTTCCATAATCAGGTTTTGATTTTGCCCTAGATTGTTTTGGAAATTGCCGTAAATACCTCTAATTTCCAAAAATACTCAACTTAGAGCGTGTTTAATCACTTAGAAATACACCAAAAACTTAGTAATTATGTACGAGGTCGTAGTAGATCATTGTAATGTAACAATGAAATAGTGTTTTACAGTGAGTCGTTCCCTTAAATAATTAAAAATACAGTCTTCATTAAAAAGTAATTTTAATTATGAAGTAATCAATAAAACCATATTATCATTCCTTCGTAAATGAATGAGCAATAAAGAAAGAGAAACATACATAAAGTCATATGTATATACTTGTAAACTTAAGAATTTATGCAAACAAAAAGGCAAGATACGGTACGCTCATACACGCATCAAATAAAATATGATTCGACTCAACTACATAAGCTACTCTCACACACGCACACGTCTGTAAATAAACATTCAATCGAGCGAGCGAGCCAGAACTGTACGCTTCAACGCAACGCGAGCGAAACGGCGAGTCCGCTTCCGAGACCGCACGGCTGAGCTGTATTGTTGTCCTTTTCTTGATAATAAAATGGCGATTACATAAATAACATTCACGACAAACCGTGATTTTTGAGAAAAAAATGATTTTACAGTTTTATGAATGAAAAGTGTTGCCGAGGCATTTGCTATTTGGTTTTGAACTATTTGAGTTCTTTATTGAAGACATAGGAGCATAGAATAAGTAAAATTATATTTTATGTATGATAAAAATCAAGGAGAAATCGCTCAAGAACGTTTCTACGGGAAAAACGTTGCCCACTTCCCCTCTTAAAAGTGGAAACACTGGTATTATCTCATTCTGCACTTCCCCCTGCTTCCCCTTTCAGTGGCTTCGCTTGGTTTCTTACAGTAAACGTTTTATAGCACCTCCTCTTTGAATTTGCTCCATGACTATGACATACATTTATATCCAATCGAATGCTAAAATTTAATCAATTTTTTTTTAAACACTCACGTCGTTAATATATTGAATAGGGAAGCTATATTCTGATTATCATCACTGCCTGCATAAAAGTTATGATGCCTATCAGTTCGTAAGACGTCTTTACGAACCATTCCCGTAACGTAAGCTAAGTCAGCATTTACCTGAAAAGTGATATAACAACATAGTCATCCACAAATATACTAGCATTTTGTTGATCAACAAAACAATCTCGGACCATAGCTTTTTCTGTTATTTATTGAACAGCCCTTCCATAATCAATTGAAGGCATTCATTACTTCGAATCTTAAAAATGAATTTGAAATTAATCAGAGTATAAACTTGTTTATGTGGCACAAAGGCTGTATTGGAAGTTGGACACATAATATCTCCACATGAATATAATGTTTTGTCAATCAACATATCTGAATGTTTATTATCATTTTCAGGTCAAACAAGTGTTTGACTGACAAAATCTAAGAATCAGAGTACACAATATAGTTGTGGAAAATCTAAAAGGTTTAATGACTAATCCAAAAAAGACCTCTGATATCTATCTAAACATATTAATTATTACTATATATTCTTAATTTGATATGTATTCAATGCATATTGTAATGTTTAAAATATAAGCATTAGGTAGCTATCTTTATTTATATAATCTTAATAATTTACAAACATTGAATATTTATGGCATGCTTGCTTACTATGATAAAATGAATATAATGTTATTTGTAGATTTTTGTTACTCAACAGTATATAATAGCAGGCGGTAGTCCTATTACTATCATAAATATGAAAGTTTGTATGATTGTTACTCAATCACGCAAAAACGGCTGAACGAATTTGGATAAAATTTTACACACAGACAGCTTATATAACCTGCTAAGAGGCATATTATACTTTTTATCCCAGAAAAGTGTTAAGTCCCTGAGCGATTTTCAATGGCGTACCAGCCACCAGTGACTTTGTCTGTTATGCTTGTATACTGATATTATACCAATGTGCTAATATTCACTCACATTTGCATGCACATATTAACAAAATGCCGGACTTCACTTAGCTTTTTGTATTTGCTATTTGTTAATTTGACACTCCACCTTTTCAATCCATAAGAAGTTTGATAAGGACAAGCTTTCAAATAACAAATATTAATAGCCATATGAAGTGCTAGAAAACCAATTATTTATATTTTTTTTATATAAATAGTAAGTAGAAGTGTTCTAGGGTTCAAAGTTGTGATGTGACTCTGTTTGTAAAATTATTTAAGTTGTAGGTAACCTTACCTTGCCTCTATGTATACAATCTTTCCATCGAGTTCTAAGAGCATAGTATTCATTGGCTTTCCTTCTTATGTAGTCCATTCGTTCTTTACCAGTCATACCCTCTGGATACACATTAAGAATATGCTTCCAAACAACTTTCCTAAAATACATAGTTTGTTGTACATTTTCAGTAACATCATCATCAGCCTTATGATATCCCCACTGCTGGGGCTCAGGCCTTCCCTGTGGATGGAATAGGGAGTTTGGGCCATGACCCACTACCCGGGCCCAGTGCGGATTGGTGGGTGCTAACGACTGCAGATGCTGCCGGGACCAACGGCTTAACGTGCCTTCCGAAGCACGGAGGAGCTCGAGATAGTGAATTTTTGGTCACCCATCCAATGACCGACCACAACGAAAGTTGCTTAACTTCAACGATTGCAGCCGAACGCGTTAACCACTTGCGCCATCGATCTCCTCAGTAACATAACTTACTAACTTCAGTAACATAACTATATATTTTTTAGGAACAATATTACTTTTAAATGTTTATGAAACTATTGTATGCTTTGATAAATTAAGTTAACATCTGTTTACAGTAATTTTAATATTTAATCTACATGATTGATTAATGCAAGCTTTTGGAGAGTATAATTTATTGGAAAAAAAAGTAGTCTTAGGAACCATTTTGGTGTTTATCAAAAAACAGCACAGCAATTAAACAATGCTCTTAAAATAATTTTTACCTGAGGCTAGGTTCTATTCCACCACAATAGATCACTTCTCTGAGTTTAGTAGGGTTGTTGATTTGTCCTACTGCATCCAGGAATGTTCTAAATTCTATATCACACAATGGCTGCCTAGGTGGAGTGTTGGGGTCATCATACAGATTTAAAGCTCTAGATACCATGTTGAATGTTTTTTCAACCTGTTTTGGAAAATAATTTAGTTTTCTTTCAATAACTTTTAAAAAAAATTTACTTATAAACAGCTCCATAGTCAATTGTCAAGTAGACTGTTGAAAACAAAAGAGACCTTTAATACAAAATCCTCAATGGCATCATCTAAGAAGTGGTAATATCTCATAACAAAATTGATTATATATCTCATATTACATTTGTCATACAATACAAACGTATGTAACACGGGGTGAAACTACTAATATAATGTAACAAGGAACTGGTCACACTTGTTGGAGCATTAGTTATATTTCATTCAAAGTTATTTGTACTAAGCTAATTATTTTGTATTACATAATTCAATTCTCATCTTGCAGTAGACTTTGTAAAAAATAAACAAAATATGCAGAAATCATGACTATAGTATTAATTTCAGTTGCCGACTTTATAATATTTATAAAACATATCCTTTGTAATACAGAGATATGAAGCGGATGTACATTGTGGGTTAGAGATAATTGAGCTGAATACATTAGCAATTTATTTAGCATAATCAAAATGTGTGTCAAGTTAAAAATTAACACAATCTACTTTTTAAGACATGTAATGGAATGTGATGGAAATGGATATGCTCAGTTGGGTTCTGAGTGAAAGTCATGGACAGAAAAAAAGGTAGGAGAATCTCTATTCTATAGTGATTCATTAAAATCACACATACTTGGTTCATGATGATTCCCTGGAGACCAGTCTGTATTTCTTGTTTTTCAGTCTGGTGATGAGCAGGAGCTACAGATGGCTGCTCCTTGCATATTGTGATAGGTGTGGGCACAATAGGATTTACACTTGGTGGTTCCCAGTCTTCAGAGGCTTCTGCAAAGGGCTTCATATCTACTTTCAGTTGAACACATGGTTCAGATCTTTGGTTAACTGCAATATTATGTGACCTAAAACAATATTGATGATTTCTTAGTTTTTAATACTCTTATAAAAACAAAACAAAGAGAAACCAGTTTGTACAACTCTTCAAGGTCTCTTTTCAATTACACTATTAGATATAAGCTTATATCAGATTTTGAGGAACAAATGTATGAAATGTTTTTTGTTATTTACTAAACCTTAACACAAATAAAAAAACAAGTGTTGTTAAAACAAGTCCATAAGACTCACTTTAAAAAAGCTGCATCCAAATCCCAATCAGATAGTAAGGGTAAGTAAATTTCTTGCCCATATTCATCAATACTTCTGTAGGACAGTGTAAAATCAGACTTAATATCAAATGCTTTCACTAAAATGCTTTGAAGAACCTCCAAAGAAGTAATTTGAGGATCAACAGAAAATTTTCTTAGTTCTGGTTGTAGTTTTCCTTCACATTTCTGAAACGGAAATCAAATTGTGTGGGAATTTTAAGGATAATGAAAACTAAACAAAGACTTCTTGGCAAAAATAAATAATAACGTAATAAAATAATTTGTATTATTTATAGGTATTACTTTATGTCAGTTTTGAAATTATGTTTTCTATAAACAACGCATTGTATACTATAATATTATATGGTAAATTATCATGAAAATAGCTAACAAGCTGTTTTTTAAACAAACCTTGACTTTCACTCTAACTGCTTCTTTACTGTAACCAAACATTTTTAAGCTTTAATATAGACTTATATAGTATTGGGTTACATTTAAAGTTAATATTTATTTCATGATATTTAAACAATGAATAAAACTAAAAATATTTTTCTGAAGAGACAGATTTTTTTTTTGTTGAAGTTCTCCCGTTTTAGGGAAGGCAAAGGGAACAATGCCCATACAGCCTAGTCTTTAACTAAATTTATCTTCTTTTTATTTTTACATTAGAATGTCGGTGTGACGCATTCTAATGTTTCTTGGAGTGTTTGGCACGAAATGTATCGAGTTGGCTTTTTCGATAAGCTTCTGTGAGGTAGTCAACACTACAATAAAATTCTCACGTCCACTTGACCGGAATAGCGTATATTTTAATGATTCCGCTAATTCTTCAGTTACGCAGACAGTTGTTACACAAAACCACACCAATTTTATTTCACAATATCCACTATGAACGAATTTAAGAATAATTTAAATAAGACGCCAACCGCACTCGATGAAATCCCGCCAAAAAAGCCCTGAAGAGACAGAAGCTGCAACAATTTGACAGAATTTGGCAAAGTTGACATTTACAAATTTTCAGGATTGCCATTGCCAGATGCCTTAGGAGGGCATTATACATGCCGTTTTATTTTATTGTTAGGTATATCAAGCACTTGCGATTATTTCAGATGATCATATATCTAGGTATTAAAAAAAATATGTGTGCGTGTACTAGTGTACACACGTAAGAAGTGAAACTTCTTTATGGCCTTATTTTTCGAAAAATGATCTACATGCAACTTTCCAGAAATTGGTTAAATAAAGTTAAATTAGATAAAGTTTAAACAAAAGGATTTTATTATCATAGACATGAATACAAATTACTGCCTATGAAACTGTTATGATTACACGGCTCAGTAATCTAAGGCACATGTTCCACCTCCGACGATGAACGATAAGCGAGTAGAAACTAGAAACGAATTGGCAGTCCTGAGTTAAAATGCACGCGCACGGCCTTTGACAGCCAAGCCAGCTTAACCGAGAGAGTATAGCTGAGCGAGTATCGCTGGGCGAGTATCGCTGAGCGAGTATCGCTATGCGAGTTTGGCTGAGCGAGTCTTATCTTTAATAACTATTGTCACTCAGCTAGCTACAAACGAGTAGAGAGAGTTCTCGCCGGCGACAGTGTGATCATTCAGCTATCAACTATTAATATACAAAAGATGGCGCGTAACGGAAAAATGTGACGCGTAACCGAAAAATGTGACGGTAAATTTTTTTCCAACGCCGATAAAGAAGTTTCACTTGAAAAACTTGACAATGCAATTCTCAACTTGCCCATACCTCTACTATGGGTAGAACTTAATAAAGATTTTGAAGTGAAACTTCTTTATCGGCGTTGGAAACAAAGTTACCGTCACATTTTTTCGGTTACGCGTCACGTTTTTTGGTTGGCGATCTTTTTTTTAAAAGAGCACTATTTACCTCATCCTACAGACATATAACTAGTAGCAGACGGAATATTCAGTTTTAAACAGCGTGGCAAATACACACACATTGAAACTCACCAAAGCATGGGCCGCATTTAGTATAGTAGAATAATGGATGTCATTATTGTTTCATGAAATACCTATCCGAATAGATAGGTCCTAATGTGATGTCCATGCTAATAATATTATAAATGTAAAAATCTGTCTGTTTAATATCTTCATGGCGAATTTAGCCAGGCGAAATCGCTGAACCGATAATGATGAAATTGAGCACGGAGATAAAATTAACACAGGGAAAAGACATAGATACAATTAGGAAAATTGAAATAAAAATTTAAGGCATAGTTTTTATCTTTTTATTTTGAAATAATACAAGTTTTTTTAGTAAATTTCTCTGAGATATATTTGTTTCTTTACATTGATGTTTACATCTAAGATCAAAATAAAATTTGACAACAACTTTAATAAGCAAGTGGACGTGGTTTATGTCATGATCTGGATTGTTCGAGTCAAATAGTGAATAATCGACATAATCACATTTAATCCAACTATTAAAATCATTATTTTTGTTTATTTTAAAACAAAAAACACTTAAAACACTATAAGTATTTGGTTGCCAATCCTGACGTTTCATATATTTTAACCATGCATTCCGAGTACTTTCATCCTTTGGAAACCTAGAACAAAATTGTTCCAAGAAATATGAATAGCTAGTCTGTAATAGGTACCTATCTATTTACGTTCTTGATTGCATTCACATTCAAAATACAATGCAATGCAAACAAAATTAATGCCGAGAAACTTTTTGTCTTTGATACCGAGTCCGTCCTCTGTTATGGCAACAGTACTTCAGTTGTCAGAATTGGAATTTCCTATCATGATTTATCCTGCTTACTTCTATTTCTTTTCTTTTAGGATATTAGTTTTCACCGGTAGTGTCTTAGATAAATAATCCTACGTAAAAAATGTTACATGTTACGATAATATTTAAATAAGCTTCGAAAAGACTCAAAGACATTTCAGTACACAACAAAGACACATAAAAACTTACTGATTAAACGTTAATCCTGGTGTTCTATTGTAGGTAGCACTTTCACATCGATACGCACTGTACTTGACCATAGTAATTGAATAATCTCGTTTTGTAAAATGAAAAAAGAATGAGATGCCACTATAGAGTTGTAGCTGAGTGTAAAAAGGATAAAAGATCATGTTTTGATTCATAAATATAACTAGGTTTTTATGTTCCGTCTGCTATAGTATTATATGTCTGTGCCTCATCCGAACAATTGCTTCTTCTGTCAACTTTAAAAAAAAAGTATCGACAGCAAATATTCGTGTTTCACACAAGGTAAGGTAGTTTTTTGTAGTTTTTTGTAGTTTTTATTTAGCGGTATCCCCGATTTGTTTCAGGTCTTTGTTTTTCTGTTTTTGTTATGTTTCTTACTATTTTAAAGTTTTTGAGTCATGCTTGCTCTTTTGCATGTTTGTTTGTGCTCTTTCTTTTGGACTTTCTTTCTTTTTTTATCTCTTTTACAATAATCTTACTTACTAATACATGTTTTCCTTCTTGTTTTGTAATAACATTTTATATATTCATAATTTACACACACTAATTTCTATTTCTATTTACATTCTTACTTATCTATTACAATATTTTCTTATATTTTACATTTTGTCTTATATATATATATATTCCATTTTCCATTTTTCCCTTTTCGGGTTCTTATTATTTTTATATCTATGTTACATGTATCTACTATAGGTAATTTACCCATATTAATCGTCCTTATTCCTTTCTATGACTCTTTCCACTATACTCTTACTAAACTTAATAAATATTTCTCTATCTTTGCTTTCTATCATAATTTCCTTCAGGTTATCCTTTCTAAGTGGTGTGTTAAGTGCTACTTGTGCGTCGTGTCTGTCTTTAGCGTAAAGGGGGCATTCCAGGAGGACATGGAAAATATCCTCTTCGGTGTCGGGATCACAAACGCAACTTGGGGTATCCTTCTTTTTAAACCTATGGAGGTAGGCGGAGAAACCTCCATGCCCGGTAAGGATCTGTGCAGCTATTCTATCAATCTTCATCTTTCTTACGACACCGAAGGCGCTCTCCCCGCAAGGGAAGAACGCCTTCGTTGTGGCAGCCGTGTCCTCGCTCCTATACCTGCTGTCCCATTCTACTTTCGTCATCGCGCGTACATGTCGCTTGACGAAAGAGATGGGACAGCAGTCATAGTGCGATTTGCACTTCAACCCGAGGGCCGCCCCCTTCGCCAGCTAATCCGCTCTCTCGTTTCCGATCACCCCGACGTGGGCCCTGATCCAAAACAGGGACACGGTTTGTCCGTTGTCCCTGAGTTGGGCCAGGTTGCCCTGAATCGCCTTGGTGATCGGATGCGAGGAGTCTGGATCAGCTAGCGATTGGAGGGAGGACCTCGAGTCGCTGAGCACGGCCGCCTCCTTCCATCCTTTCCCTAATACACACTCCGTGGCTTGGAGGATAGCATACAGCTCGGCTTGGAAGACTGTACAGTATGGCTCCAGCTTAAACTTTCGGGAAAGGACTTCTGCCTGCCCTTTCCAACAGGTCAGGGCGGCTCCTACCTTTCCCTCCAGTTTGCTACCATCTGTATAAATCTTCACAAGACCTTCTGCCAGTTTGCTATCCTCCTCCTCATTTTCCAGACATTCAAAACCTATCATTCTGCTGCTACCGGGGTGGTCCGAATTCATGAAGGACACCCTTTTCTCCACCTTTCTCCCCCTTAATATTGCCTGGGGTTTCCCTCGCTTCGCCTCATAAAGCTGGGATGCTTCATGGACCCTTAGGTCCAGCGGAAGCAGCCCCGACAATATTAAGGCGGAGTTGAGCGACACCGTTCTATAACATTTAGCAATTTTCTGGGCAAACCCCCTCTGCACCACCGCGAATTTCTTTTTGGTCATTATCTTTCCAGCTTCCCCCTGCCAAACACTCGCCGCGTAAAGGATAATTGGTTCTATGACCGCTATATAAATAGTCCGAATTATTTCTGGTTGGAGACCCCAAGTCGTCTTTGCGGCTCTTTGTATGCCTTTAAAAATATTTATCGCTTTGCCGCAGATGTATTTTATGTGTTCATTGAAAGTAAGTTTACTGTCTATTTTAAGGCCAAGAATTTTAATTTCGTTGACTATTTCTATTTGTACCCCCCCCCCCCCCCCCCCCATGATCAGTATCGGCGCGTCAAATTTTAATTTTTTGGTAATAACCATGGCTTGGGTCTTGTGTGCCGCGAAGTTTAATTTGTTTGACGCGCCCCATCTCCTGACCAGGGAGAGTCCCATGTTGGCCTTTTGCTCTACCGTCTTGGAGTCTCCTCCGTCTACCACCAGAACAATGTCGTCGGCGAATGCCTGACAGTAGAGACAGTAGACCCCGGCGTCGGCGAGCCCGTTCAGGAGAGGATCCAGCAAAACATTCCAAAATAAGGGGCCTCCTATGGACCCCTGTACACATCCTTTGTTTGTTGCTTTGCTGTACTCCTCTCCCGCGTA